CTATCATCTGCGGTTTTCAAACAGGGATAGAATCTTTTTTCTATGTCGACATCTCAGTTCCTCTTAGAATTCTCAGTGGAGTTCTTTCATATCTCATCGAGACGAGCTTGGTGAATATTGATTTGCATTTTAGACCGATAAAGACAATTTATTTGAGAAGTAATCATCAATGACGTTGTTTGTATCTTTTCAACCTTTTTTGGTTCGCTAGGCCGCATTGAAAACTCAATCTTGAGACAGAGTACTAGACATTTATTTACAGAACTTCTCCTCACATAGGTGTTGGATTCTCTTCTGTGGAGAAAACCTTTCAGCCAGCAAGATATTTAAATAACTTTATACAAGCATTCTATCCTACATTTTTCAAATTGTGAAAGTTAATCACATGCAAAACGCGTGATATTCGCTTTTTTTTTTGGTTAAGTAGATCAATTGTGTCACAACTTAAATCATTAAACAATGACATACTTCTTCCCGTTTGCAAATCACATATTTCTAAACAACGAGTGTCTTAAAGAAAAGCTATGGCGTCATTTCTCAGAAATTGAAGTTCATGGATCCGTCCAGAGAGACAAAGAAAGAGTTTAGCAATGTGTTAAATGAGATAAGAGGCATATTTCTTTTAACTCTTCCACGACTGAATTAGAGCTTTCCTGATAAATTTGAAAGAATAATAAATCCAGACACCACCTTTTCACTTTGACATAAGGTTAGTCTTTTCAACTTGAACATTTCTGTTCCGTTTCACTGGCGCTTGTTTCACCGCTGCCATCATTGCTGGAGGTTTCAGACTCGTTGCCAAAAGGAGACTTTATATTTTCTCTGTGTGGAATACCGTGGCACAGCTGCTGAAGAAAATCGATGCGCTCTTGAAGCGAAGACAGCTCAGTGGTGAATTCATGATGCTGAGCAATTTCCAATGCCTCTTCGGCGGTTTTCTTGGCTAGTGGGTACATTGCCCTTCCCTGTCGATAATACTGATCAGAGCGGGTTTTCAAAATCTGCACTCGCGTTCCTCGAGGAATAACATCAGATAGTTGGTGCTCCAAAATATCGAGATGTTTTACTGCATCTGCAATATCTTGCGGGGGAATGACTTTTATTCGAGTTCGTGCCACAGTTGATATACAATCGAGTAAAACAGCTGCCGCTCGAAGGTGCCCATATATTTGCTTCTTAACTCGCACTCTCTCTCTGGGATCCTTCTTGCCCGCTTCAATTGAGTTTTCGAAGTATTTTTTTACCATCCTCTGGTATTTGTTTCGTGCTTCCGCATTTCTCTCGTCATCCGGAACCGTACTCATATGCATCAAATAAATTGAACCATAGTTGTAATAAATCTCAGCCAAGTCCTCCGGAGACTCGTGGTTTTGCAGCAAGAATTCGCCTCTTTCGAGGAACTGGCGGAGACGCGGAAGCTTTTTGCTATTTTGATATCTACAGGCCTGTACGAACCTATAGTAGGCTCTCGCTAATAAAATATTTGGATTGCGAAGCTGATAGGTAGAGCCAAAATCTATCGCCGAGGAGAAAAGCTGCTTGCTTTCCTTTAGGGATTTTTTCTGGTAAGAAAAAGCCACTCCGCGTTCTATCATCATTGCCATTTGCATGTCAGTGTTGCCTTTACGCATAAAATATTCCATGTATGAAGTAACCAAACGATCGTGTTCCTCAAACTGTCCATTGTCTTGTAAATATTCAAGTCGCTCCATGATTTGCTCGCATTGTTTTCCGTTGAGATATCCTGTTCTTTCGATAACTGGCAACTGCGGCTCGATGTCGTGAACTGGGGTTAGAACTTCGCAGCCTTGTAAGTCATCGAACGCTCGTACTAGGCTCTCAGTTTTACCCCTTTGTCGCTCGCTGCAATTGCCATCCTTCGGGCTGCTATCGCATTGAACCCCGTCGTCGTTGCAGCAAAAGCTATGGCTTACTTGTTCTGTGTTCGACTGGCCAACCACAGTTACACTGCAGTTTGCGAGTGTTAAGTTCATAGTATTTCGGTCGATGTCAACTTTAGCTTGAGCGATGAAGGAGGCTGAATCTTTTGGAGTAAAACTGAATAACGAGCCCTTAACATCGTAACATGATGGCTGTCCACGTTCTGTGAGCTGTTTTGAAAATTCATTAGCGGGGTTATGTGTACAATTCATTACTTTCAGAATTTCTTAGTACGTTGTTGGCGTCAATATCCAGGTAAAACCTCTTTGACTTTTTCCTTACGTTTATGGCTTGTACTTATTTGATTCAGTTACAATATGCGTCTGGGTCAAACCAAACTCCAGACGTTTCTCAGTGATATTTCCTAGAGGACTTGAAATTGTTTACTCCAGTTTAAATATTCATGCAATAGAAAGTGCCTCGATTGTGTGCTGATTTACATAAAAGCCAGTGTTTTGATTATTCTCCTCGACAGAAGAACTTGTCGCAAAGAGACTTCTGTAAGTAAGCTTGAAAGCAACGACCTTATTGTCCGTCAATACAAATAAATGGTTTTGTTGCATCAGAGAGTTGAACTAATATTTTCGTGAAAGCCGAGCCTCGAAACCAAAGACGTAGGCTATGTACTTTGTACTTCCGGTTCCATAGTTTGAATGTCGAATACTGATAACACATTGAAGTGTTTTTGACAGTTGCTATCCACCATTGATCGAAGTTTAAGAAAAGCAAAGGTCGGTCTAAGAAGTGACCCGGTTTCCAAGTGGAAATTGCTTAAATTCAAGGTTACAAGAAAGTCACGCGCTTTTTTAAACGACTGTATGTATTTACAGTTTTTCTTCACATACGTGCCGCTTTCGTTTTGGAGTAAACAGATAATCTAATTGATCTGTTTTTAAATTTACACTAACTAGGTTTGATATCACCAAAATGGCTACCGGTCGCCTTTCGAGTGTTAAATCAGCCAGAGGTTAAAGGAATTTCCTGCTACCGTAATATTCTCATCTGTTTAGACAAAAAATAATCCGCAATGACACCTAGATAATGGTAATCTGGCTCAAATACCTAATCCACCGAAGTTTCATCCTTAATTAAATACAAATATGTTATCCATCTTCGTTTATCTTTTATGAAAACTGCATGACGTCAGAGTAAATATTATTTGAACTTGTACCAAATTTGGGCGTAAAATAACCAGTTTTTATTGAGTTATCAGTATTAAAAACGAGTCAATCAGATCGGAGTCGAGATTTTATATTATTTGATAAATCTGTACCTAGATAATATCCAACATTAAGGGTTTTTTTTTTGCGGAGACTTCTTGTGTGTCATCAAATTTTATTGTCTAAATTTGTGCACTGTTTATTTTTATCCTGTATTTGACCCACTGGCACTGTAGGCGGCTTCGCTGGTTGAAACTTCGAGTTCTTCAGCGAAAACTAGGTGAGAATGAAGTTTCATCGCAAACAATTCAATCATCTCTTGTAGAGTGTTTAATTCAGTGTCAAATTTATGAAAGGAAGCGAGCCTGAAAGCCTCTTCTACTGTCTCTTTGGCCAAGTTGTATGATCCCTGACGATAACACTGATCTGATCGAGTTTTTAAGAGCTGTATCCATGTACCCTTGGGGATACAGTCACCAAGTTTGAAGTGAACAATATCCAGGTGATCTTCAGCTTGTTTGATGTCGCTGGGTGGAATGGTTTTCTGTTGAATGCGTGCGGTAGTTGAACAACAATCAAGGAGAATCGATGCAAGTTTGATGTGAGCGTATCTTTCCCTTTTAATTCGAACTCTTAATCGATGGTCTTTTTGACTGAAGAAGAGAGCTTTCTCAAAAGAGCATCTCGCGTTATTCCGCATGGCGTTACGGGCACGAGCATTTCTCGTGTCATCCGGTATCAGGCTCATGTAATCTAACCATAAACAACCATAGGTGTAATAGAGGTCAGCCCAGTCTTCTGGAGAGTCGTACTGCTGCAAGAGATGTTCGCTGCGTCGAAGATATTCAAACAGCAGAGTTAATTTTAACTTTCTGTGCTTTTCTTCTCTCCTCATGTGAGCCGCAAGTACATAGAAGGCTCTTGCCGATATGACATCTCCGTATAAAGCTTGACCATTCAGGTCAGATTCCGTGACTGAAATAAGCATTTTCTTCGCTAATTTGGATTTGTTTTCGTATGAGAGGGCCACTGCCTGTTCTATCTTTAAGACTAGAACCATGTCAGCATTTTTTCTATCTTCATAGTAATGAATTTTCTCAATCGTAAGGCGCTTGTGTTGGACAAACATTCCGTTATCTTGACAAAACTCGAGCGCTTTTAGGAGTTGCTCGCCCTCGCGATGCTTTCCGCTAAAATCGCCTTTTACCTTGATTGAGGCCATCGGTAGAACGACACGGGCAGTAGTCGCTCCACTCGAGTCTGTGTGTTCTCCTTCTTTTGTTTCGCTCAACGGCGTGAGATGGCAGTTCACGACTCCTCTTGCTGTCTGGTATTGGCTCAGGGTGCAATGTTCTTCTTTTTAACAGCTGTCAGATCGAACTTCGCCTTTGCTGAAAAGCTTCGTTGGCGTTCTAGTTTTTCTGTCATTTCCGTTCACTACGATCGTTCTAGTTGGCTTCTTTTAGACCATTCTCGCTCTGAAGCCTGTCTCTGTCGCAGTCTCGTTGCTGCTTACTTATTCTATGTTTGAATGATTTGCTTTAAGGACGCTACAGTTTGCGAGTGTTACGTTCAAAGTGTTTGCGACCGTGTATGTTTCATCCAGAATTGCGTCTAAGTTTTTGTGGAGGGTGCCATGTTTTGGTTAAGAAAATAGTCAAAGCAAATGTATTTTTGCCGCAGATATTACTGTTGAAGCCCCAACTAAGTAGCTTTGGAATCCTTCAGTGGAGAGACACACATGAAGAATGACTTTCTTCGTTTTTTTTAGAGCTCCATCGTCATGTTCCCAACCGAGTCTGACTTTTGTATTGATCAACATCAAAGGATTGAAATTTCTTATCTACATGCAAGTTAGATTTTTAAAGAATTTTATAGGCACAACAAACTCGCAGCGACCCCTTTTCACCGTCCGGCCAGAGAAAGTAACTTTTATTGAATCAGGGAATTTATCCAACAATATTTTATATGTTTACATGCAAATTGAACCTTAAAACGAAAATCTTCTTACGTCTAAAATGGAAGTTGACATCATGCCTTGGTACTTTGTACTTCCGGTTTCACAATTAAATTGTGAAAGAAAAGTTCAGGTTCATTGAAACGCGGCTTCTTACTAAAAAAACACTTGCTATTCGTTTATCTTACTTTTCAGTATGAATAATGATTTCAGTATGAATAATGATTTAACTTTCAGCGACACATACTGAAAAACGAGTTTTATGCAGACACATGGAGATATACGTTTTAGCGAGTTCGAATTATCCATCTCTATCCTGAACTGGACCCACTGGCACTGTAAGGGGCTTCGCTGTTTGAAAAATGAAGTTCTTCCGTGAAAACTAGGTGAGAATGAAATTTCCACTGAAACAACTCGATCATCTCTCGTAGAGTTGTTAATTCAGTGTCAAATTTGTGGAAGGAAGCGAGCCTGTAAGCCTCCTCGACTGTTTCTTGGGCCAGTTTGTATTTATCCTCACGATAAAACTGATCTGATCGGGTTTTCAAGAGCTGTATCCATGTACCCATGGGTATAACCTCTCCAAGTTTGAACTGAACAATATCAAGGTATTCCTTAGCTTGTTTGATGTCGTTGGGTGGAATGGTTTTCTCTTGAATCCGCGAGGCAGTTGAATAACAATGTAGGAGTATTGTTGCTAGTTTGATGTGAGCGTACATTAGCCTTTTAATCTGAACTCTGGGTCGAGGATCTTGTTGGCTGTAAAATACAGCTTTCTGGAAAGAACTTATCGCGTTATCCCGAGCAGTGTTGTGAGCACACCGGTTTACCGGTATCAGACTCATGTAATCCAGCCAAAAGCAGCCATAGGTCTGATAAAGCTCAGCCCAGTCTTCTGGCGAGTCATGGTTTTGCAAGAGAAATTCGCTGCGCCTTAGAAATTTTAATATCTTACCCATTTCCTTTGAAGATCTTTCCATAGGATCAGCCACTCTTAAAAAGTAGGCTCTCGCCAGTAATATGTTCGGATTTATAATTTGATACGTTTGGTGTTTGTCTAATGTTATAACTGAAATAAACATGCTCTTGCTTTTCTTGAATTCTTTTTGATACGCAAAAGCTACTCCTCGCTCTATTTTCAGCGCTAAAGCCATGTCGGGTTTTTTTCCTTCCGCAAAACTTTGCATACTTGCGGTAACAAGGCGTTCATGGTCTTCAAACTTTGCATTGTCTTGGAGATCCTCAAGTCTTGACAAGATCTTCTCAAACTGGATTCCTTTTAGGGATCCTTGTATTTTGATTAGGGGCAGTGGACAGTCCACAAAGGTACGGTGTCGTGCTTCGTCAGAAAGCTGTCGATGGTAGTCGACGGGTTTCAAAGCTTGTTCCGTTTTTGATTTGCCGACTGCAACAGTTTTGAAGTTAGAGATAGTAATTTTCAGAGTGTTTGCGACGGTGTCAATTGTTGCTTCAGCGATACCCCTTGCAGAATTGACAGGAACACACGTAACTAACGAGCCATTCTCATCGTTGCAAGATGGCTGTCCGTTGTCTATGCTTTGGTTTGATATGTCTCCAGCGGGGCCGGATGGGAATTTCATTCCTTTCCTAGTTTCTTGATTCGTCATTTTTATGTTATGGTAATACCTCTTTGATTTCAGCCTTCGTTTGAAAAGACTTATGTGCTGGAGAAGTCTGCAAAAAGCCAAAGATTTATCCACCGAATATGAATTCTTCGTTGTTACCGCAGAACTGTGCGTGACTCAAATTTTTTGCGTGACGTTGTGATGGTCAGGGCAGTGCGCTAGGTCCCGGATGACACGCTAGCTCGACCGTCGCTAGTACGTTGTCGGCGTCGATATCAAGACAAAATCTCTCTGACTTTTTCCGTGTTTTTATGGATTGTACTTATTTAATTCAGTTACAATATGCATCAGGGTTACACGCACTCTAAACCAGACTCCAGACGTTTCTCAGTGATGTTTCCTCGAGGCCGTTCAATTGTTCATTCCTGTTTAAATATTCCTACAGTAGAAGGCGCCACGTTTCGACACGTTTGTGTGCTGATCTGCACGCAAGCCAGTGTTGTGATTATTCTCCTCGAGAGACTTCTGTAATTAAGCTTGAGGGCAACGACCTTATTGTCCGTCAGTACAACAAAATGATTTTGTTGTATCAGAGAGTTAAACTAATATTTGGGAGAAAGCTGAGCCTCGAAACCAAACACGTAGGAAAAGTCCCTTAAAACCTTGGCTTTGTACTTTGTACTTCCGGTTTCATAGTTTGAATGTCGAATATTGATAACACATTGAAGTGTTTTTGACAGTTGATATCCACCATTGCCCGACATTTAAGAAAAGGACAGGTTGGTCTAAGAACTGACCCCGTTTCCAAGTAGAAATTGCTTCAGTTCAAGGTTAAGAGGAAGTTACCTGATTTTTTAAACGACAGTATGTATTTACAGTTTTCCTTCACAAACGTGCCACTTTCATTTTGGAGTAAAGGGATAATCTAATTGATCTGTTTTTAAATTTGCAAATCTCATGAAAACTGCATGACGTTTGAGTAAATATTATTGGAACCTACTTTAAATTTGTGCGTAAAATAACTGGTTTTTATTAAACCATCAGTATTAAAAGCAAATAGATCGGAGTCGAGGTTTTAAATTATTTTATAAATCTGTACCTAAATAATATCCAGTATTAAGGGGTTTTTTTGGCGCAGACTTCTTGTGTTTCATTAAATTTTATTGTCTAAATTTGTGCAGTGTTCATCTCTATCCTGAATCTGACCAACTGGCACTGTAGTAATCTGGTTCAAATACCTAATCCACCGAAGTTTCATCCTTAATTAAATACAAATATGTCATCCATCTTCGTTTATCTTTTATGAAAACTGCATGACGTCAGAGTAAATACTATTTGAACTTGTACCAAATTTGGGCGTAAAATAATCAGTTTTTATTGAATTATCAGTATTAAAAACGAGTCAATCAGATCGGAGTCGAGATTTTATATTATTTGATAAATCTGTACCTAAATAATATCCAACATTAAGGGGTTTTCTTTGCGCAGACTTCTTGTGTTTCATCAAATTTTATTGTCTAAATTTGTGCACTGTTTATTTCTATCCTGAATTTGACCCACTGGCACTGTAGGCGGCTTCGCTGGTTGAAACTTCGAGTTCTTCAGCGAAAACTAGGTGAGAATGAAGTTTCATCGCAAACAATTCAATCATCTCTTGTAGAGTGTTTAATTCAGTGTCAAATTTATAAAAGGAAGCGAGCCTGAAAGCCTCTTCTACTGTCTCTTTGGCCAGGTTGTATGATCCCTGTCGATAACACTGATCTGATCGAGTTTTTAAGAGCTGTATCCATGTACCCTTGGGGATACAGTCACCAAGTTTGAACTGAACAATATCCAGGTGATCTTCAGCTTGTTTGATGTCGCTGGGTGGAATGGTTTTCTGTTGAATGCGTGCGGTAGTTGAACAACAATCAAGGAGAATCGTTGCAAGTTTGATGTGAGCGTATCTTTCCCTTTTAATCCGAACTCTTAATCGATGGTCTTTTTGACTGAAGAAGAGAGCTTTCTCAAAAGAGCATCTCGCGTTATTCCGCATGGCGTTACGGGCACGAGCATTTCTCGTGTCATCCGGTATCAGGCTCATGTAATCTAACCATAAACAACCATAGGTGTAGTAGAGGTCAGCCCAGTCTTCTGGAGAGTCGTACTACTGCAAGAGATGTTCGCTGCGTCGAAGATATTCAAACAGCAGAGTTAATTTTAACTTTCTGTGCTTTTCTTCTCTCCTCATGTGAGCCGCAAGTACATAGAAGGCTCTTGCCGATATGACATCTCCGTATAAGGCTTGACCATTCAGGTCAGATTCCGTGACTGAAATAAGCATTTTCTTCGCTAATTTGGATTTGTTTTCGTACGAGAGGGCCACTGCTTGTTCTATCTTTAAGACTAGAACCATGTCAGCATTTTTTCTATCTTCATAGTAGTGAATTTTCTCCATTGCAAGGCGCTTGTGTTGGACAAACATTCCGTTATCTTGACAAAGCTCGAGCGCTTTTAGGAGTTGCTCGCCCTCGCGATGCTTTCCGCTAAAATCGCCTTTTACCTTGATTGAGGCCATCGGTAGTTCGACACGGGCACAACTCGTTCCATTCGAGTCTGAGTGTTCTATTTCTTTTGTTTCGCTTAACGGCGCAAGTTGGCAATCCACGACTCCTCTTGCTGTCTGGTATTGGTTCAGGGTACAATATTCTTCCTTTTGACCGTCGTCAGGTTGAACTTCGCCTTTGCTGAAAAGCTGTCGTCGGCATTCGACTTTTTCTATCACTCTCTTTTGTCGTTCATTTCGATCATTCGAGTCGGCTTCTTTTGGACCATATTCGCTCTGAAGCCTATCTTTTTCGCAGTCTCGATTTCTGCTTAATTGCTCTGTGTTTGGATGGCCCACTAGAATGACGCCACAGTTTGCGAGTGATACGTTCAAGGTGTTTGCGACCGTCTCAAATTTTGCTCGAGCAATAATCGGTGCATTAGGAGGAAACTTTGATGACAAGCCTTTCCCATCGTAAGATCTTTGTCCATGGTGTGTGCTTCCTTTAGAGAGATCTTCAGCGAGGGTAGATGCCATTCGTCCTTGTTTCGTGCGTCGTCGACGATGTTATTTTGATGGTTCTGTCTCTCAGATTTCACGCTTATGCTCTTGTTTTGGCTGCTTCTCTCGGGTATGATTTGGATAAAGCTCTAGAGAATCTTTAAGGTTGTCCTTATTCGAGCGCGGGCGAAAGGATCAAGGAGTTGTAGCCGACAAATGAATTTATCATCGATGAAATCCTGCGAAAAAAGCTTCAAAATTATAATATCCGTGCCTTTTATTTGCTATTTGAGCCTTTTAAACAATATTTATCTTGTATCCGAAAGGGAAAGACCCTTTACATATAGGGGCTTTAAATTTCCGTCTAAAAGCTGTCACATGATTCGTTAGAGATGACATCATTTCGATGCCGGGGATGTTCTTAAATATCGGGAAAAACAATAAGATGAAAAGGGGAGGAATTCAATCCTCTTTCTTGATCTTGAAATACATTGCGTGACAGATTCAAGCCAAGTTGCCTTCTGTTATCAATTTGCAGTACTGTTCCGTCAACGTTCCATCATTACCATTTACAATTACAGTTTCATCTGCTGTAAATTAAGTTAAACCCTTAAACTAGTTGCGAATGAAGGCTAGCTTACAAATCAACAATGTTCTACAGATGAAATTTGCAGATTTCAATTTATAATTTTTTATGTCTATTGTGAGTGACTTCCACTGTTATTGTAGCCGGTGTCGCTGCTGGCATGATCATGTCCTTCGATAACAATCTGGTCGGGTGTTTGGAGTTTGTTGTTAAGGAAGTTGATTCTTTCACGGAGGGTTTCCAATTCTGTGTTGAATTGGTGGAGGCATGCAAGCTGATAGGCATCCTCGGCTCTTTCTTTAGCCAGATGGAATCGTCCTTGACGATTAAGTTGATCCGATTGGGTTTTAAAGAGTAGCATCAACGTTGCCTTCGGTATACTGCCACCGAGTTTGAACTGGATGATTTCAAGGTGCTCTTCGGCTTCTTCAATGTCACTGGGTGGAATTGGTTTTTCTTGAGCCAGTGCGAAGGTTGAACAGCTATCCAGGAGTATTGTGGCAAGCTTGAGGTGGGCATACATTTGCCTTTTAATCCTAACTCGCGGGCGATAATCTTGTTGACTGAAATAGATAGCTTTCGTAAAATAGTATTTTGATTTTTCTCGAGCGGCGTTTCGTGCACATGCATTTCTCCTGGCATTCGGTATTTGGCTCATACGATCCAGCCAAAGAGCGCCATAGGTCTGGTAGAGCTCAGATAAGTCCTCTGGTGAGTCATAATTTTGCAGTAGATATTCGCTGCGTCGAAGAAATTCCAAGAGCAGGGGAAATTTTGAGTTTCTGTACCTTTCATTTCTTCTCATGTGAGCCGCAAGTAAGTAGTAGGCTCTTGCCGTTATAATGTCTGAATATGAAGCTCGACTCTTTAGGTCAGATTTTGCGACTGAAATAAGCTTTTTCCTGGCTAGCTTCCATTGACCTTTGTAAGAGAGAGGAGCTGCCCGCTCTATCTCCAAGACCAACAGCATGTCCGCATTTTTTTCTCCTTCATAAAAATGCATTGCCCTTGTGACGAGGCTGTCGTGTTCATCGAAGTGTCCGTTATCTTGATAAACCTCGAGCTTTTCCAAGAGTCGCTCGCACAGGCCATGCTTTCCACTGAGATCTCCTTCTACCTTGATTGGGGCCATCGGTAGTTCAACACTTGTAATAATTATTTCACCTGAGTCAGCGTGTTTACTATTTTGTGTTGCACTCAAAGGCTGAACTTGGTAGTCTACCACTCCTTTTGCTGTCTGGTTGAGGATGCAATTTGCTCCCTTTGGACCGCTGTCTGATCTAACCTCGCCTTTGCCGAAAACCTGTTGTTGACATTCGACTTTTTCGGTCACTCTCTTTCGTTGCTCAATACAATCGTCAGAGTCGGGTTCTTTTCGACTATTTTCGCACTGAAGCCTGCATTGGTCACAACAATGATTACGTCTTACTCGTTCTTTGTTTGACTGGCTAACTAAAATCATGCTGCAGTTTGCGACTGTTACGTTCAAAGTATTTTGTGTTAATTTTGCATGAGCGATAATCGAGGCTTCGGGAAGAAACTTTGATGACAAGTCTTTCCCTTCGTGGGATGATGGCTGTCCATGGTTTGTGAGTTCTTTAGAGCGATCTTTAGCGGTGTTAGATGAAGATGCCATTTCTGTTTTGATTCGGGGTTAGTTGTCGATGTCAAAATGTCCGAAATGCTTCTTGGATTTCGTAGCAATTTCCTTCAGGTGTAATTCAACTAGGGCTTGCGAGTTCCTATTTCAAAATTCTTAAAGACTGTTTTGATGTATTCGAAGGAGAGGGTTTCTTGGAATTGTAGTTGAAAAAGCAACTTCCATCGAAGAGATCATTTACATGAAGAGCTCTAAGTCTCATAAATGCAATTTACATAACAATAGGTTTATTGTAATCAAAAGGGAAATTCCCTTTTTATCAATATTGTGGCTTAATATTTGCATCTGTTTCAGTATTTTTATCCACTCAATGAAACCCACAGGTTCTTGTAGATTTACCTGTAAAGACAGTTTTCGTCGAGATAATCCCAAGAATAATTTTGAATAGAGCCATGTTTCCTTTGTTATTTAAGTATAACATTGCTCCACGTTTTTTTTTTTAATTTAGAAAGACGAATGACATATTTATGTATGATACCGTCAGTCTGATGTCTGCTTATAAATTCTAACCAATGGGTTTCCATTCCTGTAAGGGGGAAGTCCCTTGATATCTTATCTATGGTCACGCATTACGTCAGATATCAACGATGGAGCTCGACTGTTAGCGACTGCTGGCGATTGCCAACGTAGACGCACAGATAGTGGCTAAATATTTCTATCCCCCAAGTTCGTTTTCCGGCAAAAATTCGTCTCGTGAGTCATCAGGCATTACATCATTATATTATTTGTACTTTCCTCTGCTGTAGAACGAGATTAATCAACTGCTTAACAATGAAAGCAGAACTACCTTACCAGTTGACAGTTTATGTTTTTGTGTTAGGAAATTAACTAGCGTGATGTTGATTTTAATCGGATAATATTTATTCACTACAACAGGTTTCGCTACTTGATTGCTCGAGTTCTTTAGAAACAACTAGCTTAAATTTTTCAACATTATCGTCAAGAAACGTTATACGTCTTCGTAGAGGGTCCAATTCTGTGTTAAATTTATTGGAGGACGCGAGATGAAGAGCCTGCTCAGCTGTCTCCTTCGCAAGTTGCAGAAATCCTTGGCGATAAAATTGATCCGATCGAATTTTCAAGAGCTGTATCCTTGTACCTGCGGGGACACTGTCACCAAGGTCATGCTGAATGAAATTGAGGTGTTCTTCAGCTTCTTTTATGTCACTTAGGGGAATAGCTTTCGCTTGGGTTCGCACGGCAGTTGAAACGCAATCTAGGAGTAATGTTGCAAGATTGAGACGAATGTACCTTTGCCTTTTAACCCGAACCCTTAGTCGATGATCTTTTTGGCTATACGAGATAGCTTGCTCAAAATAGTATCTCGCGTTTTCTTTGGCGGTCGTTCGTGCCGGCGCATTCCTCTGGTCATCCGGTATAAGGCTCATGCGATCTAGCCAAAGGCGACCGTATTTTTGGTAGAGTTCGGCCCAATCTTCCGGCGAGTCGTAGTTTTGCAACAAAAACTCGCTGCGTTTAAGGTATTCAAAGAGCCGAGGTAACTTCACAGGCTTTCTTTTCCGTATGTCAGCCACAAGTAAAAAGTAGGCTCTTGCCATCAGAATATTCGAATTAAGTACATGACACGTTCTTTCTTTGTTTGATTGTATGACTGAGGTAAACATACTCTTGCTCTTTTTAGACTCTTTCTGATAAGAAAAGGCTACTCCTCGCTCTATTTTTAAGGCCAACTCCATGTCAGGTTCATTTCCATTGGCACAAAGTTGAAGCAACGATAGGACTAAATGCTCGTGTTTGATAAAATGTCCATTGTCTTGCAAAATCTCAAGTTTTTCCAGGATTCTCTCGCATCGTGGTCCTTTGAGATACCCTTGTTTCTTGATTAAGGGCATCGGTTTTTCAACACTGGAGGAAACAATTCCACCTGAGTCTTCCTTTCGGCAATGGGCTTGTGCTTCTTTAGAAAGCTTTTCTTGGCCACAGCAATGATCATTTTTTCCTTGTTCTATGCTTGACTGACCGACCAGTACGACGCTGAAGTTTGAGACCATTAACGTCAAAGATTTGGTGTGAGCTTTAGATCTTGCCTCAGAGACAGTCGAGACTGAATTATTGGAAGGAAACCTAGATAACGAGCCTTTCATGTCGGTGCAAGTTACCTGTCCATTGTCTGTGCGCTCTTTTGCAATTTGTTTAGCGTTGCTATAAACGCCAACGCTTACCGGCGTATTTCTTGTTTGGTCATTCATGTTTGTTTAAGAGTAACAATTCGTTGTTTCCAGCGTTGTATCCTCGGACTGGTGATTTTGAACCAGTGTAATCTAAGGTAGATGCGGATTACCTCCCACTAGAAGAAAGAGATATTCCTCCGAAGACGTCGAATACTCTGTTTCGGCGATGAAGTTTGTTTATGTTCTTCCCCAACAGCACTATAAAGATATTCTGTTCTGTTTATGAGAGCCAGAGTTTCTTCTAGATTTAGCCGTGAAAAACGGTTTTCGTCGAGAGAATCCCACGAATTATTTTAAATAAAGCCATGTTTTCGTTTTGTTAAGAAAGGATGATACGTACTTTGTCCTACGTTCCTTAAATTAGGAGAGGTGAATTAATAATTCATCATATCTTTCATCTGATATTTGCATATAAATTCTAACCAATCGGTTTAATTCCTGTGAGGGGAAGTCCCTGTGATATTTAAATCATAATCACGCATTACGTTAGTTATTGAGAAGCCCGCAGAGGGTAGCAACATAATTGAGAGAAATGGCTATCCCTTAAGTCAAGATAATTATGTCCATCCGTATTTACATCATGCACGGCTGGCTGCAATGCTAACGCAGATTGAAATTTCCAAGTATCTTACCCAGTATTCCGATTATTTCAATTAGAGGGTTTAATTCTAAGTTATATCTACAGGAGGAAGCCACAGTTAAGCCTTTTCGGTTATTTCTATTGTAAGGTGGGATAATGGCTGACAATTAAATATATATAGAAAAGTGCTCATATTTATAGAAATATGCATGATATTACTGTCATTGTTGCTGTCACTTGACCCTGAGCACGATTGAAATTGAAATAGCTAACGATTAAATATATATAGAAAATTGCTCATATTTATAGAAATATGCATGATATTACTGTCATTGTTGCTGTCACTTGACCCTGAGCACGATTGAAATTGAAATAGTAATTTCTCTGTCACACATCATAGACGAACTCTTGTACCTTGTCGAAAGAATTATCACCAACCATTATTAAATTCTAGTGAAAAGAAAGCAAGCGAACATATAAAATTGAGCAAATAATGGAAAAAAGTATATACGCAACAGGGCAAAAGAATGATAAAAACAGGCAGAGTTACTGTGTTTCCACATGTCAGATACTAAGTATAGATATAATATTCTTTCGATCTTGTTTTATTTAATTGTGATACTTATTCAATCCTTTTAAAGTTTATAATCTCTTGATCTTTACTCGGTGCCGCTATAGCAGCTTTCAGTATGGGTATCTTCTATTTCCATGATAGCAACTTCTTTCGCAACCTCGAGCTTTACGTCAAGAAACTGGATCCTCTCTTGAAGAGTGTCTAATTCAGTGTTAAATCTATTCGAGGAAGCGAGCTGAAAAGCCTCCTCGGCCGTTTCTTTGGCCAGTTGGTATAATCTCTGACGATAGAATTGATCAGATCGAGTTTTTAAGAGCTGTACCTGTGTTCCTGTGGGTACACTCTCACCAAGTCTATACTGAACAAAATCAAGGTGTTCTTTGGCTTTCTTGATATCACTGGGTGCAACTTCTTTTTCTTGGGTGCGCGCGGCAGTTGAACTGCAGTCTAACAGCAGTGCTGCTAACTTGAGATGACAATAGGTTTGTTTTTTTATCTGAACTCTCGGTCGTTTATCCCTTCGGCAGAAAGAGACAGCTTGCTCATAATAATATTTTGCTTTATCCCGGGCGGTCTCTCGCGCCTGTGCATTTCTCAGGTCATCAGGGATAATGCTCATATACTTCAACCAAACGGATCCATAGTTGTAATACAGCTCGGCCCAGTCTTCTGGGGAATCGTGATTTTGCAGAAGAAACTCGCTGCGTTGAAGAAATTCAAATAGAGGGGAAAACTTCACCGGCTTTCTATTTCTGTAGTCAGCTACAAGTAAAAAATAGGCTCTTGCCGTTAAAATACTAGGATTCATAACATCACAATTTTTTGTTTTTTCTGATTTTATAACCGAGATAAACATACGTTTGCTGTTTTTGAATTCTTTTTGGTACGAAGAGGCCACTCCTCGCTCTATTTTCAAGGCCAACTCCATGTCCGGATTTTCGCCATCTGCAAAACGTTGAATACAGGCAGTAACAAGGTGCTCATGTTCAGCAAACTTTCCTTCGTCCTGCAGAAACTCAAGTTTTTTCAGGATTCTCTCGCACTCTTGTCCGTTTAGATATCCTTGTTTTTCGATCAAAGGCATCGGTGGGTCAACACTGGCAATGAAAGTATCACGCCACTCAGTCTGTGAACGTTGTTGCGTATCCCCAAAAGTTTGAAGCTGGCAAGCTACCAACTCCGCTGGTCGCTTGTGTTGGTCTAGAAGGCTGCCCTTTGTCTTTGGAGCAGAGTCTGATTGTACTTCACCCCCGTTGGCATGTTTTGTTTCCCGTTTAAGGAAAGTGTGCTCCCAGTTAGGCTGCTGCTGTTTGGTGAGTGATTGTTGGACTATGACCAGACTCCTATTTTCGATCCTTAAGTTCAAATTTCTTGGTTCTGTGGCCTTGTCAGAAAATGAGATTGAATTCTCAGAATACAGTGTGTTTCCATCGTTACCAGCCTCACATCTTCTTCGTTCCAGTTCCATCGGTAGCATTTCAACGGTTTCGTTCGATGAACACTGCTCTGTAGACTGTGTCTCATTACTACTCATCGTGAACAAATACTTTCCTCTCGCTCTTTCGTTTGTAATCCTTCGCAGTTTCTTTCTTTATACCAAATGAAACGCCGGAAAACAGGGAACATTGAGTTGTTTACAATGACAGACAGGTTTGAATTCAAGCCAACGTCTCTTTCTTTAATCTCGTCGACGCAAGTAGGTCCTCGACAGATTTATGTGGTATTTTCCACGCAGCCACGCAGTAAACTGGAACAGAAAATCGTCAATGTTTTCGTCAGAGTGAAGACGAGACTAAATTATAGGCCTTCTCAACCGTGGCGGTAACAACATGTAGGTAGCTGAGATAATGAAATATTCACGATTCCGAGAAAGTACTACAAGTACGTCTGCCAGTTCGAATGCTGAAGACACGATAACATCACGTAAATCTTAGTAGTTGCTACTTCTAGGAAAATTGTCCTTTCTCGAATGACTTTCTCGAATGACTTTCTCGAATGATAAAATCGTTTTAGCCATATTGACAGTTTATGCAAATTTACATTCAACAACAGACACTATCAATCTTCTAGTTCAGCATTGAGCACACGTCACGCATGTGATAAAGTACCGAAATTTGTCATGTGTCCCCTTTGCCCTTTACTTCCTCTTTTGTTACCGTCGTCATGACTACAATCATTGACAGGCGTCCATTCAGTAACCCAAATTAAAAACTTTGCGATCGTCGGAAAAGATTCTGTTGTCTTTGAGGTGCAGGGAAATCAGATTGATGAAGTGATATCTTCAACTATCGCTTAAAGGGATTACAAATGCTGAAATGTTTTGCAGTTTTCTGAATTCAAGCGGCTGCTGGATATTTTCTTAGTTTCAGTCTTTGAGGAGCTTGAACAAATTTACCTGAAATTTTGGAGACATTTTAAAAGTGTTTTGTTAATTTTGCAAATTTCTAACGATGGATTTAGAAATAATCGCACGATTTTAAATGATTTCAACGACGTCATATTTAACTCCCTGGCTCATAATCGGCACTGGATGTTGATAACGCGTTGTGGAGTAGATCTCACGAGTTAAACTTCTCAGTTTGTCTTTTCAGGAAAAGAAAGAGAACACAAAATCTAACTTGATTTCTACACATAGCTTACGAAATATAAAGCGATTATTAATTTGGTGAGTTCATCTGAGTAAATAGAATAGGAGAGATGGTAAGTGAGTTCGGTAATACAGAAAGATGTTTTTCATCTTGTTACGATCGTGGGATGAAAAAAAAATTCTGAGTCCCCATGAGGAACCGAACACGCGTCCTGCATACTGCTAGGACTCAGAATTTTTTCTTTGTTCCACGCTTGTGGCAAGACGAAAAAAATCTTTCTCTATTTCTTTACCGAGCTCAAAACTTACCAATCTCTCTTATTTTGTTTACAACTATGACGCTATCGACATTGCTGATCCAAGCAGTATGCAGGACGCTTGTCATATGAAATTCGAAATTGACTTCGCTCACCGTGGAGTCCCTGTGGCTCAGTGGTAGAACATCGGAGCGCGGAATCCGAAGGTCTGAGGATCGATTGCTCATGGGGACTACAAATTTTTTTCTTTGTCCCACGCTGGTAACAAGACGAAAAACATCTTTCTCTTTATCTAAGTATTTCACTCTTTCTCCGACAGGCTTACCGCTGACCTTTACTGACAATATGGAGCAGTTGATCGCAAGTGATACAACCGTAGCAGAATTCATCATGAAACATCCGCCTGTTCATGTAGATACCAAGCCACAAGTAGTAACATTAAAAGACAAACCTTTCACTGCTTCTTTGGTTTCTGAAAGCGCAGTCCTCAGTCTCCGTGGTCTCGAAAAGGAGATTCAAGACGACATCGGAGAAAGGGGCATCGCTAAACTTCACATTGCTGACGAGCTTCTGCGGGCTGCACTCGTTTTGTCACACTCGTCATTTGTAGGAATACATTTCGGTTTCCCTTGCAATACCAATGATGAGTTTCCAGATGAAACGGACGGTCCCCTTGGGGCAATTGCACTTGGTAAAGCTCTCAAAGCCCTTGGAAAGGAGGTGACATTTATTGCAAGTTACTATCACGTCAAATTAGTGCAGGTACTTGTCGAAACATTTTTGAGAAACAAAGCTTGTGTTGTGGAGTTCACGCCACAACGGACACATGGCTCTGGCGGGGTCAGAGCAGCTGCTCAAACGTTGCTGTTTCACAATCCAACGAATCAAATGAGTCCAAAGTTTGACGTTTTAGTTGCCATAGAAGCGGTTGGTAGGACAGAAGAGGGCCGTTACATGACCATGAAAGCAAGGGACTTGTCCGAGATTTGTAAAGTCAGTCCAGTGGACGAAGTTTTCATTCAAGGTAGCTATAATTATAAGTTAATGGGAAGTGTACTTACAAACCCTGCGCCAAGATATTCATTCATGCCCCCAATCGCCAGTTAAAAGGTGGAGCCCTTTTGATCTGAGTGTTTGAGACATTTATGACATTGTAATGACTTTCAAGGAAATTTGTAAATGCCGTTTCTTGATTAGTAAATGTTAATTTGCCGGAGAATCGCCAACTTATCAAAAGAAGTTAGTCTTACTAAAAATCGATTTCGAAAAGTGTTTATTCGATGAAATTTGTCTCCATGCGCTTTTATCATCAAAACAAAAAAATGGTATAACATGAGGACCTCACTCAGAGCAATCTTTTTTAACTCATTTACCATAAAATCTCTCATAACGGTGACGGAATTATGAGACTTCTCTCAACAAGGTACTTTATATGGACCTTATTCCTCTCTTTCAGCTAAAAAGTCAGGAAAAATTGCCACAATCGGAATCGGTGATGGTGGTAATGAGATCGGAATGGGAAAGGTCCACCAAATGGTCGTCGATGGCATTAAAAATGGACAACACATCGCTACTACGGTTGCCACTGATCATTTGATCACCTCGGGTGTTTCCAATTGGGGCGGATCGGCGTTAGTGGCAGCTCTGGCCATCTTAAGTCAGTGCCCGGTGCACTCACCGTACGTCAGACGAGGAATTTTGCCTGATACACCTGTTCTTACCAAAGAAGTCTTGAACACGGTGGAAATGGTAATGCCTTTGATGAAGTCTTCTTTTTGCGTACCGAACTGACCCTCGATATTAGTTAACTTTAGGCTCTACAATAATTATTGAACCCAAACATCGGATGCGTATAGGTGTGTCAAAACGAACTAATCAGATTTTAAAAAACAGCTCACAGGCACAGCAATAAACGGAAAAAGTCGCCGTGATACGAGAGAAAAAGATATCGGAAGGAATTTTATAAGATAAAATGGGCTTCCTGGGTAACTTATGCATGTACACCACTCGAGACTTCGTCCACTTTGAAAAAAGTTGCCTGGGTCGGTAGTTCCAGGAGAAGTAGTGAGTATCTTAATTTGCGTCCCTATGTGGTTCCGGTACTAAGTTCCTGAATTACATATAAAAGATTAAGGGTCCATCTCGGACACGCAAGATCTTTGAAGAGAAGGAAATTTACAGTTATTTATAATTTTTTCTTTTTCAGGAAGAAGACATTCTGAAGTGTATCGTTGGGCTCGGGGTATGCGACGGTATATTACAAAAGAGAGAGATGTCTGTGGATGGTCAACCATTTCATCCCGTCCACAAAGAAAAATTGCAAAGACTGTTGACTATAGCCACTTTGCCAATAGGGATTACCGAGCAAGACGCGGCCATACGATGAAGTGTACCCTTCACTTTATTTCTGTATATGTTGCATCGCAAGAAAAGAGAGACAAACAAATGTTGAAACTAAGCTACAAGTACAATCTAAGCGATTTGTATTATTCCAACTCGTCAAATCGTCTCAGAGGCTTCCGTTCACTATAACAGTAATTTAACTGATTTGAAAGGTATCTTCTTACAATATAACTTTAGAGCATTTTGAAAACCTTTATTTTTACTTATAACTATTGAAAAGGAACCTTTGAACGCCATTGTGATCGTGTCATTGTGATTAAGCCTTTAGAGGGCGTTAAAGAGTAACACTAATGGTTTTGTACAAGAAAATCACTACGAGCTTTTTTTTTTATTTGTATAATTTTCATAAATATTCATTAATCAGGGCTTTTCGCAGGAAATACATTGATACAATTTTTCGAAGAGTCTTAATTTCTTTCATTCTTTTACATAATGATACAGTTGATTCTCAAATTCGTAAAGTTTCGGTTTCACAAACCTCATGATTAATTAAAACAAAAGTAATGAATTACCCTTACTAATCAAGCAATGCAATTCTAACCAGCATTTTCAAAGCCAGTGATAACTCGAAGCAATTTCCTTGCTCCCCAGAAGGTTTGAAAAATCGTGATGTACTTTTCTTACTTCCACCTCTAAAAAGCTTTCAGTTGTTAAATGCAAACCACATCCTGCCTCAACTAGACCGTGAAAGACCTTTGCTTGCAAGATTTTTGCAATGAAATACGGGGCAACTTGCGAAATTTTAAAATGGACACTTTACCACAGTGCCATGAAGATAGACTCGATGTGATGAAGGAAAATAGTGAGCGCTTTGGGAATAGTGTCCTGTTTATTTTGAGGAAGAATCACCATACTCTCTTTTATTAAGGGAAAGAGACGCATTTGATGAAAAAAGAGAGAACTAGTGAAATTTTTCTTCAGCTCTCTAGAGTGCTAGATACATACGTTGCCAACAGAGAACTTACGAAATGTGAAACACTTCCACGTTGTGATGAACTTGTTTTTTCACTTCCCCAACCGGGATCACCTTCGTTTTGTGCCGTGAGCGTATACAGGCGCACATCAGGAGTGCGACGAGAACAATAAGGACCACGAACATAATTATATTCATCGCTTTCAATGCGTTAATCGCGTTGTTACTGGAGCTGGTCATGGTTTTCGCAGATCTGTTTGGTATTTTTGGAGCGCACTGAAAATCTTTGTCTGGAGCACAAAATTTTTAGTCTGGAGCACTTTTGAACCCAGTGTTAAGGGGTATGATCTCGCTAGGTTATAGGGAATGGACTTTGTTGATTTCCTGTCAAAGAAGTCCATTTATGTTTGTTAGGTGTCTTTGTCAGGTATCTTTGTTAGGTATCAGATCGGGTTCTTTTGGACTATTTTCGCACTGAAGCCTGCATTGGTCACAGCAATGACTACATCTTACTCGTTCTTTGTTTGACTGGCCGACTAGAATCATGCTGCAATGTGCGACTTTACGTTCATGTTCACACCATTTCTGTTTTGTTTCGTGGTTCGTTGTAGATGTTAATATGTCCAAAATGCTTCTCCGACTTTTAAGCTATTTCTTCGGGTGTGATTTAATTAGGGCTTGCAAGTTCAAATTTCTATTGAAAAATGATTGTTTCGATCTGTTTGCAGCGAGGGTTTCTTGGAATTATGATCGAAAAAGCAACTTTCATCAAAGAGATCCCTCGCGAATTTTTCTTTAAAGTTTAAGTATTCAGCCCTCATAAATGCAATTTACATATGAATAGGTTTATTGTAATCAAAAGGGAAATTCCCTTTATATCTTTGTTATTGCTTAATACGGCTTGCTGCAATACTGACGCAACACGATATAATAACCCAGGCGACTGTTAGCGACTGCTGGCGACTGCTAACGTAGGTGCGTAGATAGTGGCTTAGTTTTTTGCATCCCTCACGTTCGTTTTCCGGCAAAAATTCGTCGCGTGAGTCATCAGGCATTATATCATTACATCATTTGTACTTTCCTTTGCTGTTGAACGAGGTCAGTAAACTGCTTAACAATGAAAGCAGAACTCTCTTACCGGGCGACAATCCGTGTCAGTTTTGTCAGGAAATTGAATGACGTGATGTTAATTTTAATCTGCGTCGGCTAAGGCGAACTTTTTCAGAAAAAAATTTTCAAAATTGCACAATAACAACACTTTTTCTTTCTGGTTTGCCACTATTCAGGAATCGAGGAATTATTATGTACTCATCGACCTGCGGTTTTAGAGGGAAGGCGAAGAAACTGATATTTTCCTCGATAGAAAGAAAAAGACTTGAATGATTGGTTCGGAAGAAATATTCTGGAAAAATAAATGAAAGGAAGAGTAAAGAACAATAAGAGAAATCGCCATGAAGGCCATCTTATTGGACGACTTTTGTTCCCAAATAATTTTGGAGCATTTACTTATTTATTTAGTAATTTTTTTGGCTCGAACCTTTTGGACTAGATTTCCTTTTTGCATCGACATCTTTCTCCATCTTTCCAATATTTATTCACTGCAACAGGTTTCGCTACTTGAATGCTCGAGTTCTGTAGAAACAACTAGCTTGTTTTTTTCAATTTTATCGTCGAGAAACGTTATACGTCCTTGCAGTGGGTCTATTTCGGTGTTAAATTTATTAGAGGAGGCGAGATTAAGAGCCTCCTCAGCTTTCTCCTTTGCAAGTTGCAGACGCCCTTGGCGATAAAACTGATCCGATCGTTTTTTCAAGAGCAGTACTCTTGTGCCTGTGGGGATACTGTCACCAAGATTATGCTGAACGAAATTGAGGTGTTCTTCTGCTTCTTTTATGTCAGTTAATGGAATAGGTTTCGCTTGGGTTCGCGTGGCAGTTGAAACACAATCAAGGCGTAATGCTGCAAGACTGAGATGAGTGTACCTTTGCCTTTTGGCCTGGACCCTTAGTCGAGGATCCTCTTGGCTGCAAGAGATAGCTTTCTTAAGAAAGTATATCGCCTTTTCTTTGACGATTGTACGCGCCTGTGCATTCCGCTGGTCATCCGGTATAAGGCTCATGCGATCCATCCAAAGGTGACCGTATTTTTGGTAGAGTTCGGCCCAATCTTCCGGCGAGTCGTAGTTTTGCAACAAAAACTCGCTGCGCTCAAGGTATTCAAAGAGCCTAGGTAACTTCACACCCTTTCTTCTTCTTTTGTCAGCCACAAGTAAAAAGTAGGCTCTTGCCATCAGAATATTCGAATTAAGTGCATGACACGTTTTGTTTTTGTCTGATTGTATGACTGAGGTAAACATACTCTTGCTTTTTCGAGACTCTCTCTGATAAGTAAAGGCCACTCCTCGCTCTATTTTTAAGGCCAACTCCAAGTCAGGTTCCTTTCCATTGGCACAACGCTGAAGCAACGACGTGACTAATTGCTCGTGTTCGTTAAAATGTCCATTGTCTTGCAAAATCTCAAGCTTTTCCAGGATTCTCTCGCATTGTGGTCCTTTGAGATACCCTTGTTTCTTGATTAAGGGCATCGGTTTTTCAACATTGTATGAAACAATTCCATCTGAGTCTGCCTTTCGACAATCGGCTTGTACTTCTTTAGAAAGCTTTTCTTGGCCACAGCAATGATCATTTTTTCCTTGTTCTATGCTTGACTGACCGACCAGTACGACGCTTGAGCTTGAGACCATTAACGTCAAAGATTTGGTGTGTGCTTTAGATCTTACTTCAGAAACAATCGAGACTGAATCATCGGAAGGAAACCTAGATAACGAGTCTTTCATGTCGGTGCAAGTTGTCTGTCCATGGTCTGTGCGCTCTTTTGCAATTTGTTTAGCGTTGCTATAAACGCCAACGCTTACAGGCGTATTTCTTGTTTGGTCATCCATGTTTGTTCAAGAGTAATAATTCGTTGTTTCCAGCGTTGTATCCTTGGACTTGTGATTTTGAACCTGCTAGAAGAAAGAAGACGAAGACGTCGAATAATCTGTTTCGGTGACGAAGTTTGTTTATGTTCTTCCCCGACAGCACCATAAAGATGCTCTGTTCCAGTTAGTGAAAGCCATAGTTTCTTGTAGATTTAGCCGTGAAAAAAGGTTTCCGTCGAGATAATCGCAAGAATTATTTAAAACAAAGCCATGTTTTCGTTTTGTTAAGAAAAGGATGATACGTATACATTGTCCTACTTTCTTTAAATTCGGAGAGGTGAATTATAGAGTCATCATATCTTTCATGTCATATTTGCATATAAATTTTAACCAATCGGTTTATTTCCTGTGAGGGAAAGTCCCTGTGATATATAAACGCGCATTACGTCAGTTATCGAGAGGCCCGCAGAGGGTAGCAACATAATTAAGAGAAATGGCAATCCCCCAAGTCAAGATAATTATGTTTTTCGGTATTTACATCATGCACGACTAGCTGCAATGCTGACGCAGATTTAATTTTTCAAGTATCTTGCCCAGTATTTTGATTATTTCAATTAGAAGGTTTAATTCTAAGTTATATCTATAGGAGGAAGCCACACTTAAGCCTTCTCGGCTGTTTCTATTGTCAGGTGGTATAATGGCTGACGAAGAGATATAAATAGAAAAGTGCTCATCTTTTTAAAAATATGCATGATATTACTATCATTGTTCACCTGACCCTGACCACGATTGAAATTAAAATAGTAATTTCGCTGTCACACATTATAGACAAACACTTGTTCCTTGTTGAAAAAATTATCACCGGCCACCGACTTTCTATTTGTGTGGTCAGCTACAAATGAAAAATAGGATCTTGCCGTTAAAATACTAGGATTCGTAACATCGCAATTTAGTGTTTGTTCTGATTGTATGACTGAGGAAAACATACATTTGCTCTTTTTAGACTCTTTCTGATAAGAAAAGGCCACTCTTCGCTGTATTTTTAAGGCCAACTCCATGTCCGGATTTCCCCATCCGCAAAACGTTAAATACACGCAGTAACAAGGTGCTCATATTCAGCAAACTTTCCTGCGACCTACAGAAGCTCAAGTTTTTTCACGAATCTCTCGCACTCTTGTCCGTTTAGACATCCCTGTTTTTCGTTTAAATTGGATCAATGGAGGGTCAACGCTGGCAATGAAAGTATCGCGCCACTCAGTCTGTGAAAAGTGTTGCGTTTCCCCAAAAGTTTGGATTTGGCAGGCCACCAATGCTGCAGGTCGCCTGTATTGGTCTAGAAGGCTACCCTTTGTCTCTGGAGCAGAGTCTGATTGTACCTCCCCCCGTTGGCACTACGTCTCGTCACTACTCGCCGTAAATATATTCTTCCTGCTCTAGCGTTTGTAATGCCTCGCAGTTATACCAAATAGAACGCCAAACTTTTGTGACTATTTGACGGAAGACAAGGAACTTTGATTGATTTGTTTACAACAACAAACAGGTTTGAATTCTTTCTTTAATCTCGTCGAAGCAAGGATGTCCTCGGCGGATTTATGAGATATTTTCCACGCAGCCACGCAGTAAACTGAAACAGAAAATCATCAATGCTTTCGTCAGAGTAAAGACGAGACTATATTATAGGCCTTTATAACAGTGGCGGTTACAACATTTAGGTAGCAGAAAGAATGAAATATTTATGATTCCGATAAAGTAAATACAAGCACGCTTGCCAGTTCGAAAGCGAAAGACGCGATAACATGACGTAAATATTGGTAGTTGCTTCTTCTAGGCAAATTTTCTTTTCTCGAATGACTTTTTTCCCAGAGACATCGTTATAGTGTAATCTTCAGACCCGAAACGGTACCTAAATAATAAAATCGTTTTCAGTCATATTAGCATTTATGCAAATTTACATTAGCCAACAGACTATATCAATCTTATAGCGCAGCATTTAGCACATGTCACGCACTTGATAGAGTATCGAAATTGTGTCCCATTTGCCCTTTATATACTGTTTTGTTAAAGTGGCCATGACTGCAATAATTGACAAGCGTCCATTCAGTAACCCAAATTAAAAGCTTTGCGATCACCGGAGAATATTCTGTTACCTTAAAGGCGCAGGAAAATAAGATTGATGGAGTGATATCTTCAACTATCGCTCTAAGGGATTAGAAATGTTCAAGTGTCTTCCAATTTCTGGATTCAAGCAACTTCTGGATATTTTCTTAGTTTCAGTCTTTGAGGAGCTTGAAAAAATTTTTAAAAATTTTGGAGACATTTAAAAGTGTAAAGTAAATTTTGCAATTTTCTAACGATGGATTCAGAAATAATGGCGTGATTTTGAATACATTCGGTACAGCCTCACTGGATTGCACGATTTCATGGACTTCTTATTGAATAACTGCTTAACAATGAAACTGTCTTACTAGTCGACAGTTCATGTAAGTTGTGTTAGGAAATTGAATGGCGAGATGTTGATTTTAATCGGCCAATCTCTATTCACTACAACAGGTTTCGCTACCTGATTGCTCGAGTTCTGTAGGAACAACTAACTTGTTTTTATCAAGATTATCGTCGAGAAACGTTATACGTCCTTGTGGAGAGTCTAATTCGGTGTTAAATTTATTGGAGGACGCGAGATGAAGAGCCTCCTCAGCTAACTCCTTTGTAAATTGCAGAAGTCCTTGGAAAGAAAACTGATCCGATCTCTTTTTCAAGAGCAGCACTCTTGTGCCTGCGAGGATGTCATCAAGATCATGCTGAATGAAATTGAGGAGTTCTTCAGCTTCTTTTATGTCACTTAAGGGAATAGCTTTCGCTTGGGTTCGCGCGGCAGTTGAAACGCAATCTAGGAGTAACGTTGTAAGACTGAGATGAATGTACGTTTTCCTTTTGACCTTAACCCTTACTCGATGATCCTTTTGGCTGTAAGAGATATCTTGCTCAAAATAGTATCTTGTATTTTCTCTGGCGGTTATACCTGCCGGCTCATTCCGCTGGTCATCCGGTATAAGGCTCATACAATCCAGCCAAAGGCGACCGTATTTTTGGTATAGTTCGGCCCAATCCTCCGGCGAGTCGTAGTTTTGAAACAAAAACTCGCTGCGTTCAAGGTATTCAAAGAGCTGACGCTTTCTTTTTCTTACGTCAGCCACAAGTAAAAGGTAGGCTTTTGCCATCAGAATATTTGAATTAAGTACATGACACGTTTTGTTTTTGTCTGATTGTATAACTGAGGTAAACACACTCTTGCTCTTTTAGACTCTTTCCGATCCCCTATTTTTAAGGCCAACTGCAAGTCAGGTTTATTTCCATTGGCACAACGTTGAAGCAACGATGTGACTAAATGCTCGTGTTCGTTAAATTGTCCATTGTCTCGCAAAATCTCAAGTTTTACCAGAATTCTCTCGTATTGAGGTCTTTTGAGATACCCTTGCTTTTTGATTAAGGGCATCGGTTTTTCCACACTGGAGGAAACAATTCCCCTGAGTCCGCCTTTCGGCAGACTCAGGGTTTTTAAATAAAGCCATGTTTTCGTTTTGTTAAGAAAAGGATAATACGTAAATTGCCATGCGTTTTTTTTAATTTAGAGAGACGAATAACATGTTTATTTATGATACCAGTCATTCTGATGTTTTCTATAAACTTTAACTAATAGGTTTACTATAAGGAAAAGTCTCTGGATATTTTGACCACAACTACGTATTACGTCAGTTATTGAGAAGCCCGCAAAGGGTTGCAACATAATTAAGAGAAATGGCAATCCTCCAAGTCAAGATAATTATGTTTATCGGTATATATATCATGCACGGCTAGCTGCAATGCTAACGCAGATTGAATTTTTCTAGTATCTTGCCCAGTATTTTAATTAATTTAATTAGAGGGTTTAATTCTAAGTTATATCCATAGGAGGAAGCCACACTTTAGCCTTCTCGGGCGTTTCTATTGTCAGGTGGTATAATGGCTGACGATAAAACAATAAATATGTAAAAAAGCGCTCATATTTTTAGAAATATGTATGATATTACTATCATTGTTCACCTGACCCTGAGCACGATTGATATTGAAATAGTAATTTCTCTGTCACACATTATAGACGAATACTTGTTTCTTGTCGAAAAAATTATCACTGACCACTATTCAAATTGTAGTGAAAAGGAAGCAAGCGAATAGATAAAATAAAATAAATAATGGCAAAAAGTAAATACACAAATGATCAAAAGAACGTCAAAAACAGGCAAAGTTACTGTGTTTCCACCACAGAGTATGTCGTATACTTAGTATAGATATGATATTCTTCCGATCTTGTTTTATTTAATTGTGATACTTATTCAATCCTTTTCAAGTTTATAATCTCGTGATCTTTACTCGGTGCCGCTACAGCAGCTTTCAGTATGGGTATCTTCTATTTCCATGATAGTAACTTCTTTGGCAACCTCAAGCTTTACGTCAAGAAACTGGATCCTTTCTTGAAGAGTGTCTAATTCAGTGTTAAATCTATTCGAGGAAGCGAGCTGAAAAGCCTCCTCGGCCGTTTCTTTGGCCAGTTGGTATAATCTCTGACGATAGAATTGATCAGATCGAGTTTTTAAGAGCTGTACCTGTGTTCCCGTGGGTATACTCTTACCAAGTCTATTCTGAACAAAATCAAGGTGTTCTTTGGCTTCCTTAATATCACTGTGAGCGATTTCTTTTTCTTGGGTGCGCGCGGCAGTTGAACTACAGTCTAACAGCAGTGCTGCTAATCCGAGATGACAATACGTTTGTTTCTTTATCTGAACTCTCGGTCGTTTATCCCTTTGGCAGAAAGAGATAGCTTGCTCATAGTAATATTTTGCTTTATCCCGAGCAGTCTCTCGCGCCTGCGCATTCCTCAGGTCATCAGGGATAATGCTCATATACTTCAACCAAACGGATCCGTAAATGCAATACAGCTCGGCCCAGTCTTCTGGGGAATCGTGATTTTGCAGAAGAAACTCGCTGCGTCGAAGAAATTCAAAGAGCGGGGATAACTTCACCGACTTTGTATTTCTGTAGTAAGCAACAAGTGAAAAATAGGCTCTTGCCGTTAAAATACTACGATTCGTAACATCCCAATTTTGTGTTCGTTCTGTTTGTATGACAAAGGTAAACATACTCTTACTCTTTCTAGACTCTTTCTGATAAGCAAACGCCACTCCTCGCTCTATTTTTAAGGCCAACTCCATGTCAGGATCATTTCCATCACAACAAAGTTGAAGCAACGATGTAACTAAGTGCTCGTGTTCGTTAAAATGTCCATTGTCTTGCAAAATCTCAAGTCTTCTCAGAATTCTCTCGCATAGTGGTTTTTTGAGATACCCTTGTTTCTCGATTAAGGGCATCGGTTTTTCAATACTGAAGGAAACAATTCCATCTGAGTCTGCCTTTCGGCAATGGGCTTCTGCTCCTTTAGAAAGCTTTTCTTGGCCACAGCAATGATCAATGTTTACTTGTTCTATGCTTGACTGACCGACCAGTACGACGCTGGAGCTTGAGACCATTAACGTAAAAGATTTGGTGTGAGCAATCGAGACTGAATCATTGAAAGGAAACCTAGATAGCGAGCTTTTCATGTCGGTGCAAGTTGCCTGCTCATGGTCTGTTCGCTCCTTTGTAATTTCTTTAGCGTTGCTATAAACGCCAACGCTAACAGGTGTATTTCTTGGTTGGTCGTCCATGTTTGTTCGCGAGTAATATTACCTTGTGTTCAGCGTTGTATCCTTGGACTGGTGATTTTGAACCAGTGTAATTTAAGGTAGATGCGGTTTACCTCCTACTAGGAAAAAGAGATATTTCTCTGAAGACGTCGAATGCACTGTTTCGGTGATGAAGTTTGTTTATATTCTCCCCGAAAGCACCATCTGTTGCGGTTAATGCGAGCTAGAGTTTCTTGTAGATTTAGCCGTGAAAGAAGATTTTCATCGAGATAATGGCAAGAATTATTTGAAATAAAGCCACGTTTCCTTTTGTTCTTAAAGAATGATACGTAGATTGTCCTACGTTCTTTAAATTCGGAGAGGTGAATTATAAATTAATCATCTCTTTCATCTGATATTTGCATATTAATTCTAACCAGTTGGTTTATTTTCCTGTGAGGGGAAGTCCCTTGATATTTTAACCATAACCACGCATTACGTCAGTTATTGAGAAGCCCGCAGAGGGTAGTAACATAACTGAGAGAAATGGCAATCACCAAGTCAAGATAATTATATTTATCGGTATTTACATCATGCACGGTTAGCTGCAATGCTAACGCAGATTGAATTTTTCAAGTATCTTGCCCAGTATTTTAATTATTTCAATTAGAGGGTTTAATTCTGAGTTATATCTGTAGGAAGAAGCCACGCTTGAACCTTCTCGGCTGTTTCTAGTCAAGATAATTATGTCCATGCACCTCCAGCTGCAATGCTAGCGCAGAATGAACGTTTCAAATATCTTGCCCAGTATTTTGATTATTTCAATGAAAGGGTTTAATTCTAAGTTATATGTATAAGAGGACGCCACACTTTAGCCTTCTCGGCTGTTTCTGTGGTCAGGTAGTATAATGGCTAATGATAAAACAATAAAGGGGAATGAAGGGAATTTTTTTTTTAAAATACCAATGTTGGTAATCCAATGGGTTTTCTCCCCAGAATATGGGGAAATGGTGGGACTATTTTTGCACAAGTTGGGAAATATTTCAAGATGTTATTCCCAATTTTGGGAAATGCAAGGGACAAGAAATCCCCACCTTGGGAAAGGTTAAAGCTAGGGTTAAGTTTTCCCGATGCCGTGTTTAGTTTGGGAAAATATGCAATATAGATTCCAAGATCCCAAAATTGGGAAACCAATGGGTTTATTTCCCAAAATATGGGAAAATAATGGGGCTATTTTTCCACAAGTTGGGAAATATTGCAACATGCTATTCCCAATTTTGGAAAATGAAAGGGACAAGAAATTCCCACCTTGGAAAAGAATTTAGTTAAATCTAGATTTGTTATTCTTATGACTATTGAGTGGGAAAGAATACAATAATCTTGTGTTAGCATTACAATGTAAGGGTAAGGCTTATTTGAAAACCAGAAGTATGGTAATTCAGTGCATGCACTTAATGAAATGTAAGTTTATAACCACATTAACATGTGACAGAAACATCAAATCAAATTAAAAATTGGATACTACAACTATACTGCTGATGGCATTGTTGATACATTTCCTTATGAGCTTATACCAAAAAGTCAGCATTTTGCCTTAATTACAATATTCAATATTTTTTTAAGTTGCCTTCACCCATGTTGAAATACTACTCCAGTGTCCTTCGGCAATTCCAGTAATTGAATCCCAAGCCACAACATTCCTTACTGACCTGCCATGTGATTCCCTCACATATGTATTGTAATGAGTAAGTCTCCTACTTGGAATGAAAAAGGAGACATCTACCGTTCTGTTGACAAAATCTACACTTTGTACATGACCATGCCAAATGTCTCCACAGCACTCACCCTGAACAAGAATCATGTCCCCTCTTTAAGGATAAACAGGTACGATTAATTCACAAGGACAATTTTCATGATGACGCATGTAATCTACTACTGTCAGTAAATTGTCATTGTATGGGTACAGAATAACTTTCCGGGAAATGTTGGCAACTTTAAACACTATGGACCTGGGATTTGGCTCGCTCTCAACCTTGACAAAGCCACTCTAATAGTGGGTGTCGACTACACCAGTCTCTGTAAGATGCAATGGATAAAGAAATCCATGACCTAATAAACTGTTCAAGTTACCATCAGTGTTGACAGAAAAAAATCCTTGCAGCTGGACTATATGTTCTTGTCCATTGGCGGACACTATGAAATTGTCACCAAAAGCAAAAACAGTTCCATTGAAAGCAATGTCTGATTTAAAACATCTCTTTGAAACAAATGTGGCCTCTGGAACTTTCCAACTAAGTACACACAACAGTTCAGCTATTTTGTCTTGGTCACCCATAGTAAGAGGCTTAATGTTTGATACTGAACCGATGAGAAAAGCATCCCTTGGAGGAGGCTCCATTTCACACAGTGCCTTGGCTGTTTCACTTGAGCAAGCTATCCCCTATATGAAGAAACAAGAAAAGACACATTGGATATCAAGAACTTGTTACATTCTTGAACAGCAAATTATATCTGCACTATAAAAAAAAAAAAAAAAAAAAATAATAATAATAATAATAATGATAATGTAGAACAAGGGAAGGGGAAATTCAGAGTTTATAATATTATTTTATTCACAAAAATTTATGGGTTATGTGAATTTGTCAAGAGTTTCAAATTCGCCAGTAAAACATCATGCTTTCCAAGGCTAGTTTGTTCTTTTTCCTCCATTGATTTTGAGTACTCTCTTATTGACTCTACATGGGCAAATGTAGCTTCGATGTTTTTTCCATTGTGAGACATCTTTACATACTCCTTAACAGTTCTTTCATACACTGCACACCAAACATTATCCGAGGTTGAGAAATTTATGATGTCTTCATGAATATGAAGTAAGTTGTGCATTGAGATGGTACACAATGCCAACCCTTGTACTTCTTCCACTAATATATTTAACCGCCATGCCAATTTCTGGTGCCGTTTGATCATGTCAAGAGTCCATCCATTCCTTTCACCATGAAAGTGCAGCTCTGTCAATCTTGCTATAAGGGAGACAATTTCATATTCCTTAGCATTAGTAAGTTGGCTTTCCATAATGCATGCTGCCATTGGAAATGAAAATTTCTGGAAACTTTCAGCTTTCCAATATCCAATACCTTTGCAATCTTTACCCAGTTGTTTTGTAAGTCTGCCATCTTTTAATTCACCAGTCCATGGAAAGTTACCAATTTGTTTATCAAGCCCTGTTTTGTCAAGCATCTCCAACTCCAAAGCTCTAGACAACTGATTCTTGACCACATTCAGGGCAATTGTGTGATAGGCATCATAAAAAAGATGATTCAAAATGTCAAATCCATAAAGGTTGTAAAGATACTTGTGAAAAAGGGACAGTCCGGTAAAGCCTTTTTCTGATGACATTCTTTTCCGAACACTTGGTCTTGTTTCATTCTCAATATCAAAAATATTTCCAAGTTCTGATTCAATGACCCTCTCTCTCCAAGGGTGTCTAAAATGCAAGCGATTTGTCCATAGTAATAGTGTGTATTTGAGCTATTCTGTAGATGTCGACCGACCAGTTTACATCTGCGACATGCACATTTACCCTGGTTAAGAAACTTCCCTGTTTCGCATTGACCAGGATGATCAGCTGTCCACACCAGTAAAAGCAATCGAACTATTTCCTCATTAGATGGTTCAAAACCTGGAATTGTGATTCCTTTAGGGTAGTTCACTTTGTAACCTTCAATAAATCCCTCACACAGATCATTCATTACAGGCTGCCAAAAAGGGTCCAATCCATTTGGTAGATTAGGAACTTGGGAACAAGGCACAAAACTTACCACGTAAACTTCCTCCACGTGATTTCTTTCAGCCTTTTTCATGTTAGCAACAGAAACTGCAAAGGATCCAGACCCCCTGTAGCTTGAACCAAATGGCTGCCAGCCATCAAAGTGCCCCACAAGTGGCACGTTTAATGGGGAGCCTTTTGTCTTTCTAATATGGTGTTCAAATTATTCAAAACAAACAGGAAACTCAACAATTTTCACATTGCTATCCCCATCTTGATCTTTAGCTTGTGAGTTAATGAGATGGTTTGCAGGTATGAGAATGTCACAGTGTACACAACAGGTTGGCAAAGTCCATGTGCTATCTGGGTTCCAAAACCACTCGAGCTCTGACCACCGCTTCCCATCCCAAAGCTATTTCCTTAATCGGCAACCTACGCCATTTGCTAGCCAGTGATCTTTCTTAATCCAATGTGCAAGCATTTGTTACATATAGTTTTATTTCTGAACCAGTTCTTCACCCTATTCTTGAGACCTAAATACAAATACTTTATGTAACCAGCATTACCACCGTAAGGACATTTTCCTTGTTTGCTATCCACGATGCTGTATGTGCCATGGAAGACAGTTTTCTTGGTAGTTTTTTCCATCTTTTGTGATTTCCTTTTCCTCAAAACAGAAACAAACAAAGAATTCTTTAACATCTTCATATCCCTGCTCTTTTAAAAGCAACTGTACATCGTTCCAACTTTTTTGTCATAAGGTTGTCAAAACCTCGACATCCACATCCTCGTTTAGAGAAAGAAAGAACAGTTTCTTTCCGTACTCCAAAACATCCTCAAATGTTCTTACCGATGCCCCACTTTGATGCTTTATTCTAAGAGCATCCAGTACAGCTTTAACCACTATCTCTTTCAAAGGGTTTTTTTCAACATCGATGTCATCAGCGTCCTCTTGTTCACTACTGTCAAGCGGTTCCACTAGCGGAGAATCAGGGTCTCGTAGAGTTCCGTTCTCTTCCCCACACAGCTTATCATAAGTATCTTGTTCGAGCAGAATATCGTGAAAAATGTCAGAGTCAACATCTGATTGGTAAGAACTGTTTTCGACCGCAAATTCATGTGTTTCTTTCCAATTTCGAAGCTCTGTTTTTCGGTCAGTTGCTCTGCCCTGGCATCCAAAGCAAGGACACTGAACGTGTCTAAACGGCTTTTCTTTACACTCACAGCTTGTAATGTCATCTCTTGACCAGGTAGACCTTACTCTTTCTGAACTACTAGTCATAATCGATGCAGTTATAATAATGCGCCATTTTCAACACCCATGGTACGATGAAAGAGAATCGCGGGTAAACAAATTCCGCGCCAAAAATATATGTTAGCCAATCACGAGGACGGAAACGCATGATGCAATACCGAGCCCTCGTACGTTTTGGTCAGCAGACGATCTGGTCGAGCGAGGATTTCGGCGCCAAGAGATCGCGCCAAGGTACTATCAGAAAGGTGGCAGAAAACTCGGTCTTTCGTGTATTATTTGTACAAAATGGCCAATTCTGACAGTACAAGTACAGATGAATTTGAGAATCCAAAAGTAGAAAACGCAGAGAAAGCGAAGTGCAAAGTACGAGAAATATTCGGAGATGAAACGACCAAGGCCTTCGAAGGTATCGAAGCTTAACTTTTGTTGACAGTGTAAGCTTATCAGTTGATGTTTGATGAAAGCTCAAGTCATATTATTGTGTATGACCTCATTTTTTCAATTCAGTGATTTGAAGTTCAGTTTTCTTTCTATCTGTTATTCCATCATTCTGTAAGTCTTGCTATAAAATAACTTTTGGCGCCATTAATTAAAGCTTAACTTACTCTTAGACTCTGTTGATTCAAATACTAGACATTCCGCCTCTCTGGAAAAGGCCTCAGTATTAAGCTTATGTAGTATTATCTATTTATCTAACTTCTGCTCATTTTCTAAAGTATAACTGCCCCATGTTTATAGCTGAAGAATTGTTAAACGAAGAAAGAATTAAGGATTTGATGACAAGAGATGCTGATACCCCAATCTTTGGCAGGCTTGGCCTGACATATGGAAAAGCTGTTCGCTTCAAAGCCGAATTTAAAAAACTCTTTTCTGAACGAAAGATCGTCTCTGGAAGAAGGGCATCACCTGCAAATGTAAAACCTCGAATGGAGGATATAGCCTTCTTCTCCCCGGAACAAAAGAGCGCCTACCTACTAAAGTAAGTTCGTTTGGAATGTTCTCATTTTTTCAAAGGTATTTGAGTTCGGAAACATATAAAGTGTGAATAAACGAGCTGACCTGAACAACAGCGAGTTTGGAAATATTACAAGACCGATTATACACAGCTTGTTCATAGTTTGCCATAGATCTTCCTGTAATTTCTGATTACATAGTTTGTTGTTGTCAATATTATGTTACACAGCTTACATACGGAACCAATTTGTGCGTTTGCACAGATCCGGTACAAACCCCTCGAGCACATTGTAAATAGAGATAAGGGTGAAAAACCTTCTCTTTGTTTTTATTGCAGACGGAAAAGGATTGGAATGTTAGCATCAACCCAATGGAAGGGAGTTGTACCAAAGTGCAATAATCCCAAGGCAAAAGCAGAGTTGGCAAGTTTTGCTTCTGAAATTACTCCCCAGTGTGGTATGCCAGAAGTAGGATTTAACGAAGAGGGAATCGTAAAACATGTGCAGGCCTACTTCAACGAACAACGAAGGTATAGGAGGAAAAAATCTGATTCAAAGGTAACTTTCCTAGTAAATTTCTTTCATGAATTTCTTTCATGCCACATCTGGTATGCCATGGCACGATATGCAATACCCCGATACCCTGTTGGAGGGCAGGTCATTCGAAATATTTTGAGGTGTGAGAGAAGGCTGAAATTTTGACCATTAATCAATACATTCTTTACTGTTACATAGAGAAAATGTTTGAGTGATGAAGATCCCAAGCTTCCTGAACTACATGAAGATGTGCTAACTTCTGTGGTACTTACAGTGATTCTACGAGAAGAGTCATAGTTTATGTAGTGGGGGAGGGGTGCTATGGTGATAACTGTTTTTTTTTTCTGTGTGTGTAATGTTTTTTGGAAGCTATCCCCAGCTCTTAATGATATCATTTAATCTCTTCGGTGAAATGGGACATGATTGATTGATAGATAATCTTTGGTTTCCCATTCTAGTCAGAGAGTGATAATGATGCATGCAAAAGAGTCAAGTCTGTTCAAAAGGTATGTGGCTTGGTTGACCTGATTCCTTCAGTGATAATGTATATACCTAAACACACTCAGCATTATTCAATTGACTTTTGTCTCACATTGACTTTTCATAATGTATGGTTGTTGGACAAAGTTGAAGCAATTAAATGGGTCTACAACATTATTTTGATCAAGTGGGGAGAGGTTTATATAGTAATAAGAATGAATTGTATAATTCACTATTACAAAGTAAGATATCGCACACTAAAGCCTAATTCTGATTTATCACTACAGTTCTTTTTTGGCTATGTGTAATTTCTTCAGTGTTTTACATCCTCTTGTAGGTATTATCTTTTATGCTTTGTGTGGTTTAAACCCTTTAAGATGTGTTTCACATGTACTTTTATATCACAGGTCAGTCTTGGAGAAGGTGACACTGAAATACAGTCACAAGAAAGTGACGATGACATGACAGTGTCAACTGTTTCAGTTGATTCAACGGAGGACTCTGTGGAGGAGGCCAGAGATGCATCAACAGCAATGGATGGTGTTCCCAAGTTAAAGCGTGCTGTTGAGAAAATTACAGTTAGTCTGTCACTAAAGGGTTATCAGATGATTGTTAAATCAGTATTTCGTGAACAGCTCGATTGAGACAACATTGTCAAAGTGCTAAGAGATAGATTTTCAGTGAAAGCAAATACCTTGACAACATTGACAGTATCACAGCTGACAGAGATCGTTGCAAAGAAATTGTTGAACTATCAATTCTGTTCCATCAAGAAGGGGGCCAGCTTAAGTAACATGAAAATGCAGGACATTATTGTGCATAAAGAAATTTCTCTTTGATCAGTCGATGAACTTGTCAAAAACATATAGCTGCACGAAAAGCACTGCCTTGTTCAGTATTAAAGTATGTTCATATTATGTATATTTTATATATAAATGTTGTTGTTAATCATGAAAATGAATGAATTGTCATCTAAAATAAATGTTACTGTTAACCCTATTAATAATAATAAACCTTGATTTTGTGTTTTACAACTGGACCAACATTGTTAAAGGGTGCTTGATTGATTCTAATGACATTCTGAACCAACAAAATCCCATAGTTCGGGAAATATGTGGGCCAATGTTATCCCATCATTGAAGATTAACTGGGGCAATAAAAACCCATCCTTGCAATATTACTATCCCAATGTATTCCCATACCTCGGGTTTAAAATGGTCCAATGTTATCCCACTAATTGGGGATTAGCTGGGGCAATAAAAACCCATGGTTGGGGTATAACTGTTCCAATGTAATCCCATACCTTGGGTTTAAGATGGCCCAATATTAACCCACTGTTGGGGTTCAACTGGGACAATTGAATCACAATTTGGGATTTTTGTGGGTTGAAAAAATCCCATAAATGGGATAAATATGGGACGGGAAAACTCCATTCCTGGGTTAAAGTTGGTACACTAAAATCCCAATTTGCGGGTTTTTAATGGGTTTACTTAAACCCAACTTTGGTTTTGGTAGCATTTTCCCAATTTGGGAAATTACAACCAAAACCCAAGAAAACCCCATAAATTTCCTGTTTTTTTCCCACTTTGGAAATCACCAAAAATTCCCTGTGTTCTTGTCGGGAAAAATTATCACCGACCATTATTCAAATTGTAGTGAAAAGGAAGCAAGCGAACAGATAAAATAGAGTAAATAATGGAAAAAAGGAAACACGCCAAAGGGCTGTTATGATAGTTAAACAAACGTTTGGCCTCGTTTCTAAAGGCTTTAATCTACAAAAACCTCGTGCTACATATACTTCACAAAATGGCGTCTTCACAGAACGAGTCCGCTGACATATGTGTTGGCGGGCACTAAAAGGTATCGGTATCCCGGATTAACAATAACATTAACAATGTAAATTACGAGTACCGGTAAAGTTACTTAAATGAAGTTTCCAATGTTTGACTGTCACTACAAGGGCAAAAGAATGATAAAAACAAACAGAGTTAATGTGTTTCCACCTCTGAGTATGTCATATACTTAGTAGAGCCGATAGTATTATCTTGATCTTGTAGTATTCAATTGTGATACTTTCAGTCTTCCTCAAGTTTATAATCTCGTGATCTTTACTCGGTGCCGCTACAGCAGCTTTCAGTATGAGCATCTTCTATTTCCACGATAGCAACTTCTTTCGCAACCTCGAGCTTTACGTCAAGAAACTGGATCCTTTCTTGAAGGGCGTCTAATTCAGTGTTAAATCTGTTCGAGGAAGCGAGCTGAAAAGCCTCCTCGGCCGTTTCTTTGGCCAGTTGGTATAATCTCTGACGATAGAATTGATCAGATCGAGTTTTTAAGAGCTGTACCTGTGTTCCCGTGGGTATACTCTCACCAAGTCTATACTGAACAAAATCAAGGTGTTCTTTGGCTTCCTTAATATCACTGGGAGCGATTTCTTTTTCTTGGGTGCGCGCGGCAGTTGAACTGCAGTCTAACAGCAGTGCTGCTAATCCGAGATGACAATACGTTTGTTTCTTTATCTGAACTCTCGGTCGTTTATCCCTTTGGCAGAAAGAGATAGCTTGCTCATAGTAATATTTTGCTTTATCCCGAGCAGTCTCTCGCGCCTGTGCATTCCTCAGGTCATCAGGGATAATGCTCATATACTTCAACCAAACGCATCCGTAGTTGTAATACAGCTCGGCCCAGTCGTCTGGCGAATCGTAATTTTGCAGAAGAAACTCGCTGCGTTGAAGAAACTCAAATAGCGGGGATAACGCCACCGACTTTCTATTTGTGTAGTCAGCTACAAGGCTAAGCAAGGCTCTTGCCGTTAAAATACCAAGATTCGTAACATCGCAATTTTGCGTTTGTTCTGATTGTATGACTGAGGTAAACATAGACTTGCTCTTCTTCAACTCTTTCTGATAAGAAAAGGCCACTCCTCGCTCTATTTTTAAGGCCAACTCCATGTCAAGTTCATTTCCATTGGCACAACGTTGAAGCATCGATGTGACTAAGTGCTCGTGTTCGTTAAATTTTCCATTGTCTTGCAAAATCTCAAGCTTTTCCAGGATTCTCTCGCATTCTGGTCCTTTGAGATACCCTTGTTTCTTGATTAAGGGCATCGGGTTTTCAATACTGGAGGAAACAATTCTACCTGAGTCTTCCTGTCGGCAATGGGCTTTGTTTGAAGTTTGAAGTTGGCAGGCTACCAATTCCGCTGGTCGGTTGTGTTGGTCCAGAAGGCTGCCCTTTGTCGTTAGAGCAGATTCTGATTGTACTTCACCCCCGTTGGCACGTTTTGTTTGCTGTTTAAGCAAAGTGTGCTCCCGGTAAGGCTGCTGCTGTTTGGCGAGTGATTGTTGGACTATGACCACGCTCTTACTTTGGATCCTTAACTTCAAATTTCTTAGTTCTGTGGCCTTAGTAGAAACTGAGATTAAATTTTCGGAATATTTGTTTGCATCGTTACCAGATTCACGTTTTCTTCGTTCCGGTTCCATCGGAAGGATTTCAACGGTTTCGTTCGATGTACACTGCTCTGTAGACTGCTTCTCATCACCACTCATCGTGAATATATTCTTCCTCCGGATAAAGTTTATGCAAATTTACATTCATCAACAGACACAATCGATCTTATAATTCAGCATTAGAGTATCGAAACTTGTCTTGTGTTTCCTTCGCCCTTTTGTTACCGTCGTCATGACTGCAATCATTGACAAGCAACCATTCAGGAACCCAAATTAAAAACTTTGCGATCGTCGGGATTAGGGATTGGAAATGTTAAAATGTTTTTCAATTTTCTGAATTCAAGCAACTGCTGGATATTTTCTTAGTTTCAGTCTTTGAGGAGCTTAAACACATTCACATCAAGTTTTGGAGACATTTTAAAAGTGTAAAGTAAGTTTTGCAATTTTCTAACGATGGATTTGGAAATAATGGCGCGATTTTTAATACATTCAGTAAAACCTCTCTGGATTGCATGATTTCACGAAAGTCTCATTAAACAACTGCTTAACAATGAAACTATAACACCAGTCGACAGTTCATGTCAGTTTAATTAGCGTGATGTTGATTTTAATCGGCCAATTCCTATTCACTACAACAGGTTTCGCTACTTGATTGTTCGAGTTCTTTAGAAACAACTGGCTTGAATTTTTCAATATTATCGTCGAGAAACGTTATACGTCCTCGTGGAGGGTCTAATTTGGTGATAAATTTATTGGAGGACGCGCAATGAAGAGCCTCATCAGCTCTCTCCTTTGCAAGTTACAGAAATTCTTGATGATGAAACTGATCCCATCATATTTTTAAGAGCTGTATCGATCCCTGTGCCTGCGGGGACACTGTCACCAAAGTCATGCTGAATGAAATTGAGGTGTTTTTCAGCTTGGGAATAACTTTCGCTTGGGTTCGCACGGCAGTTGAAACACAGTCTAGGAGTGATGTTGCAAGACTGAGATGAATGTACGTTTTCCTTTTGATCTGAATCTTTACTTGATGATCCTTTTGGCTGTAAGAGATATCTTGCTCAAAATAGTGTCTTGCATTTTCTTTGGCGGTTCTACGTGCCGGTGCATTCCTCTGGTCATCCGATATTAGGCTCATGCAATCCAACCAAAGGCGACCGTATTTTTGGTAGAGTTCGGCCCAATCCTCCGGCGAGTCGTAGTTTTGAAACAAAAACTCGCTGCGTTCAAGGTATTCAAAGAGCCGAGATTTTCTTTTTCTTATCTCCGTCTTAAAGCCGCAAGTAAAAAGTAAGCTTTTGCCATCTGAATATTCGAATTATGTACATGACACGTTTTGTTTTTGTCTGATTGTATGACTGAGTTCTGAGGTCTACTCTTGCTCTTTTTTTACTCATTCCGATAAGAAAAGGCCACTTCTCGCTCTATTTTTAGGGCCAACTCCATTTCAGGTTCATTTCCTATTGGAACAACGTTGAAGCGATGATGTGACCGAGTTGTTCGTGTTCATTAAATTGTCCATTGTCTTGCAAAATCTCACCAGTTTTCCAGGATTCTCTCGCATTGTGGTCCTTTGAGATACCCTTGTTTCTTGATTAAGGGCATCGGGTTATCATTACTGGAGGAAACAGTTCCACCTGAGTCTGCCTTTTGGCAATGGGCTTGTGCTTCTCTAGAAAGCTTTTTTCGGCCACAGCAATGATCATTTTCTATTTGTTCTATACTTGACTGACTGACCGACTAGTACGACACTGAAGCTTGAGACCATTAACGTCAAAGATTTGGTGTGAGCTTTAGATCTTTCTTCAGAGACAATCGAGACTGAATTATTGGAAGGAAACCTAGATGGCGAGTCTTTCATTTCTGTGCAAGTTGCCTGCCCATGGTCTATGCGCTCTTTTGTAATTTATTCAGCGTTGCTAAAAACGCCAACGGTTACAGGCGTATTTCTTAGTTGGTCGTCCATGTTTGTTCAAGAGTAATAATTCCTTGTTTCCAGCCTTGTATCGTTGGACTGGTGATTTAAACCAGTGTAATTTAAGGTAGATGGGGATTACCTCCCATCAGACGATAGAGATATTTTTTCGAAGACGTCAAGTACTCTGTTTCAGTAATGAAGTTTGTTTACGTTCTTCCGTGATAGCACTGTAAAGATATTCTGTTCCGGTTAATAAAAGCCAGAGTTTCTTGTAGCTTTAACCGCGAAAAAAGGTTTACGTCGAGAGAATCCCAAGAATTAGTTTAAGTTAAGCCATGTTTTCGTTTTGTTAAGAAAAAAAATGATACGTACATTGCCCTGCGTTTTTTTTTAATTTAGAGAGACGAATGATATGTCAATTTATGATACCAGTCATTCTGATGTTTGCTATAAATTCTAACCAATAAGTTTACTCTCCATTGCGTCAGTTATTGAGAAGCCTGCAGAGGGTAGCAACATAACCAAGAGAAATGGTAATCCCCCAAGTCAAGATGATTATCTCCATCCATATTTCCATCACGCACGGCTAGCTGCAATACTAACGCAATTGAATCTTTTTAGTTTCTTTCCCAGTTTTCCGATTATTTCTATTAGAGGGTTTGATTCTAAGTTACATCTGTAGGAGGAAGCCACGGTTGCTTCTGGCTATGGTCAGGCGGTATAATGGCTGACGATAAACAATAAATGTATAGAAAAGTGCTCATCTTTTTAGAAGTATGTATGATATTACTGTCATTGTTCACTATTCTAGGAAGCGAGCTTAAAGGCCTCCTTGGCCATTTCTATGGCCAGTTGGTTTAATCTCTGACGATAGAATTGATCAGATCGAGTTTTTAAGAGCTGTACATGTGTTCCAGTGGGTATGTCCATGCACGGCTAGCTGCAATGCTGACACAGATTGAATTTTTCTAGTATCTTGCCTGGTATTTTAATTGTTTCAATTAGAGGGTTTAATTCTAAGTTATATCTATAGGAGGAAGCCACACTTTAGACTCCTCGGCTGTTTCTGTGGTCAGGTAGCATAATGGCTGACAATAAAACAATAAATATATGAAAAAGTGCTCATCTTTTAGAAATATGCATGATATTACTGTCATTGTTCACTTGACCCTGGGCACGATTGAAATTGAAATAGTAATTTCGCTGTCACACATTAGAGACGAACACTTGCATTTGTTCCTTGTCGGAAAAATTATCACCGACCATTATTCAAATTGTAGTGAAAAGAAAGCAGGCGAATAGATAAAATAGAATAAATAATGAAAAAAAGTAAATACGCAACAGGGCAAAAGAATATAAAAACAAGCAGAGTAAATGTGTTACAACCACTGAGTATGTCATATACTCAGTAAAGCTGATAATATTCTTTCGATCTTATAGTATTTAATTGTGATACTTATTCAATCCTCTTCAAGTTTATAATCTCGTGATATTTAATCGGTGCCACTATAACAGCTTTCACTAGGGCCATCTTCTATTTCCATGATAGCAACCTCTTTGGCAACCTCAAGCTTTACATCAAGAAACTGGATTCTTTCTTGAAGAGTGTCTAATTCAGTGTTAAATCTATTCGAGGAAGCGAGCTGAAAAGCGTCCTCGGCCGTTTCTTTGGCCAGTTGGTATAATCTCTGACGATAGAATTGATCAGATCGAAATTTTAAGAGCTGTACCTGTGTTCCCGTGGGTACACCCCCATCAAGTCTATACTGAACAAAATCAAGGTGTTCTTTGGCTTTCATAATATCACTGGGTGCGATTTCTTTTTCTTGGGTGCGCGCGGCAGTTGAACTGCAGTCTAACAGCAGTGCTGCTAGTTTGAGATGACAATACGTTTGTTTTTTTACCTGAACTCTCAGTCGTTTATCTCTTTGGCAGAAAGAGACAGCCTGCTCATAGTAATATTTTGCTTTATCCCGAGCGGTCTCTCGCGCCTGCGCATTTCTCAGGTCATCAGGGATAATGCTCATGTACGTCAACCAAACGCATCCGTAGTTGTAGTACAGCTCGGCCCAGTCTTCTGGCGAATCGTGATTTTGCAGAAGAAACTCGCTGCGTCGAAGAAATTCAAAGAGCGGGGATAACTTCACCGAGTATCTATCGGTGTAGTCAGCTACAAGTGCAAAATAGGCTCTTGCCGTTAAAATACTACGATTCGTAACATCGCAATTTTGTGATTGTTCTGATTTTATGACTGAGGTAAACATACTCTTACTCTTTTTAGACTCTTTCTGATAAGTAAAGGCCACTCCTCGCTCTATTTTTAAGGCCAACTCCAAGTCAGGTTCAATTCCATTGGCACAACGTTGAAGCAACGTTGTGACTAAGTACTCGTGTTCGTTAAAATGTCCATTATCTTGCAAAATCTCAAGTCTTTTCAGAATTCTCTCGCATTGTGCTCCTCTGAGATACCCTTGTTTCTTGATTAAGGGCATCGGTTTTTCAACACTGGAGGAAACAATTCCACCTGAGTCTGCCTTTCGGCAATGGGCTTCGTTTGGAGTTTGGAGTTGGCAGGCTACCAACTTTAATGGTCGCTTGTGTTGGTCTAGCAGGTTGCCCTTTGTCTTTGGAGTAGAGTATGATTGTACTTCACCCCCGTTGCCACGTTTTGTTTCCCGTTTATGCAAGCTGCACTCCCAGTTAAACTGCAGCTGTTTGGCGGGTGATTGTTGGACTATGACTAGAGTGTTATTTTGGATCCTTAATTTCAAATTTCTTGGTTCTGTGGTCTTGTCAGAAACTGAGATTGAATTCTGAGAATATGTGCTTGCATCGTCACCACCCTCACGTCTTCTTCGTTCCGGTTCCATCGGTAGCACTTCAGTGGTTTTGTTCGATGAACGCTGCTCTGTGGACTGTATCTCATTACTACCCATCGTAAACAAATAATTTCTTCTCGCTCTTCCGTTTCTCGCAGTTTCTCTCTTTATACCGAATACGACACCAAATCTGTGAGACTTTTTGAAGGAAGACAAGGCGCTTTGATTGAGTTGTTTACAATGACAGACAGGTTTGAATTCAAGCCATCGTTTCTTTCTTTAATCTCGTCGACACAAAGAGGTCCTCAGCAGATTTAGCTGGTACTGTCGATCAGGGATCGAACATTGCCTGATCGGAAAAGAAAGCGAAGAAATCTTTCCCTTCACTGAACAATGTCTTCGCTTTAAGAAGACCGACTTTTACTTTTAAATATCACCAACTTATGTAAACAAAAAGCCCAAATTACGGTTTGCTTCAATTTCAGGCGTGAATTTGCATAATCTTTCATGGGCGAAATTTTTTGAATTTCAAAGGTCAAAACCATTTTCTATGCTACATCTGCTTTATCTTTATCCACTTATCAAAGAAATCTTTCCAAATTACAGATACACCACAAAAGGTAGTTCACTTCGAATTTCAAGTTGTTCAGACCACATCCAAACAGGTTTTACAACACAGCTTCCATCTCAGACTCCCAGTGGAACGTGACGTAAAATACGTCACGCGTTACTAGGTAACAGTGCTCATACATATGCTCGAACCCCACTCAAGTGGGGTTCGCAGAATTACACACTTTGCCCGTGTTGCAGTCGTCATGAGTTCCAAGAAAGTATTGCAATTACGCTTGCCAGTTCGAAAGGGAAAGACGCGTAACTTGACTTAAATAGTATTAGTTGCTACTTCTAGACAAATTGTCTTTTCTCGAATGACTGTTTATCTACAAACATTGTTATAGTGTAATCTTCAGACACGACATGGCACCTCCAAGTAACAGTTTATGCAAATTTACATTCATCAACAGACACGATCGATCTTCAACTCAGCATTAAGCACAAGTCACGCACGTGATAAAGTACCGAAACTTGCCACGTGTCCCCTTGGCCCTTTACTTCCTTCAATCATTGACAAGCGTCCATTCAGTAACCCAAATTAAAAACTTTGCGATCGTCATGCGCGATTTTGAATATATTCAGTACAGGCTCTCTGGACTGCATGATTTCACGGATGTCTTATTAAACTCCCTGGTTCATAATTGGCACTAGATGCTGATAACGCGCTGTGGAGTAGATCTCACGAATTAAACCCATGAGCGTGGGACAAAGAAAAAATTCTGAGTCCCAATGAGGAATCTAACACGCGTCTTGCATACTGCTCGGAAACAGAATTATTTTTTTGTCCCACGCTCGTGAAAAGACGAAAGACATCCTTCTCTATTTCTTTACCAAGCTCAAAACTTACGTCTCTCTTATTTTATAATATATTAATATTTACATAGCGCCGATATCAATATTGCTATTTTCATCAGTGCTTAAAAATAAAAATATTTCAAAACTACTTAGACTATATAAATCGTAAAAAAAACCCGCGTAAAACCTAATAAAAACGAGATTAAAAAGCACATAAAATCACAAAAAGCTTTCTGAAATAAAAATGTATTGAGTGTCTTTTAATAAGATGCTAATGAAGGGCTACCCCTAATCGCATAGGGCAATAAATTCCATGGTTGAGGAGCAGCAGCAGCAAAAGATCGATCTCCTAACGTTGTTAAAGTCTTGAATTACACAGGGTTTAGAAGCATTTCATCACAATCGGAGCGTAACTTGTATTTACATGCTTCTTAAAGACTATTTAGTTCTGGAAGATAAAATGGCGCTGAGCCATTGATAGCCGTATACGTTAACAATTTATATTACAAACATGACGCTATCGACATTGTTGATCCTAGCAGAATGCACGACGCGTGTCATATAAACTTCGCAATAGACCTCGCTCACCTTAGTCTCTGTGGCTCAGTGGTAGAGCATCATAGCGCTGAATCCAAAGAACTGAGGCTCAATTGCTCATGGGAACTAAAAATGTTTTCTTTGTCCCACGCTTGTGACAAGACGAAAAACATCTTTCTCTTTATCTGAGTATTCAGTCACTCTTTTTCCGACAGGCTTACCGCTGACTTTCACTGACAATATGGAGTGGTTGATCGTATGCGATACAACCGTAGCAGAATTCATCGTGAAACGTCCGCCTGTTCCTGTAGATACCAAGCCACGAGTAGTAACATTAAAAGACAAACCTTTCACTGCTTCTTTGGTTTCTGAAAGCGCAGTCATCAGACTTCGTGGCCTCGAAAAGGAGATTCAAGACGACATCGGAGAGAGTGGCATCGCTAAACTTCATATTGCAGACGAGCTTCTGCGGGCTGCACTCGTTTTGTCACATTCGTTATCTGTAGGAATACATTTCGGCTTCCCTTGCAATATCAATGAGGCGTTTCCAGAAACTGAAACGGATGGTTCCCTTGGGGCAATTGCACTTGGTAAAGCTATCAAAGCCCTTGGAAGGGAGGTGACATTAATTGCAAGTTACTATCACGTCAAATTAGTACGGGTACTTGTCGAAACATTATTGGGAAACAAAGCTTGTGTTGCGAAGTTGACACCGCAACAGACACATAGCTCTAGCGGAGTGAGAGCAGCTGCTCAAAGGTTGCTGTTTCACAATCCAGCGAATCAAACGATTCCAAAGTCTGACGTTTTGGTTGTTATAGAAGTGGTTGGTGGGACAGAAGAGGGCCGTTACATGACCATGAAAGCAATGGAACTTGTCCGATATTTGTAAAGTCAGTCCAGTGGACGAAGTTCTCATTCAAGGTAGCTATAATTATAAGTTAATGGGAAGTGTACTTACTAACCCTGTGCCAAGATATTCAGTCATGCTCCCAATCGTCATTTAAAAGGCGGAGCCCTTTTGATTCGAGTGTTTGAGACATATATGACATTGTAATGACTTTCAGGGAAATATATAAATGCCGTTTCTCGACTTACTTGCTTACTTAGGCACGTGGCTCTATGTGGAGCATAGGCTATCGGTGACCCCTCGCCATCGCACTCTGTTCTGGGCTAATCTTGCTGCTCGCGTCCAGTTTGTACGTTGCTGCTTGAGCTCTGCCCAGTGTCTCGCCTCCAGCTGTTGCGAGGCCGGCCTCTCTTCCTCTTTCCTTGCGGGTTCCAGGTCAGGGCTTGACGTGTGGTGCTGGATGCTGGCTTCCTGTGGGTGTGTCCGATCCAGCCCCATTTCCTCTTCAGAATTTGTTTTGCTACTGGTTCCTGTCCCGCTCGCTCCCACAGTTCTTCATTTGGGATCATCTCTGGCCATCGGATGTTGTAGATGCGCCGCAGATAGGTGTTGAAGAATGTCTGGATTTTCTGTAGCATTGTCTTTGTCGTCCTCCAAGTTTCGCATCCATAGAGCAAGACTGACTTCACATTGAAGTTGAAGATGCGAAGTTTGGTTCTTGTCCTGATCTCCTTGGACGACCAGATGTTCTTGAGCATGGCAAAAGCTGCTCTGGCCTTGCCAATCCTGGCTGTGACATCTCTCTCCGTGCCCCCCTGTTGGTCGACTGCACTCCCAAGGTAGATGAAGGAATCCACTTCCCTGATGGGCTCTCCACCTACTGTTAGTGGTGTGTTGGCAGTGGTGTTAATCTTCATCAGCTCTGTTTTCTTCTTGCTGATCTTGAGCCCTGTCCCAGCTGATATGATCTCCAGGCAGGTGGTCCTGTCCTGCATCTGTCGGTGGTTGTGTGACAGGAGCACCATGTCATCTGCCTGTTGTGGTGGTCTTCATGATCTTGTCGATGACCAGAAGGAAGAGAAATGGTGACAGCAGGCGCCCTTGCTGGACTTCAGTCTTGACCTCAAAGTTTTCTGACAGCTGGCAGGCGTGAGCGATCTTGCAGCTCATGTCATGGTAGGTACAGCGGATGAGGGCGATGATCTTCTCCGGGACTCCGTAGTGCCCCAGCAGCTTCCATATCGTCTCTCTGTCCACACTGTCGAAGGCCTTCTCATAGTCTATGAAGCTGATGTAGAGGGGGGGAGTGCCACTCCAGCGACTGCTCCACTATGATGCGTAGACTGGCGATCTGGTCCGCACATGATCTAATTCTGCGGAAGCCAGCCTGCTGGTCTCGGAGCTTGGGGTCGACTGCCTCTTTCATCCTCTCCAATAGAACTCTGTTGAGCTCTTTGCCTGGCACTGACAGGAACATGATCCCTCGGTAGTTGTTGCAGTCCCTGAGGTCTCCTTTCTTGGGCAGCTTGATCACGATACCTTCTTTCCACTGAGCCGGTACCTCTTCCTTCGTCCAGATCTTGCTGAAGAGGCTGTGTAGCATGTTGGTCGCCGTTTCCATGTCTGCTTTAATGGCCTCTGCTGGTATCTTGTCCGGTCCTGCTGCTTTCCCATTTCTCAGTGTCATGATGGCCTTCTTGATCTCTGCTTTTGTGGGCTTGTCGCAGCTGATGGGTAGTTCTGTCTCTGCTGGTGGGATGTCGGGTGGTGTTTCAGGGGCGGGACGGTTCAGCAGTTCCCTGAAGTGCTCTGCCCATCGCTTCAGCTGTTCCTCGGTTGTCGTCAGTGGGTCTCCATCTTTATCCTTTACTGGCTTGTCTGTCTGCTGGAATTTGTCCGACAGCTTCTTGGCTACCAGGTATGGGTCTTTGAGGTTCCCCTGTCCGGCTGCTTCCTCTGCCTGACTGGCCAGGTTTTCGATGTAATTCCTTTTATCCTTCCTATGCTCCTCTTCACTTCTCCGTCTGCTGTTCTATATTCTATCTGTGCCTTTACCTTGGCTGCTCTTGTTCGGCTTGTGTTCAGGTCAGTTTTCCTCTTTTTCCTTGCTTTTAGCTTCTGGATGGTGTCAGAAAAGATCCATTCCTTGTGTTGGGTCGCCCTCTTGCCCAGACCTTCTTCACACGTACTGTGCCAGAGTTTCTTGCTGTCCTCCCATTGTGTCTCGATGTCTGTCTCCCTGCCTTCTGTCAGTTCCTGTAGTAGCTGGAATCTGTTGGAAAGGCTGACCTGAATGCTGTTCGTGTGTCCTTATTCCTGAGCAGTCCAACGTTGTACCTTCTTCGAGTGTTGTTTGTGTTGGCATACCTCTTCCGCCTCAGCCTCATTGTTGTCGTAACCAGATGGTGGTCTGATGACACGTCGGCACCTCTCATCACTCGCACATCTCGCCATGACCTCCTGAACTTCCGGCTGATGCAGATGTGATCAATCTGGTTTTCCCTTCTGTGGTCTGGGGATCTCCATGTGGCTTGTGTGGGAAGATGCTTCCTCCTATCACCAGCTGGTTCAAGGCGCACGGGTCTGCAAAGCGCTCACCATTCTCATTCATCTGTCCCAGTCCGTGTGTTCCCATGGTGCCCTCGTAGCCAGTGTTGTCTGTTCCGATCTTGGCATTGAAGTCTCCCGTCAGTATGGTCATGTCTTTGGCTCCTTCTTTGTCTATTACCGCCTGTAGTTGCTGGTAGAATGGGCAAAAGAATGATAAAAACAAACAGAGTTACTGTGATTCCACATGTTATATACTTAGTGTAGATATAATATCCTTTCGATCTTATAGTAACTAATTGTGATACTTCTTCAATCTTCCTCAAGTTAAAAATCTCGTGATCTTTACTCGGTGCCACTATAGCAGCTTTCAGTATGGGCATCTTCTATTTCCATGATAGTAACCTCTTTGGCAATCTCAAGCTTTAAGTCAAGAAACTGGATCCTTTCTTGAAGAGGGACTAATTCAGTGTTAAATCCATTCGAGGAAGCGAGCTGAAAAGCCTCTTCGGCTGTTTCTTTGGCCAGTTGATATAATCTCTGACGATAGAATTGATCAGATCGAGTTTTCAAGAGCTGTACCTGTGTTCCCCTCGGTACACTCTCACCAAGTCTATGCTGAACAAAATCAAGGTGTTCTTTGGCTTCCTTAATATCACAGGGAGCGATTTCTTTTTCTTGGGTGCGCGCGGCAGTTGAACTGCAGTCTAACAGCAGTGCTGCTAATCCGAGATGACAATACGTTTGGTTTTTTATCTGAACTCTCGGTCGTTCATCTCTTTGGCAGAAAGAGACAGCTTGCTCATAGTAATATTTTGCTTTATCCCGCGCAGCCTCTCGCGCCTGTGCATTTCTCAGGTCATCTGGGATAATGCTCATATACTTCAACCAAACGCATCCGTAGTTGTAATACAGCTCGGCCCAGTCTTCTGGCGAATCGTGATTTTGCAGAAGAAACTCGCTGCGTCGAAGAAACTCAAATAGCGGGGATAATTTCATCGAGTTTCTATTTGTGTAGTCTTCTACAAGTAAAAAATAGGCTCTTGCTGTTAAAATACTAGGATTTGTAACGTCGTAATTCTGTGTTTGTTCTGATTTTATGACTGAGGTAAACATAGACTTGCTCTTCTTAGACTCTTTCTGATAAGAAAAGGCCACTCCTCGCTCTATTTTTAAGGCCAACTCCATGTCCGGATTTTCCCCATCTGCAAAACGTGTAATAAAGGCAGTAACAAGACGCTCATGGTCAGCAAACTTTCCTTCGTCCTGCAGAATTTCAAGTCTTTTCAGGATTCTCTCGCACTCTTGTCCGTTTAGATATCCTTGTTTTTCGATCAAAGGCATTGGTGGGTCAACGCCGACAATGAAAGTATCGCACCAGTCAGTCTGTGAACAGTGTTGCGTTTTCCCAAAAGGTTGAAGTTGGCAGGCTACCAATTCCGCTGGTCGCTTGTGTTGGTCCAGAAGGCTGCTTTTTGTCTTTGGAGCAGAGTCTGATTGTACTTCACCCCTGTTGGCACCTTTTGTTTCCCGTCGAAGCAAAGTGTGCTCCCACTCAGGCTGCTGCCGTTTGGCGAGTGGTTGTTGGACTATGACTAAACTCTTATTTTCAATCCTTAGTTTGAAATCTTTTGGTTCTGTGGCCATGTCAGAAACTGAGATTGAATTTTCAGAATATGTGTTTGCATCGTTACCACCCTCATATCTTCTTCGTTCCAGTTCCATAGGTAGGATTTCAAGGGTTTCGTTCGATGAAAACTGCTCTGTAGACTGCTTCTCATCACTACTCATCATGAATATATTCTTCCTGCTCTAGGGTTTGTAATGCCTCGCAGTTACACCAAATAAAACGCCAAACTTTTGTGACTTATTGACGGAAGATAGGGAACTTTGATTGAGTTGTTTACAATGACAGACAGGTTTGAATTCAAGCCAAAGTTTCTTTAATCTCATCGACGCAAGAAGGTCCTCGGCAGATTTATGTGATATTTCCCACGCAGCCACGCAGTAAACTGGAACAGAAGATCATCAATGTTTTTGCTAGAGTAAAGACGAGACAAAAATATGGGCTTTCTATACCGTTGTGGAACAACATGTAAGTGGCAAAAATAATAAAATATATGTGATTCCGAGAAAACAAATATAAGTACACTTACCAGTTCGAAAGCGAAAGACGCGATAACATGACGTAAATATTAGTATTTGCGGTAAAATTTCCGCACAGCCCAGTACTATTGTAAAACAAATCTGTTCTCCCAATGGCAATGTATTGTTTTCTTCATTGTTTTCCCTATCAAAGAACTGAATGCATAATGTATTATGGGGCTATGCGGAAATTGTACCGTAGTTTCTACTTCTAAGCAAATTGTTTTTTCTCGAGCGATTGTTTTCCAAGAAACATCGTTATAGTGTAATCTTCAGACCTGAAGTGGCACCTCCAAATCAACGAATCGTTCATGTTCGTGATATTAACAGTTTATGCAAATTTAAATTTATAAACAGACACATCAATCTTATAATTCAGCATTGAGCACAAGTCATGCACGTAATAAAGTATCCAAATTTGTCTTGTGTCCCCTTTGCCCTTTACTTCCTGTTTTGTTTACTTTGTCATGACTACAATCATTGACAATTGTCCAATCAGTATCCCACGTTAAAAACTTTGCGATCGTCGGAAAAGATTCTGTTACCTTAAAGGTGCAGGGAAATGATGGAGTGATATCTCAATTACTATAAAGTTTGGATATTACGCGCGATGTCATTGGTTGAAAGAGCGTGCTCTGCGAGAGTATAGAGCACAGCCTGCTGAGCTAAAGCTGTCACGCCATCTGCCAAATTATACCATGTCCGACTTTCTCCGGGACTTTTCCCTAGTTTTTTTTCTTTAATTGAAAGTGAAATTTCAGAACAGGCAAGTCGGCAAATAGCAATAGACGAACCAAACAAAGGTTTGTAAACATACCAGGCGCCCTAACTGAAGTTAGTATAACGTGAGAAGGGACGAAAATCCTTTAAGAGTAAACGAAATGGGCAGTCCGAGTTTTGAAGGTTTTCACACTCAGTTAGATTGCAAGCTTACTTAAGGTAATAAAAATCAAACACAGCTAACGCTCGTGTAGCATATATAGTTTGGTGTTCAGAAACAAAACAGAACAAAACAGGAATGATGAAAAAGACAGCCAAACTGGCGTAACAGTTAAAACTGATACTTATCATGACGGTGTCATGCTGAGGTCCAACGCGGCTAGCTCATCATGGCGATCTCCGGTCATCATAGTCAAGTAAGCCTCAGATATTATGTCGGCCGCCCTTCGAGAGAACAACTAAGAGCTTGCTCTGATATTCTTTCCGAGGCGTTGAGTGGAAGGCCACATCAGTGACTGCAGCCGAGTTTTACGACGCTGTCATCCCGAGCAATCTTCATATTCCGGTAAATTCGGCTGTCGTTCTTTCATAAAACACCCGCCTGAACGGTTCATTTTCTCATTGTCATGTGAAAAAAAAGTTGCGTGTTTTTATGAGCCACAATTCGGCCGGATTTCATTAAACATTTCACTTTCAGATTCTGTATAAGAGACTTAAAGGCTTCAGACGAAAGAATTAAATTCGACTTGCTGAACTATTAAGTTTGTAAACTATTGCAGAATGTGAACTTTGATGGCCTGACATTTTTGACAGCTTTATTCTTTTACAGCGAATTAGATTATTTGAACCATTCTAACAGAGATTCTGATTGGCTTATTGTATCGTGCTTTACGAGAGTATAGAGCATGCTGACGACACTGTTGTTCGCTTTGGAAATAAAGTTTGTTTTGAAAATTGAAAGTAATGTGTGGAGAATTTAACGGATTCTTTATTATAAAACAAGTAGAGAAGCCTTGACTTTGCTCTGTTCTGTTGTAAAGCACGCAGGAAGCGGCGAGAGCACTCAGGAAGTGAGGAGAAACACCTGATTACGTTTAGTGTTTCTCCCTACACTTCGTTCGTGCTCTAGCCGCTTCCTGCGTGCTTTACAACAGAACAGAGTACAGACAAGGCTTCTCCATTTGTTAACTATCGCTCTAAGGGATTAGAAATGTTGAAATGTTTCCAATTTTCTGAATTCAAGCAACTGCTGGATTTTTCCTAGTTTCAGTTTCTAAATTTAAATGAAATTTTGGATACGTTTCAGAAGTGTAAAGTAAATTTTTCAAATTTCTAACGATGGATTTAGAAATAATCGCACGATTTTGAATGATTCCATGGACGTAACTTTAAACTCCCTGTTTCATGATCGGCACCAGATTTTGATAAAGCGCTGTGGGGTGGATCTCACGAGTTAAACTTCTCAGTTTGCCTTTTCAGGAAAAGGAAGAAGACTCAAAATCTATCTTGATTTCTACTCGTAGCTTGCGAAACATAGAGCGATTATTAATTTGGTGAGTTCATCTGAGTAAAAAAGAATAAGGGAGATGGTAAGTTTTGAGCTCGGTAAAGAAATAGAGGAAGATGTTTCTCGTCTTGTCACGAGCGTGGGACAAGGAAACGATTCAGAGTCCCCATGAGGAGTTGAACACGCGTCCCGTATACTGCAAGAACTCAGAATTTTTTCTTTGTTCTATGCTCGAGAAAAGACAAAAACATCTATCTCTATTTTTTTACCGAGCTCAAAACTTACCATCTGTCATATTCTATTTTACAAATATGACGCTACCGACATTGCTGATCTTAGCAGTTTGCTGGACGCGTGTCATATAGACTTCGTAATAGACCTCACTCACCGCAGTTGCTGTTGCTCAGTGGTAGAGCATCGGAGCACGAAATCCGAAGATCTGATGTTCGATTCCTCATTGGAACTCAGAATTTTTTTCTTTGTCCCACGCTCGTGACAAGACGAAAAACATCTTTCTCTTTATCTGAGTGCTTCACTCTCTCTTCAACAGGCTTGCCGCTGACCTTGACTGACAATATAGAGCGGTTGATCGTATGTGATAGCAGAATTCAGGGTGAAACATCCGCCTGTTCATGTAGATACCAAGCCACGAGTAGTAACATTAAAAGACAAACCTTTTACTACTTCTTTGGTTTCTGAAAGCGCAGTCGTCAGGTTTCGTGGTCTCGAAAGAGAGATTCGAGACGACATCGGAGAAAGGGGCATCGCTAAACTTCACATTGCAGACGAGCTTCTGCGGGCTGCACTGGTTTTGTCACATTCCTCGTCTGTAGGAATAAATTTCGGTTTCCCTTGCAATACCAATGAGGAGTTTCCAGATGAAATGGATGTTCCCCTTGGGACAATTGCGCTTGGTAAAGCTCTCAAAGCCCTTGGAAAGGAGATGACATTTATTGCAAGTTACTATCATGTCTAATTAGTACAGGTATTTGTCGAAACATTTTTGGGAAACAAAGGTTGTGTTGTTGAGTTCACGTCACAGCGGACACATGGCTCTGGCGGAGTGAGAGCAGCTGCTCAAAGGTTGCTGTTCCACAATCCAGCGAATCAAACGGGTCCAAAGTTTGACGTTTTGGTTGCTATAGGAGCAGTAGTAGGACAGAAGAGGGCCGTTACATGACCATGAAAGCAAGGGACTTGTGCGATATTTGTAAAGTCAGTCCAGTGGACGAAGTTCTTATTCAAGGTAGCTATAATTATAAGTTAATGGGAAGTGTACTTACTAACCCTGTCCCAAGATATTCAGTCATGCTACCAATCGTCAGTTAAAAGGTGGAGCCCTTTTGATTTGAGTGTTTGAGACATATATGATATTGTAATGACTTTCAGGGGAAATATGTAAATGCCGTTTCTTGACTAATAAATGTTAATTTGCTGGAGAATTTCAAACTTATCAAAAGAAGTTAGTCTGACTATAAATCGATTTCGAAGGGTTTATTCGATAAAATTTGTCTCCACACGCTTTAATTATCAAAACAAAAGAATGTTATAACATGAGGACCTCACTCAGAGCACTCTTTTTTTATTCATTAATCATAAAATGTCTCATAACGGTGACGTACAAGGTACTTTATATGGACCTCATTCCTCTCTTTTAGCGAAAAAGTCAGTTGGTGATGCTGGTAACGAGATCGGAATGGGAAAGGTCCACCAAAGGGTCGTCATTGGCATTGCAAATGGACGACACATCGCTGATACGGTTACTACTGACCATTTGATCACCTCGGGTGTTTCCAATTGGGGTGGGTCGGCGTTAGTGGCAGCTCTGGCCATCTTAAATCAGTGCCCAGTACACTTACCACACGCCAGATGAGGAACTGTGCCTGATACACTTATTGTTACCGAAGTCTTGAAAACGGCGGAAATGGTAATGCCTTTAATAAAGTCTTCTCTTTGCGCACCGAATTCATCCTCGATATTAGCTAACTTTAGGCTCTACAATAATTGTGGAACTCAAACATCGGAGGCGTAAGGGTGTGACTCAGGATACGAGAGAATAAGAAAAGAATTGATAACATTAAAAATTGGAAATTTACATTTATCTTTAATTGTTTTCTTTTTCAGGAAGAGGACCAACTGAAGTGTATCGTTGGGCTCGGGGTATGTGACGGTATATTACAAAAGAGAGAGATGTCTGTGGATGGGCAACCATTTCATCTCGTCCACAAAGAAAAATTGCAAAGACTGTGGACTATAGCCACTTTGCCAATAGTGATTACCGAGCAAGACGCGGCCAGACGATGAAGTGTACCCTTCACTTTATTCTTGTGCACATTGCATCGCAGAAAAGAGAGACAAAAAATTGTTGAAACTGGGCTAGAAGGACAATCTCAGTAATTTGTGTGATTCAAACTCGTCAAATCGTCTCAAAGGCTTCCGTTCACTATAACGGTAACTGATTTGAAGGTATCTACTGCCAATATAACTTAAGAGCTTTTTGAAGACCCATATTTTTACTTATAACTATTGAAAAGCAACCTTTGAATGAAATACTTCAAAGTAGTGATGAACTTGTCTTTTCACCTCCCCAACCAGGATCACCTTCGTTTTGTGCTGTGAGTGCACGCAGACGCACACCAGGATTGCATCTAGAACAATAAAGATCAAGAACATTATAATATTCATCGCTTTCAATGCGTTTATCACGTTATTACTGGAGCTAGTCATGGTTTTCGCAGAGCTGTTTGGTATTTTTGGAGCGCACTGAAAATCTTTTCCACTTGAGCAGTAGTCTGTGGAGAAAAACACGGTTTGATATATAGCTCTGAAGGAATTGATTATTTTCTCAAATATCCACCTAACTTGATACAGAAAAAAATATTTTTTCTGTGTGTCATCTTAATAGTGTGCCCTGTGCCACATTTCAACAATGTTGTTACATGCACGCCTTTCTTTCGTGTAATATGGGAAGACATTCGATCATCGTTTCTACAGATAGTTCTATTGAAAAACCTCATCGCTGTATGATAGTTGACAGGGTATTTTTAGTGACTTCTCCAGACATCTTGGTTAAGGATCGCCTTGTAGCTCAGGACAAATAGGATTCATTTGTTAATCATCTATTATGCTTCTAAGAAAAATGTGTTTTATATCGTATATGCTTTATAAGCTAGTGTCTCTCAAATTCACCTATATGGCGGCCACAGCAAAATAAATTCATTTGTGCCATAGATTCCATCTCATTTGAGTGAATTTAACTCCAGTTTTCTCTTAAGAGATTCAAGTAAACATAAATTTAAAGCCGAGGACATTTGGTACGATAACGTCTGTTTTAAAAATGCGATGCACCGGAGTTGGAAAAACCTGACCAGTATGATAGCTGAGATGGTACTTGCAATATGTAAATGCAACTCTCGTTGGGCGGAATGGAACTCAGTGGATTCGCAAAGTGAGTCTGAGAGGTTAGAAATGCTAGCGAATGACTTGACTTGTAATCCATTCTGCGAGAGCTACAGAGGAGAGCACTTGACGAGGTAGTATAGATACGCAGGTCGTCGTAGACAAAACTCAAATTATAACATAGGGCGCGTGCTTGCCCCATATAAGTCCTATTGAGCCGCTACGAACAAAATCTTTATTTACGCACGCCCGTGCGTAAATAATATGACGTGAGCAATGCAATGTTCGCAACTCTTCTTCTGCAGCCATAACTGTTCGTCAAAATAACAGTGTGGTGGTTGCCTAGGAGAAAACTGCAAGTTTCCTGCAGTCTGTCTTCTCCAATTGTTCCGTGCACGGTAGCGTAAACATTATTTTGAACAATCAAAACCCTTGATAACTTCGGGTCTTTGAATTTTAAAACATTTTTTAGTGTCACTTGAGTTCATTTGGCTTTGATTTTCTCCATTTTCCCCGTAGATTTTGTGCTTTTCATTCACTGTTATCGCTTAACTGGCTTAAATGGCCTCGCTCAAACCAAGGTATAAAATGCGGCGTGTTTTTGATCAGCCAATAGGGACGTTTACTTTTTTTTCCTTGTGCGTTGTAGGAATTTTGCTCTCTATCGCGATAAAAGGCTTCTTCGCGCAGATCCTTGTTGTCGCTCTGTTATAAAAGAATTTGCTCATGCTTTTAGCTGTGCGTATATCGAGTTATGGATGCACTTGCATCTCTTGCTCTCGGCTGCGCCTCGAGCTACTCTTACGCATTTTTCGTGCTCTCCAAACTTCCAGCGTGCATCCATAACTCGATATACGCACGCTAAGCATGAGCAAATTCTTAGGTTTCAGGAGATACACTAAGGACTCTTCAGATCTTTGTGATTTTGTTTGTGAGTAAAACAGCCCAAAACAGTCCAAAACGGCAGATAACAGGGGAGTATAGGGAATTAAATGATGTATCGGAGGGTAAATTTGTGAGAAACAAGGGAATTGATTAAATTAATAATAATAATGATGACCAAGATAATAAAATCAACGATGATAGTAATAGAAGTGATAAGGAAAACAGAAAAAGGCTCCCGTAATTTGCACATCACACTTTCTCTCACTTATTATTAAAATGTTGTGTTGTTTGTAATGCGCATTGAATTTTTTTTATAGAAAATGCGCAATATATATATTAAATATTATAATTATTATTATCATGATAATTAACTTTGTTTTGTGTAAATTGTATCTATTGTGACCCAAACCGTATTATTCTGTGAAGTAGAAATTAGTCACCATCAAAGAGATCGATTGGTGTTGTCAGGCAGCACTTTCTCTCCTATTGCGTGACAAAGCCAAACAACGGCTGTAAACGAGGCTGCGGAGAAACGGAAGCACCACTCATACATATTCACTCTTCCTTGAGTGCTTTATCATACCAGGGTCTTGAAGAGCAAGGAATTTGCATATTTATGGTTGAATGAACATTCAGATATACACTGTACTAGGATTTTTTTCTTTTCTTTGAAGCAACACAAACTGTTTAAAACACGAATTCTCTCTTATGGCGGGTAGGAAGTAACTCAGAAGGCTAAAATTGTCCAACTATATTCCTAATGAGATGCTGTTCGATTGATTGGAAAGTGAAAGTGAATCATGGAAACCTCCTGTCGACTAGCTGCGTCATAAACATTCTTTAACTTATTAACAACAGTCAACAGTTTCACTTTTACGCAAGGCTGACGTAACGCAAGCTCAGTGTTGTGGTTTTGATATTGTGCAAGGACCAAGTATTGTGACAGGGACATGTAAAAATGGACCAGAAATTAAGTTAACACTTCGCTGATTTATTTAGTCGCAATAACAAGTCGGTGAGTCGCATGCAACACAAGGATTGATTGAGGGAAGAAATCTCGATAGGCGCCTAAATGCGTTCGTGACGTCTCAGCCGCTTGTTGATATAACTGTGGATTAAGCAGCCGAGTTCATCGTGGTTTTACTAGACTTTCCAAGACGTCATTCAGAATGAAGGCATCTCATGCAAGCTTTCGCTTCCGTCCTATCGTTGTATGTTTATTACTCAACTACGTCTGGTCGTCTCCGACTCCGTTGCTCTACGCAAACGACGACATATACGAAGTTCAGAACGATGGGAATGTGGAAGAACATCGATTTAATAGCAAAGGTGTCCAATGGAAGATTCAAACGAACTTACACAGACTAGAAGTTCTATCGAATGACCTGGCTTTAAGGATACCTTTAGAGAGTTGCATTGAAGAAAAATTGACGGGACAGATCAAGTATGAAGACCAGGGGGAGAAAAATTCAAAGTTTGAAGAAATACACGAGGTAATGTTTAGCCAGTTTGTGGCTTTCTTAGCAACTTCAGTTCGCTTTATATTGAAATAACAAGTCTTCCCTGTGTTCCCTTAAGAACCCCCCGCTTCCTTGTTTTACTTTCCTTGACAACCTGCGCAATTCTAGCTTACTTCGACTGTAGGCTACCCATCGAAGCAGGAAATTTACTCTGTAACCATATACGCTGACTTATACTGGAGAACTCGAAATGTTATTGTTTATGACGTAACAAACGAGGATGATTTCTTATCAAGCAAAATTATTACTTGTGCTAAAAAATTAAACATTCCCTGAACACTATGACAATCTAAGATTAAGAGGCATCAATCAATAGCAATCGGAAACATCCCCCTTGAGATTGTGCAATAGATTTTCAATCATTAAACTTTTGCCGACAACATTCAGGATACATTTTCTCTTTAAGGAGAAAATATAAATTTGGACTTCGTGAATTTACAAATGCTTTTGTCGGCGGTTTTCGTATTGGATCTCGGGTCCAGTGGAATCTTTTCAGGTTTGCTTGTAGTTGACATTACCAAGTTTGGTAGCCCAAAACATATACTATCAATCAGAAATGAATAATTAAACAGAAATTGTTAAACGAGATGTTCGATATTCGGCGTCTGTCCTCGGAGTCATCGATGATAAATGTCAAGAATGGACATGCTTATTTTTTTTATTTCTTTTTTTGAGTAACTTCCGCAATACCTGCACCTCAGCAAGACTAAAAACTTAACTGCCAAGTTTCGAAACCTATTATGGTAAATGAAAACTAACTTTTAACAATTGACTTAGCTCAAATCACTACACAAAGCATACCGATTCCAACACAGATTAAAAATACATAGAGATAAAAGATAAATAAAATAATAAAGAATGTAACAGTATATCGATTTATGGTGAGGAAAGGTTAGGGTTATTCAAATGTGACGCCTAAAATATCTATCTGGTTATTAAGGCTGCCGACCGTTTGCTTTTTAAGTGATTAATTATGCAGCTGTGTTTGTTATGGTTAAGAATATATGAAAGTCATATTCTGGTTATTTAGAACCAACTTCATGACCAGCTCCCAGTTGGCTTGTTAGCTCAGTTGGTAGAGCGCTGCACCGGTATCGCAGAGGTCATGGGTTCAAATCCCGTTCAGGCCTGAATTTTTTTCAGGCCTTATTTTCACTACTGCCTAAGTAGTGCACATTACTGCGAGGATCACTTTCATTCATGTGTTTGTTATGCCACCAAACTAATATTTAGTCCTTAGGCATTTTCGCCCCAGCAGAGAAATAAGATGAGACTGAACATAAGGGAGGATGTGACAGGGCAGAGAATGATATATCGAAAGTGCTATTAGTACATGTGTCACAGCGAGTTAAGGGGGAAAAAAACTCGCTGCAACGTGTGCCGCACTAAGCGGAAAAAGCCGGCGAGTCTAGACCTGTCCTTCTCAGTCTTCCTTAATCTTTGTTCTCTAAAAACATTTTACCTCAGCTGTCTTACCCTGAATGACTCTGACTTAGTCGCACTTTTCTGATTGTTTAACTCTAATCTACTGAAACGGACCCCTATAATCCACGTATTAACCATTGGTAGGCTCGAGTGGGCATACAGGAAACTGACCTTGGGAGATTATACACTTCTTGTCAGACCATTAACCCAAGCACCTTTTTAATTAACCTGATTAACCATAGAAATTTAATAAAAAACGTCAAAATCAGGAATCTCATCATGATAGATAGAACCCAAACAACATAACCCAAATGGTCATGGGAAAGCTCAATGTAGAACACCCCCCCCCCCCCCATGACTTACACGACTGATATTTCATACGTGTGCGTGGATTTTCCCGTCTCACCTCTTTAAGAAAACATCACGCACTATAATAACATAGCATAACTGGACAAAAATATATCATAGATAATGTATAGATAATTAAATTATAATTCCTTGCGGGATACGAAATCTCTTTTTGACAATCCTAATTAGAGTCAGTTTTTCCATCAATATTATTTCATTTTTGGCTCACTCAGAAAGCGGGATTTCGCCACGTTCATCGCTCCAGTATGGCGGTCAGGCCCCACTGTGTATTCGACGTGATTGTACCATTTGAAAACTCTTCCCAGTCCGCACGTATACCAGGGGAGTTTTGCACTCCTGAGCACGTGACTGGAGGAGCAGCAGTTGGTGATTACAATGGAGACGGACTAGAAGACATTTATTTCTCCGTTTTTGAGGGAAGAAGTGTCTTGTACAAAAACAATGGTAAGTCATAGATCCATAATTACCTGAGTTTATACCAAGTTGTATTAGTAGGATGGCAGGATGTGTTTTCATTAATCACGATGAACACAAATCCCCTTGCCAGGCTCTCACGCAGTTTTTGTATCTACCCGGGTTTTTTAAAGGCCAGTTAGTAATTAATAGACGTCCTTGAATTGAACTCCTGAGTGGCCAAATTGCTTTTTGGTTTTTCAAGCTTACCGTTCACTTGAGTGTCAGCCTTTTCTCTCTAGGTGACGGAACTTTCACGGATGTTAGCAAAGAGACAAATATTGGACCCAGCTCTCGCGCTAATGGAGCCGTTTGGGCTGATTTTGACCAAGATGGAGACATGGACCTTTATGTGACAACAGTGGGTGACACTAGGCATTACCTGTACATTAATTACAACGACTGGTTTATAGAGGAGGCCATAAAGAGAAACTGTTCTATGCAAACAAGCGACAAGAGGAAACTATCTGGAATGACACCAAACGTCGGTGATTTTGATAATGACGGATTTGTAGATATTTACGTAACGGAATGGCTTCCACACACTTTGGGAAAGGTATAGTTTGATAAGTTTTTCACTGTGGGCAAATCATACAGTGTCAAAGTGTGTTGACTTTTTACCGACATAATAGGAACACCCGACGTTTATGATTGATTTAGGGGTTGCACAAATGCTTTGGACCGATCATAAACAATATATGTCCTCTTGATAAAGGGCTTGAAATCCCTCAAAAGTAAACCTTCACCAGTTTGGTGCCGCCAAAACTGAGCTCTAACGCTACAGATGTTGGGAGCAAGGCGTAGTTCATGATGAAAAAAGGGACACATTTGGTGAAAACTGTAACTTTAAATCAAGTTATGCAGTTTTTATTTAAATTCTATTTCAGCCTTCAACTTCTCGGCTTTTAAGGAACAAGGGCTATCTTGCTAGTGGGTAAGTGAAAAGAATATTTATCCTAGTTTGATCTTCCATCATGTGCTTCCGGAAAGTGTGATAGTTCCAACTGTATTTCTATTGTGATAAAATAACCCTTTAAGATCGTTTTGCGCAGGGTTGCACGAGGATCGCACGTTTATACAGCATTGCATTCATTAGCTCTCTGTTGGTTGGATTTTTTTCAGGTACTTCGAAGATGTAACTTTTAGTAGTGGGGTTGATATGGACAATTATTACCACGGCTCCTCTCTCAATCGAGGCACTTACACCTTTGGGTCTTCATTCACAGTAAGCTTGAATTTCATTACAATTTTCTTCGTATAGTTCTCTATACTTGGTATAGGGGGATTCGCAGTATTTATGACGCCGCCAAAAAGGGAGCGAGGTGGGGGGGGGGGGGGGGGTAATGTGCTCTGAAGTATTCTACGACCCAATCAGCCAATCAGTGTAGATTCGTCTTAAGCTTGACATCCAAATTTGGAAGTTTCTGAATTATAAAAAGCAAGGGTATTTAAGGGCTCACTTCACCTGTTTTTTTTTTAGTCTGGAAAGAAAGTAAAGTTTTTCGTTTTAGCAATCCATTAATCGTCAATAAACTAAAGAAAAAAAATTTTGTAGACACAACCCTTTAACAAAAGTTACCCAAATCGATGATCTTAGTTACTTTTATAAGCCACTCCCATTAGACTGAATATAAACAGATAACCCAAATGAAAAGATGTCGGTTAAAAATCCCAAATGGTCGGATGAATACCACATATGCCCTTGTTAAAAGCAGCAAGTGAAGAAGTCGTACTTGGTGCGACCGATAACACATCCGGTGGGAAGCAGGACCCCCCTAGATTACAAGTGCAGTGACCCAAAGATTCTGATACGCGGCTTTCTTAATCCTGCAAAACTAATTAAACTTGATTTACACCGTAGGACTTTGACAGTGACGGATGGCAAGAGCTCCTTGTTACCGCTGATTATGGCGATAGCAAGATGTTTTGGAACACGCAGATTAACACCTTTAACGAATGCACGCAGCCTTGTGGACTTACTGCAAAACAGGTGGGTCTCGTACAGGATGTAAACGAAATTATCCATCCTTTGTTTAGTTCCTTGTGGAGGACGTCTCAATCACACATCTTTAATAAGTTTTCTGATAGATAATGTGTTGAGACATACTTATCTTTTGCATTCTTTCTGATGTTTCCGGTCTTCGGCGTGTGTCGATCTATTCTTCAAGATGAAGAGCTTGTAAGATAGGCATACATGAAGCTGTGAATAGACGCTATGCCATCGCTGAATATTCCAATTCGTTTGAATGCATGTAGTATCTAGGCCAAATTAGGAGTTGCATTTGTACACAGTCACTTGTTTGTTTTTAGGTGTCAAACCAATATTGTTTTGTTCTGCAGCTTAAAAAGTTTATTAATTTTGCTATATCCTATTCTGGCATAAGGGTTCTTTGATAACATTTGTTTCTCATCTCAGGACGCCATGGGCCATGCAATCGGAGACTGGGACAACGATGGAAATCTTGACTGGTTTTCTAGTGCTATCTGGCACAACAGAACTGAATGTTCCGTATCAGGATGTAAGTTTGATAACTCTGGGAATGTGTTGTTTCGTAACTTGGGAGGCAGGCGGTTTGAAGATGCCACAATGCAGGTACTCGAATTTCGCTTACATTGCCATGGTTGTTGTGTGATGTTAAGATTGAAAGACTTAAGATATGGAAAAGTCCAGTTCAAATTCTAGTCTCGGCAATCCTTTTCTTTTTCAATCCAAAAGTGTCACATGAAATGGTGGCAGTTATCTGTCATTGAATCGTAAAGGAAAAGTAAAATTACGAAATGCGCTGGGAGGGGAGGCGACACGGAGGGGACTGTTAACTTTTCTTGACCGAGGGTAGGGTAACCAATCAGATTGCAGCATGTGCGATGGGACTTCGATAGATTTATGCTAATAAAGCGTAGCCGATTAGTAGAAAGCTTTGTGTTATAATTGTCTCTTTGATAAGTGATCTGACGGATTTCCCATTTTTACAATTATTTGTATTTTTCAAGACTTGCTTCAGCCTTGAAAAGTGTCGTATTTACCCCCATTATGGAAGAAGTAATATACTTTTTGGTCTTTTTATGCAGGCCGGTGTAACAAATGGCGGCTGGGGATGGGGCGCGGCGTTCATCGACGTTGATAATAATGGTTTTCTGGACATCATTATGACAAGCGGTAATTACGTTTAGCCTTAACTTACTTTAAGCTGTCTTGTGAAATCTCTTCTGACACATAAAACACATTCTATCTTAGGCATCGATTTTCCCACAACAACCACGGACGATCATTTTCGCGGCAATACCATACATCTGTGGCGAAACCTCGGGGCTGGTTACAATGGAACAACTCAAGAGGTAAACAAAACATTATGCTGCGACAACTTAAAATTCTATTGTACTACACTAAGTGTTGGAAGGTTTATTTTCTATTTTTCGTAAAAGAATTGTGAATTGTGTGAATTGTAAACGAAACATTATCCTGTGATCACCTAAATTGAAATTATCACTTAGTCCTGGAAAGGGTTACTCTTGCTTTTTCGTCTAAGTATTTTCTTAAGTTCATTCTTTTGTCTTTTACAGGTTTCTGCTTTGTACGGTCTGAATGGCACTGCTCAGGGGCGTGGTCTGCTAAAGTGGGACTTTGATGGTGAGACAATTCATTCCTAAGCCTCTCATTTCTAGGGGTGACCAACCAATAAGTAAATCTACTCTATCATACGAATAAATTGTCAAGAAGAAAGATTGAGAGAAAAATAAGGAGATCCCCAAGTGATTAACACTGGTTAATTCTACAGCAAATATCGCAGAGGTTAACGTACGCGGAATTGTACGGTAGACAGAGAGAAATGATATTGTGGGCTTAGGAGTAATGAAAGAACTTTACCTAATACTACGCGCGAATAACGTATTAAGGAAGCAATCTTTTTTTCGTGAAAGGAAAGCTTAGATTGTCTTAGTCTCTTAGAAAAAAAATAGTTTACCAGCTGAGTGTATGTTATTTCTGCCACAGATCGCACTTTCTATCGGTTTACCGGGTTATAACCCACGCAGTACTTTGAAAGAAAACGAATAGATGCCTTTTTAAAAAAATTTTTCTTGCTATAAAAAATAGGTTTTTGATCAATCAGGGCTTTCGTATTATCTCAGTTAATCTGGAGATACAGTTGTTGTTTTTTATTTGTCATGAATAAGTAACCTTTCCTTTTGCGGATCCTTTCATATTTTGTGGACGAATCGGGTGATTGAGAACTGCAATGGATACTTTTATGCTGAACTTGGTACATCTTATTTTTTTTTTCTGCTTTTAAGATGACGGCGACGAGGACATCGTAGTGTGCAATAATGTTGGAGAACCATTTTTCTACCAAAATCAACAAAAGGAGTCAAACAAGTGGATAAGAATACGTGTCATGCATCGGTAATTTTATTATTTTCCACGAGAGTAGAAATATAGATTTCCCTTTTTTTACTATGCCACAACAGCGATGCCGAAATTACTTAGTGAGTTCAGATCTGTAGACGCTTCAGTAATTGTGAAGGAATCAAGCCCCAACCATAAAATGTGATATTAAATCATAGAAGCTGAAATGAAATGCTTGCACTACACTTAATAGCAAATCTTAACACATAAAATAATTTCCAATTTTCCTCCATCTCTCTCTTGGTGGAGGTTAGAAGTCTATTTTGTTTGTAACATTATCATTGCAGCTGCCTTATGCATTATGATAAGTTGTGTGACAGTCTCGGAGCCCAAGTAAAAGTTATCATGGAAAACGGCCACACTCAGGTAAAATGTCTATTCAGACATGTAACATAAGTGTTTTGTACATACTTCCGTTCAGTAGGATCTCTAGCGTAGCTGCTTGTTTAACCTAATATATAAATTTAGGTAAGCCTAAAAGCGGAGCTCGCTTTTTTTTTTCCCGCACGTATCTTCAACAAAACTAAAACCCCTACTATGGATAAAGTACGTGGTAATATCAATGGATTTTCATGCGCAACTTCTCCGTGTCCGTGTAGAGGACTGATTATAAGATAGTGCCCATGGTACAGTTGGCCGCGCATGCTAAAAGTAGCACCTTGTACGGTCGGTCGTATGGTCGTGCATCCAAATTTTTTCGGCTTGATGGGTTACTACTATTTTATATAATTATAGGGCTACGCTCTGCGAGCTCCGCTATTACCTAAAATCAGTACGCATATTCCTCATACTGTTATCTCTACGTTTTTTAAAATGGTATTCCTTAGCTGGCAATCACTGATTTACTTGATACGTGCACAAACTCGAACAATGATCGCCCGACGTAATCGAGGAATAACTATTAGAGAATTGAATCGTATATCAGGTAGCCATCGATGGCAACTGAAAAATAGATGTCTTATCCACCCTCCATGCAATTTTAGACGCAAGAAATTGGTTCCAGTACACACTATTTGGGTCAGAGTTCACATGCAGCTCACTTTGGACTGGGCCAGGACAGTGGTAACGTAACAGTTAAAGTCAGGTGGCCGTATGTAAAAATGGATGTAACCTACACCAATGTGACCCCCAATACACGATTACGAGTTTTGCAGCCAGAGAGGTAATTTCTCCACTCGAAAAATATTTGGTTTTTCATGTCTTACGGCGCATAATAATTCGGAACCTTTTGACCAGACCCTTCACTGCTTTTTTTTTCAAGAACCATCCCGAACTATTTCTTTTAGATGAAATGGATATAATGTAAGATTAGACTGACCGCAATTTAAAACATAAGGTCACCTCTGGCAAATGGTTGAAGCTCTAAGAAATGCACTCGATTAAAAAACGCATCTACTTCCTCGACACACAAACCGAAAACAGGTGTATCTAGTATTTCTTTGACCTCAAATAGTGCTCTGTATGTTTTACCTCGCAAATTCTGCATGTATTTCATATGAAGACAGAGCCCTGAGGAGGTTTAACTATTCGACTAGTAAATGTCAGCCTACCTTTTAATTGTGACCATGTTTCTTGTTGATGTTGTTGATGTGATTGTTGTTTTTAACTAAAAATTTTGTTTATAGACCTGCTGACTCAGGAAAAGTGTTTCCATATTCCTCCCTGGACAAGTGCTACTCATTAAAAGTAATGGAGATTACAAAACAGGTAACTAAAGCGTATTGCATGCACACAAGAATCAGACCCAGTTTTTTGCAGTAATTCCCATCTAATCCATTTCAACTGATGTTCTTTGGTTCGTATTCAGCTACCAGATGCGGTGTTAAAATTAGGGGAAAGTGACACTCGATATACTATTGGTGCCTTGTCAATTTAAGTAGAAATTAACAACAGGGTAAAAATGAAGAAAAAAGAAAAAATTATTCCCCCAAAAATGTTTGCTCATTTTGAAATGTTGTATATCCTTTCGGTGCGAAGTGATTTGAATTGAGATGGAAAACTCAAAAGCACTTAACCCTTAAAGTGATGACAATAAAGAAAAATAGCAGTTTGGGGATTTTTAGTTGATCCAATATCAAATTCTCCAAATTACCATCATGAGAATTGTATGGCAGAGAGTAAGTAGAGTTACTGATGAGATCCTGGGCGTGAAAGGGTTAAGTAATGAAGAGCGTGTATTCTATCTTCCTAACATGGTGGTTAAGTTTCGAATAGTAGACAACGGATTTTGTAAGATTAAAAAGTACGATAACGATGATGATTTCGCTAAGATATCTTTATTTTTACGTATGATAAAGAACTTTTTTTTAGGACATGCCATATAATATGAGGAAAGGGTTCGTTATGTCAAACGTTTGTTGTATTCAGATACCTTAATTATCGATACCTTTTAGTTTTTATTGAGCTGCATAATGTCGGTAGCTAAAGATCTAGAGTTCTTCCACGAACATGGCACCAAGAACTGCTATACCTCTACCCTACTGCTATAAGTAATTTTTTTCTCTGTAAATCCTCCTTGAGGATGCAAATGATTAAAATGTCTGAGAACTGTTTTTATTTTAGCCTCCTCATGCGACTGTTACCATCAACCCAAATGGAAGAACAGTCAATTTCCAAAGGAAACCAGGAATACCGCTGGCAGAGATATCCACCGAGGCCTTCACTTATAAAGTGGGTCTGGTGCCTACCACTGGTAATCAACAGCTGTTGGATAATGCCACGTGTCTTGTGATATTTTCCTTTGAAAGAAACTACACTGAAAGTGAGTGTCATGGTGGTAGAAAAATTGGACCCAGGCCGACCGTAACAGATGGAAGGTAAATCAAAGTTTAATTCTTGAAAATTGTGTCGCAAACGGATAATTGTTGGTCTCTCTTCAGTGACTTGTTCAACATTTTTCATCAAGGGCAGCTTTAAGTGAGTTTTTATAATTTTTTTTTCTCTAATTCACCGGTTCGATTGCGATCATGATTTTCTTTTCTCACTTTCACCATGGAAGTTTGACTACCTTCAAATCTGTAAAGTCGTGAGTTTACCGAAGCATTTAACTATTCTCTTTTGTTTTTCGAAGAATATGCATGATAGGCCATCTGTCTCAATCTTCTAGCTCGATAGCTTGTAAACATGTTATTTGATATTTTCGAATTCATGATCACAAACAAACTGCCAGTAATTTCTCTTTACAGGAACGCTTCAATATGACGTGACGTTTATTTGTTAAACTCCAGAATGAATAAGTCATATTTTTGTAATCATTTAATCTTATAATAAGTTTCTCTCTTTAATAGACGTCTTGATGGTACCTCATACAATAAATTCCACGTTTGGTGGGGTGCTGCGATGGAGGACGTGACACGCGAGGTACCTGCCATCTATCCTGATGGCATTGCCTTGCCTGCTGGGACATGTTCTCCAGAGGAAAAGAAAGCAGGAAAATGTAGATTCACAGATGAAGTGAATGGATTTGGTAGTCATAGGCCCCCACCGAGAACAATCAGCAATGCTCTCTTTAAACAGGTGAGGCACGTGTACGTTTCGAATGGGTCCACGTGTTCGTGGTGATGGGATGTCAAGAGTTTAGTTACAGATAGGTAACTTACTATCTATGAAGATGAAGTGGGACTTTATTAACTCCTCAAGGTAGCCAATCAGATATTTTGCTTTTCCATGGTGCTATGGTTCTGATTTATTAAATGAGAACTAGTTTATTAATCGTGTTTTGGCGGAAAATAGTTTCCACCACACCTCAGATGGTTTCCCCATTGCATTCTTAAACGATTTGAAGAGCAACCCCTGAGAAAAATAATTGCGTCATATTCAGGACGTATTAGGTCGTATTCTGATTTACAGATTTGCACATTTTTTATCCTAAGATCTCGCTGAAACAATGTATTTTATGTTTTTGCCCTAAACACTGAGTGAAATGAAAAAAGGTCCGTTTTATACAATTATGACAATTGACACTATTGTTTGTTTATTTATGTTGTTTGTTTGCAGATTGAATCTAAGATTAGCGCTAGACGTCTCAATGATCTACACTCTCACTTCGGTCAGGTAACAAATCCATCCATTTATTCAATAGAAGTTTAGTCAATTAACAAACGATTTAACTATGCAATTTTATTTTTGTAGTTCCTGGTGCACGACACGGATTTCTCCAGCCCACTACCTCGCTACGAGTTTCAGGGAGTTTTGAGTGATGTTTGGCTTCCTATAAAAGTGCCAAAGGTGAGTCCTCAGTACCAATTAATAAAGCAAAAGGGTCTTCACTGTGATAGTGACTTTCTTATTTTGATATAATTAACTTATGGACATGAGGCCAAAAACGTATTTTTAGAGGACTTTAGGATGGGTGGAATGTGTTCGCTTTCCAGCGTTTGTCAAATTCCTGTTTATTCTAACCCTCTCTTGTCATAACTCTCACAGCTTTTATCGAATTTGGCTTCGTCACCGCTTCAATATAGTTTAACCAAACATGGAAAGCCTTAAATTGAGGTGGCTGCATAAGTAAGAATATATTGGTAGAACTGTACTAAATATGAATTTGAAACAGTATACTTTCAGACAGTGTACCGTAACTTGAGAGAGTACAGGGTTCTCACGTCTCTGTATTTTGGATCCCACGAGCCATCATATAAGTCCGGAACAGTTGTCCTTCCTGCCAGGCTTCTTGAAGTCGTGGTTTACTTTTTTTGAAACGATTACTTTTTTGTTTGTCTGAAAAGTTTTACCGTCATTGCCATCAACACTGTCGCCTTGGTACACATTCTGTGGCTTAAAAGTTCCATTTTTACCATCTAGAGATCGCTTTTTGCGTGCTAACCACTTTGAGATTTAACTTTCACCTAGGGGGATGTGCACTTTGACCCGTCCAACGAAGGCGATATCTATCTTCCGTTTGTACGTTCGACTTATAACAGGTGCGATTTACATCTTTCTTTTTAAATAAAGATATCATTTCATGTTGCTATTTTCTTTTTATTAGTACTTAAACATCGGTGGATTTCTCACTGAGCTCAATTTCCTTGATGCTTTCATAATGCACTTAATTTTCAATTAGCGTCTCCTTGATTAATTTGTATTCTGATAACTTACAACACTAATTAACAAAACTCCCATTAACCCATTAACCCCTAGGAGTGATAACCATCCAATAATTTCTCGCTACAATATCACCCCCAAATCACACATTTAGGTAACGAGAACAAAGGAAATGGCCACCAACTAGAGAAGCTCTGGATTATGAAACAAATTCTCCTTGTCAGCACCTTAGGGAATGTATAGGGAACAGTATGGAGAATATGCATACTGATGTTAGGGTGGAAAGGGTTAATGGCCAGGAGTAATTGAATGGTGCCGTCGTTGGTTGTGTGATATTTCTGTAAAGTATCTTTTATTCAAGCAAATGATCTCTTGGTCAATTTTTTTTGTGGAAGTCCCTGGTAACCATCCTATTTAGAAAGAGTAATTTAGCGTTATCAACTGCGTTTTTAACATAAATTGGCCACCGTAAAGAGTTTCAAATCGGACGTTTTGAGCGCTAGCCCTTCGTCAGAGCACCTGTTATACTCTCCCACCGACGCAGCAACACAGGTTCTTTAGAAACTTACCATCTTAACTATTTGGAAAGGATCCTTTTCTGGAAACAAGAGATAAGTGCCTGGTCCTTGCAAACGCCTCGTTCAGAAAAGGCATACTTTCGTGAGCCCACAACCTGAAAAAGGCCTCTTCCTCCCCCCGAGCCATATAGAATCATTGCGATACGTGATTCCACCTTAGTTCGGAGAGCAAGTAATAGTGCTACTCCAATGTTTCGTGCGAGCGTTTAGTACAATAGGAAAATAAATCGTGTCAATAATCTGTCCCATTTCGACTCGAAACTTTTTAATGTTCTTAATTATTTAATCATAAAATTTTGGTATTATTATGATTGTTATTACTTTCAGGTGCACTGGGCGTCACTCAGACACTCCGAGACAGCAAGTTAACAAACTAACTTCATATATCGACGGTTCAGTCGTTTACGGTTCATCAGAATCAAGAAACAGAGCATTACGAGAATTCAAGGATGGCAAATTGAAGCTTGGGTCAGATGGACTTATACCGGTGAGTAATAGGTCTCTGTGATCAATGTGACCGTCTCTTCCAATTTCACACCCTTAGCTGATTGTTTTTTTTAGCAGCAGTTTTTCTTATGCTAAAGCACAAATCTGCAGTGCATTATACAGGACAATGTATTATACATTTGCATTTATCTTTGTGTAAACGTGAACTCGGGCACAAATGCGCTAGCGAGAGAATGGTATATCCACGCGTTCATTGGGTTGGTTTTTGCTTCATAACAGTTCATATCCGCTTTCCCTGGAATTTGTTTCGCATTTATTTTATATTTGCGTCGCATACGTCTTACAAGTATTCCCAGAAGTTCTTATGATTTGCTTTGGATATCAGCATTACTCCAGTACACTAGCGATGAGAGCTGACAAACTTATCAGCTAAAGTTTTCTGTCTCAGTATTACACTTGCGTTCAAAAAGGGAACATAAAGCAGTTAGAAAGGAGAATTGAAATGACCATGTTTTGTTTATGAGTTATTTGGAAAAAAGTATATTTCACGTCAAATTAAGTTATACTCTCTACATGATATATCACTGAACTTGCTGCTTTAACTATATTTCAAATGTTAGTCTTAAATTGTGTGTTTCTGAGCAGAAAAACACGATGGCTTTGGAAAATGACAATCCTCTAGGCCGTGATCCAAACAGTTTATTGGTTGCTGGGGACTCACGAGCTAATGTCCAGCCAATGTTAATCGCATTCCACACTCTCTTTGTTCGGGAGCATAACCGGCTCTGCGATGAATACAAGAAAATACATCCTCAGGTAAAGCTTATCTGCAAGGCAAAGAATCATAAATGAATGCTAATCAATAGATTTGCATGCCTTTCAAGGGGGAGAGTCATCATAAGTAACTTACTTTCAAGCACAACATTTGATGAAAGTTTACAAGGTCCCATGATTTATTGTCAAGCAATAACAATCGAATTTTGTGGTTGTAGAACTATGAGTCATCCCACCGTTAAGACTAAAGCCAATAAAAACGATAACAATTTGATGATACAATGATTCCTTTTTATGATGAAAGCAAATGGTAACATCAGGTATAAGAGGAACTCATATTCTTTTAAAAAAAAGACAAAATATTGAAGATATCTAATAGGTTTCAGTTTATACTCTCTCTCTCTATTCCGCACAATTGCATCGCCAGTCACTCTATTCATCAAGAGAGCTAAAGGCTAAACTGGTCAGTTGGACTGGTCAGTTGGACTGGTCAGTTGGACTGGTCAGTTGGACTGGTCCGTTGCACATTTAGATTCCCCTCTCTAATTGAATGGCTTACGAAAGTGTGAAAAACCGTCCAGAAAGAGTCCTCAATCCAAAATTTGACTGGCTAGTCGGTCAGTTAAAAACAATAGCAAGTGACCAAAGGCTCCTTCCTATAAAGCACTAAAACCAATTCATCATATCACTCAGTAATATGGCTGACAATGCTTTATTCCCAGGCCACAGATGAACAGTTGTTCCAAGCTGCACGTCGTATGGTAGCGGCTGAACTTCAGGCCATCACGTTCCGTGAATATCTGCCAGCGCTATTGGGTGGGACTAAACACATACCACCTCACCAGGAGTATAACAGCAGTATAAACGTGGGAATAAGCAACATAATGGCCACAGCAGCTTACAGGTAATGTTCAAATTACGGATCACAGATTTAACTTAAGGAAAATATGCTTCCTTTTGAATTTTTTTGGTTATTATTTTATAACATGAGTAGCACCTTTGGGAATTTAAAGTGGAACAGTATGGATACGAAAGGCACAATTTCTTAGTAATTGCCAAAATGAATTACAAAACGTTTCAAAGCTGATTTTCTCATGTGACTGGCAAGCACCAAGATTTCCTTTATAAACATATTTTTAGTCACCTCAATAGTTTGTCATCCCATGTTGGTGATTAGAAAGGTTTGTATTTTGAACTACATCTGAATGTACATGTAGTTTACTCTGACATTATCAGCATTTTTCAATTTCGAAACAAGACTTTTTTCCGGAGCTGAAGGGAAAATTGATAGACACCATTCGATAATCACAGCGCAGAGGACTTTACCATGGTCTATTTTCTCTCCGCAAGTTTACCATACTCTGCCTTTCTTTCATGCTAGGTTTGGTCATAGCCAAGTTAACACTCACCTGTGGAGGCTTGAAGAGGATGGTTCGATTTCTCCTAACGGCCATCTTGCTTTAAGAGACGCCTACTTTGCACCCGAAAGAGTATCAAGGGAGGGTGGGATTGACCCTCTTTTCAGGGGAGCGGTAAAACAAGCCGCACAGGAGATCGATTTAGAGGTTTGATTTTTTTCCCTTTTTAAAATTGATGTTCACCATTCATTGCAAATATACGTGGTCATGAAACTTTTTGGCTCTTTGTTATCCGTAATAACTCAATTAATACTTATTCACATTCCAGATCAAGTGAAATTGTGTCCTCTTATGACGAAGTTTGTGCTTTTTCGCATTTCAAAAAAAAGAAACCGCCGGTTTGGTTGTATTTTCCACTCGGTCAAACTAGCAGATTTTACCAAATTACAAGGCATCCATCATCAGGATGAGTTCTTCTTAGTTTGACCCGATGCAACCATTGTTAAACTGATGCGCGTAACTTTAATAACATGCAACTGTGTTATGATATTCACAATTCCATCGTAACGAAAGGTTTGTGACTTCTTTTCTGTACTTTTGACAACAGATGGTGGATGACATGCGAAACGTTTTATTTCCATCTGGTAATAAGGCTGGTTTGGATTTAGCGGCTATGAACATCCAGCGAGGAAGAGATCATGGTTTACCAGACTATAAATCTGTCAGGAAGGCCCTTGGATTAAAAGGTTTTTGCTTTGGAGACGTAGTTTTCCTTTCTTAACAGGCATTTTTTTGAAATAAAATTTTTTTTGCTTTGAATTTATTGAATGTGTGACGTAATTCCCGACAATGAGCAACTAGTTAGACTGTGGCTGAAAAAAACGTGCCATTCACAGAGAAAGCGTTTACGCTTTGAAGAGGGAGGTATGTAAATCCGCCGATCCGAGTTATGCGTTACTCGCTGAGCTTTGAATTTACTTTAAATGAGTGCTTATTTGCATGCTTTGATTTTCTTCTCCAATAACTGGAGTTTCCTTAACGTTGTTTCTCTTTACTGGTGTTGGAGTAAACTTTTAGCAGAACAAATCATTATTGAATTGCAATCCGGTTCGGCCCGAGAACTGAAAATCTTACCTAACAAAACACTAACAACCGACCGAGAAAGAGTGTGGGTGAAATATTGTTTGCGTTAATGAAATAACAAATCATTATTCAATAGAGATTCAAACCTTCCACGACATCACAAACAACTCCAGGATTGCCCAGAAGATGGAAGATATCTACCAAGATTTGGACACTGTTGACTTATGGGTAGGGGGTTTAGCTGAAGACCACGAAGACGGTAGTGAACTGGGAGAGACATTTAGAACGTATGTAGCATCCATTTTAATGACTTATAAAATAAATTTTTAAGCGCGAAAATAATGAGTTTGTTATTCTTGGGGAAAGCAGCAGATAGATAAGAGGTATTGCTAAGTATTACTAACTATCACACTTTCATTCCCTATCGCCATCATAATGACCGCCTGGAAATAGGTTTCATGACAGTGCTCGCCTACAGCTTTTTAAGCCTCTTTGAAAAAACTCGAAGCCTAGACTTGTGAGTATTCAAGTATTCGAGTCTCACACCTTGTAATTCCAGAGTCAGACGCTGCTGTATCGGTGAAGAGCTTTCTGCATACTACTGGGAAAAACATCATGGAAATATTGCATCGACGATCGTAGATTTAGGCTTAGCGTCATTTTATAATATGTAAGGAAGCATTTTTGTAAATGATCCATTTCAAAATTTCAGAATTGTGATGCGAAACTTTTTGAGGATCAGAGATGGAGATAGATTCTGGTATGAAAGCTATCTCTCCAAGGAGGTAATTACACAGCTACTCTTTTAGTCTTATAATAATATTCTCGGGAAACTAGAATGGAAGCTCATTTTGAGTGAAATAAATGCGATCTGCTTATTTTCTTGATTACTCCGAACTCTTTTGTGTGCTGTATTTCTGTCATTTATTTCTGTTTTGAGTCTACTTCTGTTACCACCCAACTTCCTTTGTTTGAAAGAAGTTAAGAGAGTCTGAGTCATTAATAATTTTAAATCTTTATCGACAGGAGATCGACACAATCCACTCTCTAACGCTCAGCAAGATCATCCGCCTAAACACTGGATTTAAGAGCGCTCCAGATAACATATTCTTTTCCACGGAGCACTGTTCAACAGTCACAAATTTTTGGTGCATTCCCCATAAAGAGACTGAAATAGGAAACTGCACAGATATTCAGCAAACGCTGTGGACTCTAAGGCAAGAGTTAAAAAGGCAAAAGGAGATTTGTAGGATTGACAGTGACGTTTCCAATACAACGACACAACAAGAACCCCCAAGGTCTGCTTTATTTTACATTTCAATCAGCCTCGCGCTAGTCGCTCTGTTTTTTCTTGCTCTCTTTCTTCGTGTGTGGATCCAACTTCGGCGAAAACAGAAAGCTGAAGCAGAGAAAAATGTTGGGCATGAACTGAATTCTCGTGATAACTTTGTATTTTAGGGGACTATATTAGAAGATACATTCGCTCCTATGAAAACGCTGGAAAAACTTTTTAAGACTGGTTGTTTCCGTAGGAAAAAAAATAGAGACAGTAGGTTGTCACTATAGAGGACGTTGAGACCAGAAAATTGGCCCACTCGTCAAAAACATTCTGCAGAGGTAGCCTGAACCTTCAACCTTCAATAATGTACCGATACCCAGTTTGATTATTGATCTTTTCATAGAAAATTTGGTAGCGTATCATATAGAATAATTGTAATATTTTCATCGTTTCTGAAATATATTTGTAAAATATTTATAGAGAGAGTAATCTAGATTAAAGTAAACTCAGAATGTATAAATATAGGTATATTCATTCAGTCTCAGTGGCCGGTGGAACGGTCTTATGACGCCAAATTCTCTTAGTTGGTTCACCAATTATTAGGGGTTTGATGTTAAACAGTTCAAATATGACTAATTTAAGACGCTATGCGACGAAGCTTGGGTCATAATGCGCGGAGAAAAAATTATTTTGATCTTTATTAGGGCTTTCCGCATGAATTTGCGCACGTGGGAAAGTTTTAATCAGGGTAATCAATATTTGAATATTATCTCTGTTATTTCCAGTCTCAAACGGTTAGAAAAATTTTCACAATATTCAAACATGACCAACATAGAATGTTCAGAAACTCAAAGCATTACCACAATAGTATTTTAATGTTAAACCCTACAATAGCGAAACCAAATTATCAAAAAGAAAAAAAATTGTCAAGAAATTATTGCAGTCGTTAAGAACTTCAAAATATGAAAAAAATTGTCCTTCCCAATTTTCTTGCCTTGTTGATGGCTTTTTTTTATGACGCAGTCGGAAAAAATTAAAGTTGCCTTTTTTTTAATTCGTTCAATTCAAAGCAAAACAAAAAGTTGAAAATATAAAATCGCGAATTTTAAATTTAGTGCTGTCAACACTAAGCGAAAGACCTTCGCATATTGCGTGCTACACTGTACAATCAATTAGACTCTAGTAACATTTCGTTCTCATTAAAAAAGCAACGCAAGCAGTTCGGTCCATGAAACGGATTAATATCCTTTATGGCAACGTTTTCTGCTGAAACAACCTCCCGCAGTTTGCGTGCAACCAGCGGAACATTTGACTGGTGACACTCAATACATTCATTCCACAAAGTTAGTTATGATGGAATACAATTGCAATTGCAGTTTTTGTTTTGTTTTTTTTTGTGTTTAATCCATACTTGAAGGAGGTTCTATTTGACTTTCTTCGACAAAGATAGGCGTTAGGTACTTCTCGTCAAAACGAGACCAAACTCTGACAAGCCACGACTTCTCATACTGTCTTTTCTCAATTCTTTCTTGTGGGGTGCTTGCCGAGGGATCATTGACATCAATTAGACTCAATCTACGAGCCTTCTTTTCCTCCTCGTGTTCATCAATACCTGTTTTGATTTTCAAACACGAAAGCACAGGCATAGTAACGCCCCCAAAGAAAATCACGGACACGATGACAATGATGAGAGTAGTTGTCAGCATCATTTGTCGCGGAATTGATACTGTGTTCCTGACCGCTAACGCAAAGGCAATTGCACCTCGTAAGCCAGAGAAAAACATCATATGCTGCACGTTAAGTGGAATCTTCCGCGTCCTCCCAAAGTTTAAAAACAGCGACAATGGGTAGATGTTGAGAGCCCTTCCAACTTGTATGGCCATGAATGACCAGCCGATGAATCCTACGTTCCACTGATGATTTGTAAAAGCAAACACAGACAAACCAATGTATGAAAAGATAAAAGTCTCTGCTAAGAAATTGAGAAGCTCGAAAGTTTGAGTAGTACGCATTCGAGATTCCTCAGTGAGGTTTTTGTACGTGTAATGCTGTTGCGTTATTCCGCAGAAAAGCACAGCTACTATACCGGACCAATTGGAGAGTTCAGCTGCTAGAAAAGTACAATACGACATTAGAAAAAATAAGGCCGTCTCCAAGATGGGAAAGCTTCCTATCTTGGTGAGCTTCGTGACTAATGCATTCACAAACGACATACCGCAACCTATAGTGAAAGAACCGACGAAAATGGCTACAAAATCTGCTATGGCTTTCAAAAACGAAAACAAATCGAAATCTCGTAAGTCGCTTTGGTTGTAGGCTAAATACGTTTCTATAGCTCTGTAAAGAACGATCGCAACAGCGTCGTTAAGAACGCTCTCTCCGAAAACCAGCGCATACATATCCAAGTCAGCATGAAGATCATGAAAGATGGCCAATACGGTGACTGGATCGGTTGCCGAAATCAACGCACCGAAGAGCAAACATTCAGCGTAATCAAAATCTTCGGTTACTCCAGTCCAGACGTTGAATCCGAACACCATCGAGCCAGTGACGATACAGGAAATAGTTGTACCAAAAAATGCGTAGGTCATAATGGCACCTAAATTACGAAAGAAGTAACGTTTCTGAAAACTGTACCCTGCATAGAAGATGATAGGCGGTAGGAGAACGTAGAAAAAGATCTCCGGATTGAAGGAGGATTTGGATTCGATTTCGTTTCCTTCGTCCGGCGGGGAGGTGTGGGGAGGGAAGCGAATGCCCGTTAGGGTGTAGGAGTATTCGGTGCCATTGATGTTGACAAAGACGTTTTTAGGTGCTATGGTGATGTTCCCGCAATTTTTAAGCTTGACAGCCAGCGGTTTCTTCTCCCCACGGCTCTCGGAGTATTTAATGATGGCACCGACTACAACTCCTAGAATCATCGCAACTCCAGTTTCGTGAAAAATCTCGAATCGACGGATCTTGAAAAGCCAGATCATAAGCACATTGATAATCAAGAGCGTGATTAGTATCAGCATACTAAGGCTATCTGTTTTGTGTGTGTTCTCCATCTCATCCTCTTTCTTGCCTTCGAGTGTTGTTGGCGTTTCGACCGCCTCTGACAGCATAACACATAAAATGGCAACGATGGCGCCGGCCAGAAATACATCTACTTTGTTTATCATTTTACAGCCTTTGAAAAACATTGTGTCACTGCTGTTAGCTTTGAAGGTTTTCAGGAAAAGGTTAGAATAAAAACTTCTTTCCCGAGACGAGTAACTGATGGCGAAATCAGTTAACGACAACTTCTTCCATGTTCAGCAATTATGATGGTCTTCTCGAGTCTGATATACTCACTGTAGAGGGTTTTTTCATCAGTTCGTTGTAATCTTGTGTCCTGGAGGTTCTTAAAACCTAAACTGGAGTAAAAACTCGATGATCTAATGACTTTTCGCTGCCTACGCCGATGGCGATTTTAAGGAATAAACCTTCCGGTTAATCAAACATAGTAAATATTTAATGTGATACCCGTTTTTTCGGTGGAAGTCGATTTGCCCAAAAGCTGAGTAGAGGCAGGTGGACAAGTGAGGCGACAAAATGTTAAAAGTAAACTATTTACTTGTAAAAGATAGCAATAACACTGTTATGCGACCTTTACATCATTAAATAAACGTGATAAAACAGGTTCGAAATATTCCTTCCCTAGTCTAATGTGATGATATAACTTCCATTGTGCTAGATGAGGGTAAATAATGAAGCTATTCCATTTCTTTCGCGAACTTCTTCATCCAGTTTATTCACCTTTAAATCAGGAAGTATAACGTTTTGACAGAAATTTTAGAGATATTTGGCTGTGCCAGTTCTAATGAAAGAGTTTTGCTATAACTAGGACAAACGACAAAACCTAAAGTCGATCTACCCCCAAAAATAAACTATTTTCATGAATGCAAGCCAAATGTTTTGTTTTACTGAACGAGGCTGAAAATAAACATTGAAAAAAAAAATCGTTACAATACACACTCACACACACACACAAAACGTTGAATACTGACCGGTCTGTATGGTGCAAAGAACTTATGCATTTACCTCCACGCCGGTTTTTCGGACTCATTATTACCATTTGAAACCAAAGACGTTTTTCATCACTAACCTACAGGAAGCGCCTAGGAAATAATTTGAAGCATCTTGAGCAATGGTCTCGACTTTAACCAAACTTACCTTTTCACTTTGTACAGCATTATTGTGACCATGTGACCTGAATAAAGTGACGGTTGAGGGCTGGCGCTGTCCAAACATTATAGCGAATCTCGCTACGAGCCGCCTTTATAACACAAGAATAATTTGTTAGCAATTTTACTTAGTATATCACACCAAGCGCTAAACATACAGCGGAAATTTATAGGCCCAAAATCCCCTTCGATTGAAAAATTTTCCGTTTTGGGTTTAGTTACGGTAAACAAACATAGTAGCGTGTAAAAATATTGCCATCAGTGCTTTTTGTTGGTGCCCCGATGCCGGTGGGCCGGTTACGGTGGGCAGGCTCATAATTATAAGAAAGATCATAGCGCTGCTAATTCTGGTGCATGCAAATATATTTAAGTGTGTTATTGTCGTAGTTTTAACAGAAAAAACAAACGCAAACAAAATGAATTAGATTAAAGCACTGTGATAAAAATTATGATTTATTTGAGTCGAAACCATCGAGGGTTTTCGCTGCCGAAGGAAGCGAAATGCAAAATATTATTATTACATTTACTGATGGTACATATTTATTTTTCTAGGTATTAAAACGAACTGACGAGGTTTGAATGAATCTTAAAAATTCGGTCATACCCACCACGAACATCAACTTCTTTAAGCGGCTTAAGTTTTCCTTCCACACATGCATACTAACTAACTTACTTAATCTTGGTCACTGTGCAGGTCACTTCTAAATAGTGACAAGAAAGTGAATTCATAGAGTGACTGAGGTTTAACTCGACGACACGTAGTTGAAAGTTCGTACACTCTGCTACAGGTTGTTCGCCCACTTGTCCGCGTTCTGGAATACTTGTACTTCAAAAACATCCCCCCATGAAATGAAAGCAGATTTGATAAGAAGTATTTTGGCACATGACATATCTACAAGCATAGAGTCATACAAAACGATTTAATGATCAGAGGAAGAAAAACAGCTTCATTTTGCCTGCACCAAGGACAAACATTAATTAAAATCTACCTCTAGAATAAGGTTTTTAAACACACATACCTCAATCCCATTATGCGATCATCGTTGATTTTAAAAATTTTCAAGGTTCAAGTTGAAACATACTCGAGGGAATTTATTTCTTATTCATCATTATAATACGGTTTTTCAATTTCGTTGTGGTTTTTCTGCTTACAACAACAGGTTGTTCACTTACTTTTGAAACTCCAAGATTCCTGTCTTCTCAAGCTTGAAGTTCGACAAGTAGAGAATGGGGTTAGATATTTATCAGTGCAACAGTTCGCTGGAATAAAACATCAGCACAGGAATAAGACAATCGATTTTTGCCTCCTTTGCACTAGTACGATTCGTCTTTAATACGAAGAGGAAAACTGGTAAGGTCGTCTTGTTCATAAATATCTAACAAATCTGGACTAAACTTGGACATAACTATAATCCCTTTATTTTCAATCGCAAAGGAATTTGGAAAGGCTTCCTTTACTTCCCAGCCGTAAATTATAACGAAAGGTCTTTCTGTATCAGCTTTAATCATTTGTAAATGGGTTCAAGCGTTATTCCTTCACTGAAAATGCATGCAAGCCTAAATTACTTTTTATGAAGAAATTTTTAAATATACCACTACCATTACGCAAATGTGGCACATTGTACCTTGGGGAACACGTGTGTTGCTAAAGTTCACTGTAACGCGTTTAAAATAGTGTTTCGAAGGTAAATTAATCATCGTGACATTTGCCCCAAATTTCTTGTATAATTTCTTGCTGAAGTAAACAGGCTGTCCGCCTACATATCTATGTTCTGAGTTCTATGCACCTGAAGGACAAAGTCCCTTGTGAATGTCACATTACAAAATAAGAGCATATTAGCTAAGTAATAAATCACCAATGACATATATACCGACAGGTGTCGATTCCTATTAAAGGGAACGAAGTTATCCATTAAGCAACAAAGAGCAGAAGATAACGAGACCTCAAAACCTCTTTACGATTAAGGAAGGTAACGTTGATTCTCTTCAACACATCTATTATTCAGCTCATACATACAAAATACTAGAGGGAACGAAATGCAAATGTGCTTCTTTTTCATTTTCTCTCCAGCATTTTCTTGGAAAGTGCGCTGATTAATCCAGTCTCCTGAGTAAGTTTGTTGGCTTGATTTCTTAGATATTTTTTACCAAACTTCGGGCTTTGCTTATGTGAAAAGCAATTGTTCTGATGACGATAGCTTCCAAGAAGTTAACCTGTCCGTTGTTCCTTTGCTTTTTCCCGGGGTACCCCAAAATTCATAATGCCACACCTATAAACCTTATAAATTCGGTTTCTAAACTTTAGGCAGAAATACATAGTGAACCAACTCATTCTTAACAGGAACCTTTAACGATAGAAAAGTTTTCCCTCGGCTTAAATTTGTTTTCCTTTTCAGTCATGCTTGGAGCAACATCCATAATTCTTGCTCTTTATTGCTCAGCGTTGTTGAGGTTTGACTTTGGAGCCGCTCAGACAACAGGAGGTGATATGTCTCAAGAACTAGCCCTGTAAACTAATAAGTAACTTTGATAAATCGTTAAGAGACCCTTCTGGCAAAATAGCTGATACATATTTATGGAGAAAATACATCTTCCTAGCCTCAATATCATTTGTGGATGTGGAATGAAATATATTTAATTCATGAAACAGAAAAATTTTAATTTTTCGGAAATAATTGACATCTTATTCCGGCATGTAATTCATCCAAGCTACAATCTCCACAATTTTAATCATATAAATTATTTACACTTAACTTGATAAATGGCTTAATGGTCATATGGATGCAAAACGAAAACAACACGAAAACAAAGAAAGAAAGAAGAGGAAATACATAACCAGTCAAAAAACAACCAAAAACAACTAACACACACACAAAAAACTGAACAAATCATAGAAAAACGAAAATAGTTGGCGGTGGTTTTCTGCAAGGCTCACAAAATAATGAATATCGTCAGCAATTCGAAACTGGTTTCTACGATCGCTTTTGCTGGTTTCTCAATACTTAACATTTTTATTTTCACATTTTTTGTTTTCATCAGGCAACCAGTGCGACCAACTATTAGATTTTGAGGACATGAATCAGCTAAACTGCTTCTCAGCTGCTGGAGGCGGTTCACGATCCTTATCTACAGAAAAGGCAAAGAGTGGTCAGCGTTCTCTCAAGTGGGTGGGCGCCACAGCTGGTTCGTCGGTGCTAGCTTATACCAGGCCTTCCTCATCTATCATTACAGGAAATAAACTCAAGCGGGGAGGTATGAAGTTGTGGCTATACAAGAAAGAGACTTCCAATGGGAAGATGTTGACTGTTAATCTACGAGACGAAACTCAGAAGACTTCGTTTGGAGCTTTTGATGTCAATCTCGGATTTAAAGGCTGGAGAGCTGTATGGGTGGCATACTCCGAATGTAAATCATCGTCAATCACTACCTTAAGTTCCTACAGGTTGAGTAAAGTCACCTTTTCAGTGAGCCATAAAGATACCATCTATTTCGATTTGATTGACTTTGTGGAACATATGAGCTTCCAAACTCGCGATAAAATAGTTCCTCCAATCAACCAGCAGGGATATGACAAGACTGAAATCAACACCGCTCGGCAATTATATCGTTGGAGTAGAAAGCAGCCTACCAATCTTCCTACAACGGTCGATCCATCTAAAACAGAAGGTCTCAATCATATCGAAAGTCGTCTTCGAAATTTCTACTGCAGTGAAGAAAAAACCAGTTACGATTTCACCGGGTTTCTCGATAAACGCTGGAAGTCACTGACGAAAAGTATTGATAAGGCACACGAGCAATATGATAAACTCATATTTAAAACAGCACCAGGAGGGAAAAGAGTGATTAGTGGCCCTTCACTGTTTTGCTATGGCTGTAAAAAGGGAACAACAAAGTATTCCGCCGCGGATCAAACGAGAAAGTTTAGCTTTGTCATGGCAAATATTATGCTTCCATTGGCGCAGGAGTATTATTTACGGTCCCGCCAGGTTGAGATAGATAAGACAGCGGGCGAGGAATTAAAAAAACTAGGCTCTTCTGCTTCCGCTAAGGTAAAAAAATCTCTTAAACGAATCGCTGGAAAGCACAAACCCAGACAGGACGAGTTCCTTAACTACCTAAAATCCAAAGGAAAGCCTTACACAAAAGCGAAAGTCCGTGAGTCATTAGAATATATAAACAAAGCTCGTCTTCAACGGGTCATAAATTTGTTGGATTTCGTCGAAGACCAAGGTTGGACGGATGGTAGTGCCATTGGCTCCATAAGAGGAGATTTGAACCAGAATGGAGCTGGATACATGCATACCCTTTTCCTTCTCAAGAAGTCTCTTCATGAAAACAATGCAAACAAGACCAGACTTCTAAATTTAGTCAATGCCGCTAAATGGTACAACTACTTTGGAGAGGTGTACCAAAGCACGTACGAGTACAAGGGAACAAACGCCGATAGAATGATTACGACAATGCTTTTTCGTCTTTTGACTGTTTTGATGATGCCCATAGATACCCCTGATGAACAGAAGGCAAGGCAAAGAGACATGGATGCTTTGAAACTATGGATGGAGAATGCTTTAGCGGTCAACAAAGCATTCGGAGGAGTTATCAAGCCGGATTTTACTGGTTTTCATCACATGGGGTTCTATGCATCCGCATATATACCTCAAGCACTGCATACAGCAGCGCAACTGCAGTACTTATTAGAAGGAACTGACTATGCTTTATCAAGCACTGCTAAGCAAAATTTACTCAAGACCCTTAAGACTCTCCGGGTGACAGCTGTAAAATACTCTACACCAAACAGTGTTGGAGGACGCTTTCCTAGCTTTTCAAGGAAAGTCCTGGTCAACATACTTCCTGCATATGCCTATGTGAGCGTTACCCGTCAGTGTTCAAGAACTCAGAATCCATTGCCAAGAGTACATATCCCTGACCTAAACGCGGATGCAACGATGTTTTTACGATTATATCAGCCTTCCGACAAAAAAATTTCTAAGTATCTGGGTGGTGGAGGAATTAGACGAGGAAAATCATATATGAATACATTGGGATCTTTAGATATAATGATCCAAGTAAGTGTATACATACGTGTATTTTATGCGTTCTATTCTTTACAGTTTAAGACAATATCAGTGCTCGGATTATAATCTAAATAATAACATAGGTGTGTATAACTTAAGCTGGATAAATTGTTTAAAGAGGAAAGCTCGTCACCTTACAAATATTTTCTCTTTCGTAACACGTTTTAACTCTCATTTAGTAAACCGCGATTCTGTCAGGTTTCTCAAAGATTGCAGATTTTATTTTTCATATCATTTACGGACCTTTTGGAAAGTAATTGTCCTTTACTATCTTCCATTCAACTTTAAATATGTCCCGCGGATGAAATGTCTTTTTATTATTGAAATAGTAAAATTGAAACTATATTCCTCATAACAGGCGCACAACAAAGCCGTTGAGAAGGGTATGTCTGCAGAATCCTCTCCAAATGGTCATTGGTCTAAGAACTTTGCAGCTCTTTCCGTACATCGTCGCGAAGATTGGGCAGTTACCGTTAAAGGCTTCAACAAATTTGTTTGGGATTTTGAAATGGGTCCTTCAGAAAACCCTAACGGTATCTTCCAAAGTTATGGTCAAATGCTCATAGCTAACAGCGAGGGGTCCCTTTTAGCGCATGATGTAGAAAAGGGGTGGGATTGGACAAGAATTCCTGGTGCCACTACTATGTCCCTGACTCTTGAGGAAACTCGAGTGAAGAAAGCAAGGTATTTCAGTCCAAGATCGTTTGCTGGTGGAGTTACTTTCAAAGGACCAGAAGCCTTGTCAAACGGAGTTTTTGGCATGGACTTTTACCAACCAGACTACCAATTCTCACACAGCTCTTTTCCCAATATAAAGCTTTATTTCAAAAAGTCAGTTTTCTTTTTTCAGAACGTGATTGTCTGCCTAGGCAGTAATATAAGAATAGGAAACGGACAAGGGAAAATTGCCCAGACAACTCTATTTCAAGACAAGGTTCAAAGGGTCGATACCGGAGGTCAGATGAGATCATTCTCAATCAAGGTAGACGGCGTCTTAAAAGATGGTTCATCTACATTTGCAGCAATGGTGCCACCTTTGAATTCACAAGCAGGCTACATACGTCTCCTTGACACCAAAGGTAACAGCTACTATATCCCGGCTTCGAGTGCCTCCAGTCTCAAAGTTCAAATTGCGAATCAAAACTCAAAAACACCAGCAGCTAAGCCATCAAGTGGTCGCTACGCCACAGCTTGGCTTGAGCACAGTCCTTCTAATGACAATTACGAGTACGCTGTTTACGTAAAATCAACATCGTACCCCAAGTCTGCTGAATTCGTTTGGAATTTTCAGGCAAGTAGTCGTAATAAAAAAGTATACAAAGTCTTACAGAAGAACGACGTAGCACACGTGGTCAAATTTGAAATGTCTACAGTGGATTGGCGGGAGGTGAGTCCACCTCAGTTTGGCTATGTGATATTTTCATCCACGACAACGCTTCCTTCAGACGGCCCAATCAGGTCATCCAACAAACCATGCATTATCATGGCTAGAGAAGATGGGGGGTTTCTCTATCTTAGCGTCAGCCATCCTGACCTGGCGTTTCCTAATTCTGGCCATCTCAAGACAATGGAAGATATCGGAGTTCGGGAATATTACCATATAGAAAGCCAGGAAATTTCAATTACTGTGGGGCTGAGAAAAAGAGTGCTCAAGACACTTCCGGCGCAACCAATGGTGCATGGATCACCAGCTGAGTACGTGCCAACAGTTCAGGTCAAATCCACCAATCCAACGCTACCTAAAGGCAACAAAATTGTCTTTAGCAATCTTAAGAATGGCTTCAGTGTTGAGGTCAAGCTTAGGAAATAATGAAAAAGCTCTTCTTCTCTCTTGAGCTTATGAGTTGCGAAGAGGTGCATTAATTAGATGTGTAAAAATTAGTGGTACCCTCTCTCGTCGCTCTCGGTTTGAATACTTTACATTTTATCTGTCATGAATTCTTCATTTGATGATGTTTGCCAAAGCAAAATAAAAATCATTGAAGATTGCGTCTGAGGTTTGTTTGTTTTTCACTTTAAGACAAGGTTAGAACACATTTCGGCCCATTTGGGACTAGCGTGGATTTCTAAAAATACTGTGCGTGTGGTAGCGATAGTCTGGGAACACCGGTGACAAGTAAAATATTTACATCTAAAATTGGTAAGTTGCGCCAAAGTTTTTTAAGAGGGTTGGGATGGCAAAAGTTATAGTCGATTAACTTGAAAACATGGTAAAAAAACAATGAAATCTCCATCTTTGAGCATCAATTTTACTTTCAGAAACGATCTTTCCAGGCTGTGTTAAACTAAGAGAGATATTTTCGCCCTCGTTCATTGATAATTTCCAATGAAGGAATAAAATAGCTGAACGTGTAGCTTACCAATTTCTTCAGGAATCGGCGTTTTTCCATTCAACACAGAGCCCATAGGGATAGAAAAAAAACCAATTAGAAAACTAGGCATGTTCCTATGAGCCCCTCTCGCTGAAAGAGGTGAACTGATACTCACTCTTTATTTCTGTTGGTCGAAAACGCGTCTTATATACAAGGCAATGGCAATTGTAACTAATACCCTATTCACACCAAAGCTTAAACATGTTTAAAAACGAGGTTTAAAATTGTTTTTTTCATAGAAGCTGCTAAAACCGATGGTTGTCACCTTCATGTTGAGCATACAGAAAACATAAGTGAGTCACTACCTCAGTAAAACCTATGGAAAATTAAGTTTTTCTGAATCTGTTCTCTATTTCTAATTGTCATATAGATAAAGCCGGTTTAACAAAACACTCTCGGCGAAGGGACTGTTTGTCACAGGCGAGGGCTACATTTAAAAAATTTGAGGAAGGTATAAATCTTCCCATGGTAAAAAAACTGATAAAATTTTGAATGAGTTTACTTGATTATAGGGAGTTTGTAAAAATAATATTCTTAGATAAATAATAATTATTAAACCGAACCTCCGATAGAAACGCAAGAATTTCACATTAGGGAAGGCGGTCGTTCTTAGGGGAAAATCGATTAAATACTTTTCATAAGACTAGCATCCAAAATTATTTGGAACAAGTAAAAATTCTATACGAAATTTTACAATGTCAAACTCAACTTAGCAGCTTTTGCATTTCACTCCGATCCGAATCAAAGCAACAATCCAACATAATCAATCAAGCATAATTTTGAGGCGTAATGAATGCAATCTGTGGAGTAAAAGCGTTTACAGACTTCATTAATCCTCCGTTGCCATAGCAAAGTGATAAAAATATTAGGAAAAATAACCGATGTCAAAGCTGATGGCAGGGTGCAAAATTTGATTTTTATACCCATTTGCGCTGAGATTCGAATTTTTCTAACGTCAAGCTCACACACATTTTCTGACACATTAAATCAAACTTGACCGACTCTACACAACGCATCTGCCCAAGTTGTAAACCATGGGCAAATCTATCATTAATTATTTTTATAATAAGGTCAGTGCTAATTTTTTATCGTAATTATCATATTTCTATTATGAGTTTGGAGTGATTTTTGATTCTTCTGTGATAAGTCTTTGAAACTGATTTTTTTAACTAGGTTAATAATTAAGGCGGCTTATTTTAAGAAATCTTGCATTTTGTTTTAAGCTGTCCTCAAATTGATTGAATTGACTTGTTTAATGTAACTAATTAGGAGTTAGTATTAAGGTTAAAGTTATAGGTCTAGTGGTAGGAAATTGCTGAGTAGGAAATAGTCATCAGAAATGTCGATTGATTCACAAATGACAATCCTGGCCATTGTCCTCTATAGAGTTTTGCATGTGAGGGGTTCTGATGTTGTCATTCTTCGTTTCTCTCTTTGCCTGATGGGTTAAAAGGAGAGAAAATATATATCAATTTAGCTTATTGTAATTACTGTTCGATGCACATGACTGATTTGAAACATTGTGCGAGGACGAAGGTACATCTGCAATCACCGTTGTTAATGAGGGACCCTTCTGAAGAGCTTGAGCGCCAACATACAATAGGAGCCAAGTAGTTTAATTGGTCAATAAGATTTCAAAGATGTTATGAAGAAAGCTAACAGAGTCACCCATGCCGCCATCTTGTGTTGGCCTTTTCCGTCACTCTATAGGTTAAACAGCAGAAGGAATAAGAAGTATGTGGTTGTCAACATTTCTATATCCAAAGATTTAGCTATATTTACTTCCTGCAAGAGATTATAAACAGTCTATAATCGCTTGCTTTTTGCACATGGCTAAACATGCATATTAATCCATGTGACACGATATGAGCAGTTTGAAATAGAATACCTACAAACAAAGTCTGACCTGTTCTTTGGTTTGCCCCAGCCTTTCGATAAGTATGTTCAGCTTTTCTTCCATTCTCTCCAGTCTGCTTTTCACGGAGACGACCCGATTTGGCTCTTGACTCCCCTATTATTTTGCACACAAACAATAGAATATTGGATAAGCAAAGGAAGTGTATGGATTCTCAATGCAAAGATAAGCGGTAATGACAGGTAATTCGAAAAGCGTTGGCATATTATGCCTGAATTTCTAAAGAAAAATACAAATTTTCCCATAATATTAGTTAATAGTTAAAGAGTGTTTCACGGAAAAAATTCAGCAGCAAGAACAACAACAATTTCAGTAACGTCAGTCGTTTATATGTAACAAATAGTGGCATAAAAAGTACCCATTGGTAACGTAGTTCGGCTTCGCCTTTCTGAAGACAACTGAATTCCAAGTGCCTAAGGGACTTTGCGATCTAACATGCAGACCAGAACAAAACAACCAAACAAAACAAATATAAAACAACAAAAACCACAAAAAAAACAAACAAACAAAATATTTCCGATGGGTGAGATAAGCGCAATAAAAAAAGTGCGCGTTCAGGAGCCACCACGTATCTATGAATCAACAATTAGCACACCGACGCACTGAACCTATGATGCGAAGCGCTTCATAGACTGAAAAAATGGGTCTTACTTGTTCTTTTTCCTCTTGTATTTCAAGTTCTCTTTTCACTCTATTCAGGTTTTCTTCCAAGGTATCCAGTTTACTATCGACTACAACAAGTTGTTTATGTCAGAGGAAGTGCATTAGACGTAACGTAGTAACGCGTCTGGATATACGAGCTGGGTCATTATTACTCTGTTTTGGGACGAGCATGGGGCTGCTGCAGAGGTCATGAACATATTGAAAACTTGAAGACGTACATTCACTAATACGCAGTTGTCTCACTTAGCAATGAAAACAAACAATGAGAAGCGAAGATGAGAAGTATGTTTTTTTTTTATCCTACCCAGTCAGATGGCATTTGGCTGAACGTTGTAACGCCCTAATTGGGCGATGAAAATATTTCGTCAGTGGATTTCGAGTCATTGATTAACTTATTTTTATTTATTTGGTTTTTTCCCGAGAGACAGGAAATGATAGAAAAGCTAGTTTGATTAAAGAAGATTTAATTGTTTGTTTCACAATATATACAATTGATAGCCTGACTCTACATCGTGAGGCAAACGATTAAACTTCATATATATATATATGTATCTCCTCCGTGGACGATAACATCTTTTATAAATCTGAGCTAGAACTATATATGAAAAAACAAATTCATCTGTACGTAATTGTTCAACAGATTTAGAAGATCTTAGTAAGTTCGCCCATTTTCTCGTATGAATCTTATAAACTTTTTCTGCACAATAATCATAAAGAGTTATTTATGAAAGCGTTACCTGTTGAAGGAAACGATCCTTTATATTTCTCTTTATAGCGGTTTTTTATTATAGGAAAGAACACGCTCTTCAAGAAATCTTTGTACTCCTTTTTCCTCCTTTTCTTTCTCTTTATAAGCAAAAACAAGAACGGCAAACAACTGGTGTTAGTCTTAAGAACAATAGGCGAGACTAATTTTGGCAAAAAGCAAAAATGGAATATATATAAACAAACGGTACAACAGCGACCGCTCACAAATTATTAAACAAACAGAAAAAGAAACAAACAAAAGAAACAAAGCCAGAGCAAACAAGCACAACATAAATTCCAAAAACATGCAAACAAACAAGCGAAGCGGAATCGATCAGAAAGAAGCAACAACAGCATCACATGTCGATAAGCTTTTTTGCACTGGATAAAGGATACATGAATTTTTTCTGGGCGCAGCAAGCATAATTTGAGGACTAAAATAGGTATAGGTAACAACATGATTTCGAGTGCAATTTGATGTCAATAAGCAGAAGTACATTCTTATAGCAAGTGCTTGCCCACGAGTGTTTATCACACTAGATTTTAAGATAAATCATATTATTACTTGTAAATAATGTACATGAAAAGCATCACAGAAACTCGAGACAAACGAAATTTTGAAAGAGTGCGCGCGCTATTTGTAACTTACACTCGTGTTACAACTTTGCACTCGTGTTTCATAAAAAATGCCACCGTTTTCAGCCAATCAGACGCGTGCGATTTTTCCATGTACATCATTAATACACTAAAATAATGATGATTGTGGCTAATCTTAATTGGCAAGCTCTTTTCCGATCTGATACTGGTTTAGTACCTCCTCTCCGGTATCTTCGTGAAGTCCCCAATACAAGTACACTATTGGCAAAGTAAGTATGTTGAATGGTACAACAACCACGTGCATTCGTCTATACTGCTCCTCCATAACAGAGCGTGAGAATTTCCATTCTATTTCCCAGCCGTTCTGAACAGTGAGGATACAAAAGCAATGCTGCATGAAAGCTGATCATTACTATATCATCAAGAAAAAACTTCGGATAGATCTTTTTTTTGTATAGTTGAGTCATAAAACAAATTGTTTGTGTCAGAGGAAGTGCATTAGAAGTAACGTAATATCGCGTTTGGGTATACGAGCTGAATCATTATTACGCTGTTTCGAGACGAGCATGAGGTTGCTGCAAAGGTCATGAGCATGTTGAAAACTTGAACACGTACATTAACAAATACGCAGTTGTCTCACTTAGCGATGAAAACGAACAATAAGAAGCAAAGATAACAAGTATGCCTCTTCATTTGAATGATTCCAAATAAAACTTAAACTTAAATCCAGCGGCGCGAAAAACAAACGTAAAATCATAGTGACAGAGATATATAATAATATTTTTCTTTTCTGATCATATATATAATTGCTTGACTGATTAAAACAAACCTTGTACTTATCATATGTCGCTGTCAATAAGGCTACTAGGATATTAACCAACATGATGACTGATAGCACCAAAAAACACAAGAACAGGAGAACAACGATGATCGTAGTCGTACTAGTTTGAGATTCCATCTCCTCGAAATGGGTCATTCCAAAAACAGACCAGACAAGATGTATTGCAGACTTTAAGAAACTGAAAGTAACGGAAGGAGATGCTTGTGAGTGTAGTATGCCGTTAAAAAAAGCCATGAAATGAACATCATTGTACTAAAAAGTGTATGTGTTTCTTAACTAACTTGTTACCCTACTAGCAGATTTTGGGCAAATGCACTGCTGAAATGTATACTCTTCTCGAAAACGAGCCAAATTTTAGGCAGGTTAGATAATTTTTCGTTCCTAGGTTAATTCATCAGTTTTGGAATTGTTAAAGGTATTGACAAATAGAGCAATTTTACGTTCCATTCAAGGAAATGAAATAAATTACGTTTTGGCCAGTTGATGAGAGGATATAAAATTCTGATTCTTCATTCTCGACCTTGTTTGAGCTTTAAGTAAAAGGGAAATGACCTACCAGTTGAAATTTCCTGGAACACAATACCTGGGAAAGAAGAAAGGAAAAATCCCTTTGTTTATATTGATAAGGTAAAATGGTCGAAAAAAAAATAGAATGTTAGTATGGGATGGAAACAGCAAGAGATAACTTGAGTAGAAGACTATCATCAACGATGCCTATTTATGTGTACCCCTGACCTGAACACCACTTCTAGCGATGATCCAAAAAGTCGATCTAATTTTTCAAGCTAGACTGGTCCAATATCATGTCCATAGGCAAAGGGGTCCTTTCTCAGAATAAGGAGAGGGATAAATTGCTCTCTTTATAAAACTTTGTCAGAGTCTACTCATAATGTGTTGGCCGTAAGTATTTTAAGAGTGAAATGTTGAACGAGCTAGCTCTCAGAAAATATTATTATATTATTAAAATATTATAGAGCTTTCATCCTTGAATGACAATTCTCGCTTTAAAGATGGAAGATGGATTGCAAAATGATTTGAAATGTTTGCTCTGTTGTTGCCATCTCCTTCCTACACCATTTTTTTTTACATAGTGACAAATAAACAGTTAAAAACAAAAAGGCACAGAAGCAGGTAAGTAAGCGGCTTACTCTGTATAATTTGATTTGCTGTCCTGTGGAATCATGTACGACTTTTCAGCGGTGTAACACTTCGTGATGGCCATTGAAAACGCCACAATCACGAAAGCAAACTGAATGAGTATAATCAGCAAGTCTCTTAACATTTGAAACAACGCCAGCTGAAGTGGACCGACAACTGAACTGAGCTCTAAGATACTGGAAAATCGTAAAGTAAGGAACAGCGTGTTGAACCCATAGGAGTAATTGGCGATTTCTAACCAGCGATTGTGAAAGGCATCGCCACCGATAATGAAAGTTGCTATTCGGCAAACGAGAATGACCACATAGATAAAAACGATCCCCATATCTAAGTAGTTCCACATGTCTCTAGAATGGAAAGAAAATAAACTGTTATTTAAAAAGTTTCGTCTCGATATTTTGAATCGTCTATTGTGATATGCAAATTGAGCGTCGATAAGAGCTGTTACCAAAGAAGGTAGGTTTTTAAAGCGTTTAATTGTTGTCGATCTCACACTAAATTTGGAATTGCTAAAGAAAAGCAAACACCAGACAAAGAAAACTGCAACAACTCCTACTATGCAAGAATCTCGATTTGCTACACATGTGATACAATTGCAACTTCCGATTACTCTCACAATCAGGGATTTCTGAAAGAAATGGAAATCATGTTCAGGTGTTCCCAAATTATCCCGAAAAATTTCCTGGGAAATATACATTGAGAAACAGAGCTAACAATAATTATATTTATTTTTTAATAGAGATACTGTACTTAAAAACTCAGGTGATCTAATAAGCTCTCTCGCCCTCTGAACGTCAAGGGTCTACTACCTGAAGTAAACTTTTTCCGCCGATGTTTTATACTGATGGATCTCACTGACAACAAATCCAACGAAGAAGAACAACACCAAGGCCTCCTCAATGGTCGGAGCAACAGACGAACCATTTATGGATATCCAGAAATGCAGCACAATGAAAATCAGTTGCATAAACTGTGTCTTAACGAAAATGACGCAGGGAGTATCCGAGTACCATCGATAAGTTTCTGTAAAAAAAACGGGATTAAGAATCGTGAGTTGAATGATGATTGTTATGTCAAATTATGCCTTGTCATAGTTTAGACAGTTCAATTGTGGAGACAAAAAACAACTCTGATACATTTTAAAGAACCAATCTTTGCTTTTACTGAGATAAATGACATTTGACGGTGTCATAAGGTCCCTTACTTAAAATCCGAGATAATGCAAACCTTATGATAACGTAGGCAAAATCGATAATTTATGCCCCTATGGAGAGAGATGCGTACCTCAGAACTGAGAAAATGTTGGGCGGTTACATGAATAACAACCAGTTATTTGAATCATTCTTTTAGACGTGTCTCATTTTATAATTTACCTTATTTTATATTTACCTAAGATCCTTGTGCAAAGCGATTTCGATTTCTCTCCTTCTGCTTTTTGTGGCTGGTTCTGTAGGAATGCACATGCGATTAAGGGAAGCAATAGGGGCGTCAAAATTGTATCCAGCATCATGATCAATAATAGAACACAGCGGTGCAGCTTTCCAAATTGGAAATCCTCCGATAAGCCATATTTCCATCGTTTTTCTACTCTTTTGAACACAAATGGATGTGATAAGAACTGAGGAAATAACGTGATAGGAAGAAAATAAAAACTTTTGTCAATAATGAATTACTTTAACTAATAACCATACTCTATACTCCTCCTTCTTATTACTTTTCTAACTCACTTACGAAGGCGACGCTTCAAGTATCGCAACTATTCAATTAACCTGAATTTGGTACTGCTCGAAATATCCACAAATCCTCTCGTCTATAACCTTTTTTCAGGCTATATGTTATAGAAATCTAGTGTAAAATATCATGCATTGAAGTTGTTTGAACTTGGAAAATGAAATCGAATAGCGTTCCAGAGGTTGGAATCAGTGGTCAACCAATTTTAGTTACACTTGATGCAAAAGTTAGCCTTGATGAAATATTCCTCAAATGACAATAAAATATGTCATGCTTTAATTTGGAGGGGTTATGGCCTTGCATATAAACAGCCAAATGATTGATGGTTTGGAATGAGTGTGTTCATGGTGGGTCCACATTTGAACCAAATTTGCACTGCCATTCATCAAAATCGGTTGCCAAAGTTCACAATCTCTGGGATACGTATGCTTCTTTCATGAGAATGAGCCTGAGGTTCTAAGTTCAATAGCAACCGAAAGACTTTAAGATTTGTGTTTCCAATTTTTTTCCGGGAGATACACCATAAAAGTACTTTTTTCTGTTGTTCAGCAATTGCCTTATCCGTCATGTCACTGAACAGAGAACCATATCGATCCATATCTTCATCATTGATGCGCATGTCTTCTTTCCTCTCTACTTGGTCCAAGAAATCGAATGCAAAGTCCTGGACATTATCAGCTAGGTTCTCCAAGGATTTTGTGTTCTCTGTGGTTGTTTCAGCCAGATGAAGTAGTTTTGCATGAACCTAATATTTATATTGAGACAGAGAATAAGCGAAAACTAAAATAAAAACATGATACCTGTATGAGTTAACGAATGAGGACATGAGAAAGAGGAAACAAACAAGCAAACGATCGGAAGTACAGACAAAAGATTGATGGAGTGGATGAATGCATGAATAGATCTAGGAATTAAGACCCTATTCAGCTAAGGTAACTTTTATCGAAAACACAAAAAAAGATTAGAGTTCAAAATCGGAAGCTGTGTCTGAAATCTAACAATCGTGTCCAAAATCGGACTCTAAAGTCTAAAATCGGACGGTTGTATCTAAAGTCGGACGCTGGTATCCTAAAGAGGACGCCAGAGGTAAAAATCGGACACCAGTGTCTAAAATTGCATTTTAGTGTCCAAAATCTGAGACTGCTGTCTGAAAATCTGACACTCCTTTTAATAAAACGGACACTAACTTCTAAAATAGGGCAGTATTGCTTTAAATCTGACGGTAGTGTCCAAAATTGGACACATGTTTAAAATTGGACACACGTTTCTCTAAAAGAACTGTAATGTCATAAAGCGGACTTCGGGTCTAAAATTGGACACAAGTGTCTAAATTTGGATGGTAGTGTCCAAAGTCGGACACCGGTTGTTTTATAACAGTGGGCTGATTTAGGTATCCAGTGGTCTGGTTTACTTCCCTCTCAACAAAATTGTGATTTATGGCTATCAAAAGATCGAACCTTTCTTTCAATTTAGTAAGCTTACCTTAAATGCGTTTTTGATGGGGTCTTCCGCGTCGCAGAGAGCATTAACTGTAACTACTTTCTTTATATTCTCCCATGACATGTGATCTCCTTTAGCACTCAAAAAATATTTCAGGTTGAAGGTATCTAAATCAAATGGTGAAGAGCGTTATCTCAAAGGTACATGCCTTAGCTCTTCGAAAATATGATGGCACTTCCTGACAAAGGGGAAGTTGCAATATAAAAAAGATTAAGAACGAATAGGGAGACGTAAATTTTAAAGGATAACAGATTTTCATTAGGGGAAAAATTCTTCTAATGGCCAACGGAAGGTCTTCAGAATCTTAGAAACTATACCGAGGGTCAGAGATAACTCTGACAGATTTTTTTGTGAAGTCAATGCTCAGTGGTTTCCTTCGACCATAAGGTGTTTCAGTGATGGAAAAATCTAGATATTGTTGGATTGTAAACAGCGCCGGAATGTCTTTCAGGTAAAGGGTTCAGTTTCTCCATTATTAAAAACAAGGCTTTCTTTTAACCAAAATGTCATCCAAGAGCTATTCATAAGTAGTCACTTGCCTATTGTTGAGAAAAATTCCAAGTCATTGGAAAAATACCATTCCTCAGGGAATGTCAGTTTCGGTGGGGGAAGTCCTTACTTTGCGATTTGTATTATATGATGCATGATTTATAAACAACGGAGCGGAAATACGACCAAAACACATTTCCTTCTGATTTGTAGAGTTTCACCCGTATTAAGATAAAACAGAAGAAAAAATGAATCAAAAAGAAAGAGAATAAATAAAATCCCTCTGAAGATTCTGGTACAAAACTCACGGTGTGATACAATCAACTTGGCTGTGGTTCTAATTTTGCTTAAGCTTTGAGGTAAATAAAGGATGCTTGAGTAATTAAATATAGTTACCTGTGTCGTAATGGACTGGTGAGTTTCTTTCTTCTTGCGGACCGAAACGAATTTCTCCGCTTGTCCCTGCGTTACTAGGACTGTCCTTGCGTCCCATCTTATCCTTTATCCCTGTGTTGTATGAAGGTACATCGTATACATATGAGAATGAAAGTTTGAGACCATCCTTACGTTATCTCTTTTATTAAGTATCCGGTTCCGTGAGCCATCTTTACATCAAGAGATGAACGGTTAATGGTTGGAGCTCAGGAGAAGCAACTGATTGTTGAGGCTAATCGCGTGGATGAGAGTAGTCCGAAGGAAGCTGTTTTAGGAGACATTAACAGACGATTAACCCGATGCTTGAGGCATTTGGTTGTGAAAGTTCTTATGCACCAATACAAATAAATTAATGCAACATGGCGGTTCAGATGGCACTTGTTAGTCCCTTTTTTGCTGCCCTTTCCTGCTGATGGTTTTGCAGGTACAGCTCTACTTACGGTTGTTCCCGATTCAAGAATGGTTCTTACTTCCATATGAATCCCAATTGAGTGTCAATATGGGGTAAGGCGAACGTAGGTATATGCCAGCCAGAACTACCCTAACCTGGCATTTATTACTAATAATCAAGAATTTATCAACTGGATTACGCTGCCAATCTTTTTAAATAATTCCTAACATCTCTACCCACGAACACTCTCCTCGGCTGATCTCTGACTTTATATTTGTAAAGGAGGGAAGTAAGAAAAGAAACGTTATTGAATATTTATCACTATTTCGATTCCTGTATCTAATTCTTCAAACAGTAAATTGAATCACTGACATTGGAGTCTCCCATCCACAAAGCTCTGCCCTTCTGATGCGCTTTCCATGTTGCTATGTGACGTATTCTTTTACTGCAATCAAAAAAGAAAAAAAATGTATTAGCTTTGGTTTGGAGGAAATACAAGACACGAGCTTTAAAAAGATTTCAACAACTTCCGTAGAACTATAATTTGCTATTCTGCTCGCAAAAAACAACAACACAAACAAATGCTGGGACAACGTTGGAAGCACCCACTGCATAGGTCCAAGCGTAAGATGTGGAGTTGTGCGAAAGGCTCATCTCTTAAAGCCTCGTTACTAATATGAACATTACACTTCTAGCATCTTTAGAAACTGTAGTGACCAAAAAAATTCAGTATCTTGATAGCGACTTCCCCTTAGATTGGCGAAGTCTTTACTTCAACAATAAATGCTGCAACTTTTCCCTTCTTCGGCTTAAATTATGGGGAAAAAAGGAAAAAGGAGCAAACATTGTGATTGGGAATGAGGATGAAGATAACATTGTGCGAAGGCTCAATAACCGCACCTCTAACAAGGAACTACGAAAGGCTCTGTGTGTTGTTTGCTAGAATGGCTGGAAGAGCTTGGCGTGACACACAAAAAATAAACTTATTGTTTTAAAAGTCAGTATTAAAAAAACATTTTTTAGACAAATTTAGTCAATTACAGCTTAGCTTTGGGTAGTAACGAACCTTAAAATTCGAAATTAATTACTGCCATCAGCATTATAATTTAAGTCTTTGGAAGTAGAAACTGGTGGCAACTGGTGGTGCCTCATCACTCGCAACACAACGTAACGGAAAATGAAGTGAAATATTTCCTTTAATTGTATTTTTGTTTCGTTCTTACTTTCTTTTTATTTTATTTCATTCTTTCCATCTACTCAGTTCCAATAGAAAGCACTATAGATATAAACAGCATCATAACAGGAAGACGATACCAGCGGAGTAATGAACCTTAAAATCCGAAATTAATTACTGCCATTAGCGCCATAATTAAAGACTTTGGAACCAGAAGGTGGTGGTGACAATAATGTAATGAGACTTAAAGTACGGAATTAATTAACTGCCATCAGCACTATAATTTATTAGAACCAGAGACTGATGGCAAATTAAATCTACCGTTTGTATCTAATTTTTGAACATAACTGTAGCTTTGGCTGTTGTAAAAAATATAAAAGGTGCCACGTTATAGTCAAGTGTAAAAAAAAAGGCGCAATTCCACCATGAAGCAGGATTTAAAGAAACTTGTAAAGTAGGAGCTGGCTTTTTTTATGTATCTACTACTTCATTGCTTTGCCAGTAACCCGCCTAAGTTAGATATAAAATAGGCACTTGAAAATGTCGTTTGTGAGATGCAGTGGCTGTGCTAAGTGTTTTTCTCTCAATTCCTGTCAATGCATGCCACAAGAAGTGAACATCATTGAATATTACAAATGAGTGTTTTCTTTTCTTTTCATTTCTTATCCCGTCTGACAATTCAGCTACAGTTATTGAGGTAAACTAGGAGTAAATGATCAGTGTCTTAGACGAGAAAAGCATTCACTAGCCAAAATCATCCGCTTCTTATAAGCTTTAGATCGATAAGCGCTTTTCACACCACTCGACGACGCTCCTTTTCTTAGACGAGTAAATTTGTACTCACCACTTAGCGCTGCAAGTTTTTTTCCTTCTTCTAAAAGATGGTGAAAAACAAAACAGATGATCGGACAAAAACCTTGTTTAAGAGAACGCTCAGCCTACACACTTGCTTCTGAACTCATCTCTAATGACGAAGTTTTGAAAGTTCCGTGTTTAAATTGAAGTAGAGACAACAACAATACAGCGTTGACGCTTGACCGAGCAAAGGACTTCGGCGGAAGTGACGTCGTTGCTTCACATAATAAGGTAGAAACGACCACCGCAATTATCTAAAATAGAGTTCCAATACAAGACACAATTTATTTTCGACAGGAAGATCATACCAAAGAATAACAGAAATGGAATGGATGAAATACAAGAAAAAAAGGAGTATCGTATCAAACACACGTTTACATTCATCGAATGCTGCAGCAGACCACGGCTGGAAATCACGTTTCCTAAGAAAGACGAATCAGCAACCGTTACAAGTGCACTCATAACATCTTCCTGAGGCGAATTGTTTTGAAAGTGACAAGCGCTGTCGAAAGAAGGCGAGACACAAAGCATATAAAAGTATATGTAAACCATGCACTCTTTCTTTCTTGCTTGCTTTCTTCGTGTTTTTGCTAACCTCTCTCCAATAACATGGAAAATGATTGAATAAACGTTGGAGATATAAGCAGTGTCATAACAGGAAGACGATGCCATAGAAGCAGTAAACCATAAAGTCCGGAAACATATTGATAAATCTACGTCAATTGATGGTAATCAAGCGAGTAATATACATGAAAAAATTAATCAGTTCTGACTGACTAAGATAAATGCAGTGTTTAGGTAATTCAGTGCAGAAGAAGGTTAATTCAGTGCAAAGAAGTAACAAAATAGACATTTTGATTGGTCAATAATCAAAGAAACTCACAGATAGCCAATCAAGTGCGAGCCTTGGATGTCGCAAGATTTGGACACGCTGAAAATTTGCGAGCGAAACAATGGCCGGCGTTTTAAGTAGGTTTTCTTTTGCCACCTCAGTAACAATACAGCAGCTAAAAAAACAGCTGTAACAACGAAAACACTGTAAAAAAGCACTGCATTTTGGTTGTCGGTTTGGAAAAAGTGGTGTTCAAGGAAGGGAATTGCCAAGGAAATCGAAAATTACGAGCCGACCAGCTGAACACTGTACTCGAGCGATTCTAAGCCGAAATTAAAAACAAACATGGTTAAACCTCACAAACGACGATTCCATTTCATCGAAAGTGATTCGGACACAGACTGAACAATTCCTTGAACTGTTCAGCCGGAATTTGAACTTTTTTGCGTCTTAAAGATGTAAAAATATCATTGCATATTACTGTTTTGATCGTACGCGGTTGTTTTGACCGAACGCACAAAGTCACTTGCAGGGTTTGAATAAATTATTTTTGCACTTGATGCGCGCACTTTGCGTCTGCATAATTATGATAAGCTATCTCGTATTTTTTCATGTATATTATTAATAGGTAATCACACGATTTTTCTTTTTTCGCAATTCGGAATAAATAAGCACTTGTTAATTTTTTCAAAGACCACCCTTCGAAAAAAATTTGCTCGTGCATATTTATTCCAAATTGCACTCGAAATCATGTGATTACCTATACTAATATAGTATGTATTATTGTATATATAGTACTATGATTAAGATCTCACCTAACATTAAATTACCAAGGTATTAAATCCGTTATAACTTATTTCAATCAGCAGTAATTAATTTTGTAACGTAATGCGTTCTTAGCATGTGGTACCGATCTTTCGCGATAAGTGTGAAATCAAAGGGCTCTTGGAGCCAGCCCATTCATTAGTATTGATTTCTTTGACTTGTTGAAGATAGGTACAGTTGAATTCAGTTTATGTGAACTTTCAAGACTTATGGAATAAATTGTTTTTATTTTTATTTTTGGGCAGTTGTGTGATGAGAAAACATGTGCATTCGTCGTGATGGGAATTGAAAAAAAAAATTGGGGCTGAAGGTGGGACGAGCAGAGGTCATTAGGCAGACAGTGTCCTTTTTGTTGGTGTATGTGTGTTTGTAGGGCAGAGGGTGGGCTGGGTGGGCATAATCAGGCATCAAATGGTGCTCTAGCTGCAAAATATCACTAACCCTCATCTTTTACGATCATGTGCACTACTGTGAAATATTCCTTGCCCGTTTCTTGATATCTTTTGTTTTTAAGCATGAATGAGCTAAAAAGTCTTCAAAACAATCATTTCGCAAATATTTAATACTTCGATTAACTTAATTCTTACTAGCCACCCGAGTAACATATTGTTCTCGGGAGTGTCTCATATCAGTTTAATTTAGGGGTATCGTAAAATTTTCATATCACCACCGAATAAAGAAATTAATTTACAATATTTGGTATCGGCATTGCAAAGACTTGGATGTCCAAAGCTTTCGTGCCTTAGGAGGAGCTGATGGAACTGATGGAACTGTTGGAAATGGAAAACCTTGACAAAAAGATGGCCGAAGTGGAAATCAAATACAACATATTGGTTCGGCATATATACCGTGAGTGGCCGAGAAGATTGGCTTGTAAATGTAAAAATGAGAAATTTCGGGCGAAAAGCAATTCCGCTCGTTTTAAAAGCTAAAAGAACCCTTAAATTATAAAATAAAATAGAAAAAACAAAAAAAACAAAAAACAAAAAAACAAAACAAAACAAAAAAAGACTTAAGCTTAGATATGAAGTCTGACGGCCGTCTCTTCTTTAAATAAAAGTTTTGGTTGAGCGCGGTTGGAGAGAGTCTTTTGGGGTATTATCACCGCATCCCCTCCGTCTTGGTCATCGACTCAAGGTATTTGCGTGATGACTTCACACATTGACGAACAACTGGAAAAATGTAAGATATTTATCACCAACCTATTTGTAGATTTAGCCCCCACGTTACGTTTCCTGATTAGTGTGTTATTTCCAGTTGTCTAGATTTGAAATTGTATACCTTTGCCCGATTGATTTAAAATATTTAGTATATTTGCAATGAACAGCATGAACAACTGGTTCCTGTTTGGGTTTTGCTAGTGGTGTTCTTGATTTGGTTTGTCTCGTGGTCTTGGTTTTTACCACCAAAGCTGTTCTGGATTGTGTTTTCTTGTTTTCAATAATCGTAGAACATCATTTATTTTGTTGTTCACTCTTGCAAACCTTGTAAAAATATTTGGGTTAGTAGTTCTACAGAGAGCTTTTAATCTTCTGAGGTTGTCAGGCCTAAAACCCAAACATGGTCCTTGTTGCTTGAGCGAGTGTTCAAGAGCCAACCCCCATAAGCTTGTCGCAATAATAATAAAGCCATCAATTTTTAGCCTTCAAATCCTTCAGGTATTCTTGATAAAACACTATTATGGAGCTAAACGTGGTAAGTACAAAAAAACAGCTTCAAATTTCACTTAATACATCCATGTTCAAGTCCTTTTAATAAATGAGTTGTACGTCTTGGAGACTTCTCCTGGAAACACGTTGCCTATGTATTTAAAAATTGGCTTTGCACACATTAAACGGTCATGATCAAGAATTCGTTTAAGAGTTTATTTAAGTAACCCGCACACTTAATTCAAAAACTAGTTTTCAGGTACGCCACGGCGAAAAAAAAAACAGTAAAAAGAAAGCATAAATCTTACTTACCACGGAAAAATTCAGTGAAATATTAATTTTTTTTGTTAAGGCTAAAAAACCTGAAATACAAACTTGAGTGAGCCAAATTTACCTCGAAGTTATATTTTTTTGGTGCATTAGTCTTCTATGATTCAATTTCTTTTTTTGGAAAAAGTACGTGCAGTATTTGAATGTATTTACACTGATCAAAGTGAAGTTGCTTTCGCATTTCATTCCACACTGAATCAAAACTGCAGAGAGATATTCCAGAACTATCATTCATAATCAGTCAAGTATGCCTAGTGTTGTCTGCTTCCTTTGCTAGTTACAATAAAAATCCCCAAACATCGCGAAATTTATAGAAGCGTTAACTGAAGAAGTCGTGGGATCAAGGAAGTAATTCCTCTCTGAGCTAATTAATTTTGTGCACGTTGGCACAATGCGATCACGTTGCGAGATTTCTCCTTAGATCATTTGCAATTATTCTAAATATTCTCAATATCAAATCCACACACACACACCCCCACAGTCAACACACGCCCTCTGCAAATTCAATTCATATATAGACTCAAAGCAACATATCATCCACTGCAAAGAATTTGCTTCGTGAGAGAAATTCGTCGAAAAGATCGATTAATTCACAAGTGACTATCTTGGCCATCGTCCTGTGAGAAGTTTTGCATTTGGGAGGTTCCGGTGATATGATTCTCTGTTTCTTCTTGTGCCTGTTGGGTTGAAATGAAAGAAGAATATCGTGAATACGGGTATCAGCCTCACTGAGAAAATGTGTCCTAATAATTATGTAGTATCTGTCATAAATGATCGGTTCGTTACTTTGAGTGAGAGCACATGTGAATTCGTAGGTATAACTGAGATTATGTCCTAAAGATTACCCACGAAGCTTCGCTTCTGGGCCAAATATCCATTTTTCATTAAATCCCTCAACCGTGGACATTATCAGCCAACATACCAGCCACCTGATAGGGTTACGTACTAAATGGTAATAATAACACGCAAACAGGTACAAAGGTCGTCTTCCACCTAGTACTAAATGATTTGGCGGCTTTAATGTGGTCCCCTTATGACTCACACGACACTTGACAGTAAATGTGCACTATGTAACAGCAGATAGTAAACTTGACTCGTTAAATTTATGATTTGCCTAAATTAGACAGATGAAAAGCGAAACACTATACCTGTACCTGCTCCCCCTGAGGTAGATGTATTTGTACTTCTGCCATTGAAGTACTCAGTTTTCTGTTGGCTAGAAAGAAATTTCTTGATAGATTTTTGACAGCAAAATGACGGTCCTGATATCTCATTCTAAGATTCTAAACAATCCAAAGGATGCACCTAAGATTCACCTTAATCCAGCCTTCAACCGATAAGTGAAACGCATTCGAATGTCAGAATGGACAGGGTAGGATGTTTAAATGCGCAAGTAATTTTGTTCGATTGCCCACATTCGTACAAGTAATGGTTTTGCTGAAATGTACGTTATTACAAAAAAATAATAAAATAGTAAAGCCTTTCACGAAGAGAAAATAATGTTACCTGATGATGATGGGCTTGCTTCTTCGTCCTCTTCGACGAATGATACCCTTTTCTTCGATCTTCCCTTGTTCTCCTTCTCTTGTGAAAATTTTGATAAAGTCTGTTTTGCACCAACAGAATGAGCAACATTTGTCTTCATCTCCAAACTTCGTTATTTCTTAATTTTAAATTAAGTCACTTTTTGCAGAAACTTTATTAACTTTGCTCAGGCATCACAGTTACTACTTTTACATGCAATGATGAAAGTTATTTCATAGAAGTAAACTTTATTTATAGACGTTTGAATTACCTCGAAATAAATAAACGTTGCTTTTTACGAAATTGTATTATTCTTGGGTGGGTTGAATTTCAATTTGAGCTCCAAATAGTTTAATTCGTACGGTCATTTCGCAAAAAAATAGTTATTTTTAAGTTGAATTATCACCTTAATTATGGGTTTCCTCGGGCGAACGCGTCGCGCGCTTGAGTTCCTTCCTAAAGTCTCGAGCAAATGGAGAGAAGCACGGGTAAACATAGAACAGAACGCTTTACAAACAATCCTTACCGGATCTCCTTGTGATATCCTTTGGAGTTGCTCTATTACACGTTCAAGTTTTCTCTCCAGGTTCGTCATCCTCTTTAAGAAGGAGAAGTGAAGAAGAAGTCAGTATCAGATAATCAGATCATTACTTCCTAAATTGAAATCGGGGTCAAATTGTTCAAAGCACGAATGGCTTCACAACAGAGTGTGGTTCCAATGTGAGAGCCAGGATTAAGACTCGTCTCACCTACGCTTTCTTGGGATATATGAAATCTGAGAGCCGTCTTCATATAGAGAAAAAACATTTTTAAGGCATTTGTTATGGGAGAACACAGACACAAATTGCGTCTGAAAGGTTGTCGGCAAAAAAAGGTAAAGTGCACGCGACAACCCCGAAAGTCAATGGAAGTAGTTTTCTGGTCACTATTCCTTGGCCTCTTCATATGAGGAATGTGGTACAGAATTCACTGTAAATATGAGCCACAGTAGGTGTGATGAACTTAGTAATTAATTTATTCATTTGACTTATCAAATACCTAACACCTACCTACCGAATATCTATAATGTCTAATATATAGTGGTACCGTATTCTTTTCCCGGCCAACTTTTCTCGAACTAGTTGTATACAGTATTGTGCTATTATGGGTTATGTGTCTCACTACAGCAACGTCGAAACATACAACCAATTGGACATAAAGAGGTCGGGGTGAATTAATTCGCCATGTTATGTGAACAAAATTACCTGATTTTTCATTTCTTCTAGATCATTCCTCACGAAATTGAGGTTTTCTCCCAGCTTGTCTAGTTTTCTGTTGCCTAAATGGATACGGGTGAGAGAGAAAATAAAGGAATTAACATTCTGCCCGAAAGGAAAGACGTTTCAATTTTGTGGAAGGGATAAGCAGTATGGAGCGAGCACGTTGACGTGACCGTTAATGAGGCAAGCAAGTTATTGGGCTTGTTTTACAGAGCAGTTGGCTCGTCGAATACCAGTGCGTTCTCTACGTTATACAAATCTCTCGTACGTCCGGTTCCAGAATATGCTGCTCCGGTCTGGAGTCCATTTTTGGTTAAAGATGTCCTAGCGTTAGAAAAAGTACAACGAACTTCGCTTGCTCTCGGCAAAAAACGTGATGAGATGGAATACGAAGAACGTTTAAGGAGGCTGGAGTGGTCTACACTCGAAACACGCCGATTATTTCTCTCTTTAGCTGAATGTTGTAAGATAGTTTTTGATGACTTAAGCAAACCAAACATTGACAATCTATTTCAATTTACCAAGCGTAACTCAACCCGCGCCAACCACCTTTATAAGCTCTACGATAAGCCAGCAAAGTGTAATCCTTATAAATATTCCTTTTTTATCTGAATCGCACAGGACTGCAATAGCCTAACAGGATCCATCGTTGAGGCTTGGAGCCTGAGCCGCTTTAAGAGTGCGTTGAAGCGCTTTTTAAATATCCGTTAGCTGCTTGTCTTTTTTATCGATTTTATCAATTTTATCTCTTGCAAATAGTGTTTGAATATTTTTTATTGTATATAGCTTATGAGCCTTTTACTGTACATAGCTGAATTAGTTCTTGAATCTCTCTTATTGTATATACCTTTTGCTGTTTTACATTTTATTTCGGGAAACATCATAGGGTCAACCTCCATGTTATGTTATTTAATCACTAAAAGGCTGAAAACTGAACCTGTACTTAGTAACCATGTACCTGTTGACGGAAATGATTCGTCATATTTTCTCCTGTAGCGTTCTGTTATTTCAGGGAAAAACTTTTTTTTAAAAAACTTCTTGTACTTCTCGTTCCTCTGATCCTTTCGCTATGTGTACAAAAATAAAAGTAACAAGAAATTTAAGGTAAGTTTGAATATTTCTTCAATATTCTTATGTAGAGTAGCTCTAACTTATCGCTCTTACATGTAAAACCATTCTTCGAGCCTCAGCGAGATATTTGATAAGTTTGAAAATAATCCGGGATTGGATTGGCTTTTCTTTCATTCATTCTGTGATTGGTTTGAAAAATTTACGCCGCCATCTCAACCGATCACAAACATAATTAACTAAAATTAGGAGCAACTAATTCATTAGCGTTTTTCCACTCGTTAGGCACTTTTTACCTGATCAACAGTGGCTTAATTTATGCGAGCTTATTCCTGTTGCCGTAAAGGCGGGAGAAAATGGAGGCTAATTTCGTTAGCCTGGTAGACATGTGGAAAGCTGCGACGCTAATTCTCGTTGCTGAGACTCGCCACTTTTAATCGACCCATGTATTATTGAAAACAACAACAAAATTCGCTGAAGAGACAGAAGAAAAGCTCTCCAAAGCTGCTTATACTATACAATAAATTCTTTTGGACTTTAACTCTAGTACCTTGGCCAGATTATCCGGAAATTGTGCAAAATATAAGGCCTTCAGTGGTTCAGAAATTATGTTGAACGGTACCACAACTAAGTGCATGCGTCTGTACTGTTCCTCAATGACTGCGCGTGAGAATTTCCACTCCATTTCTGCGTTAGTCTATGTAAAAAAATAATTTAAAAAATTAATATATTAAAAGAGTTAATCGAGCGTATAAATAAACGAATAGTAATGGAAAATGATCCATATATTCTCGGTTCACAGTATTACCAAAAGAAAAAACCAAGGCGAGCATTTTCAAAGGATGTATAAATGTTATTCATCAGCCGGGAGGTCCGTATTGGAAAAAAACTGTACCCGAGGTTTTGGATCAGCTCTCAAGACAGAGGGCACGGTTTTTCCTAATACGGACGAAGCTAAGCTGGTGTATAACATTTTTTATTTTTTTTCCGGAAACTTAAAGGAATGCTTGCAAAAAGAACCCAAATAATTGAGAGCTGTAATTAAGGCAAGATTCTTCATAAAAAAAACATTTTTTTCAGCAAGCAGGTAGTTTCGAAAACAAAGGTAATGTAAATTGAAGGCTTCCTCGAAACATTTTTCCATTTCCGCATGGACAAATACTGTAATTTAAAAGGGCTTCAAAGCAAACTTTGAAACATTTTTTTTCTGAAAAGTATCTATCACGATCCGACACCTGTCAATTAGAGAATGCGTGGGAAAAGAAAGGCACATGAAACTTTTGATTGAAGGACAGTGTTCAGTGGCGGATCCAGACCTCAAACTAAAGTGGAGCCCGGTTTTTTTCGCTTGCCCTGCCGGCTTTTCTTCCTTCTGCGATTCTCCTTTTTTTTTCTGGAAATAAGGGGGGGGGAGACCGGGGGGCCGGGCCCCCCAGGCCCCTCCCCTAGATCCGTTCGCTGGTGTTAGTTTGAAAAACATACTCGAGTTAAATAACTATGACGACGATCTTTTCCGTGTTGTTTACTTCCATCGCCGATTATAATCTACCAAGATTGACTTCTGTTGAATTTTTTGATGGCAAGGAAAGTCACTGTAAGTAGATTCAAATGAACATTTTGAAGTTGTGAGAGTTTGTTTGCTGCAATGGAGAGGGAAAATCTTTTCTTTCCTTCCGGATGGGAAAACATGGACCGCTGGAGCTCAAGGAATTTTGGATTCCGGACCGCTGAGATGCTTGAGAAAAAAATAATTACTTTTATTTTCTGGAAGTAAACTTAATTTGGTCTATCGTAAGGAAGTCTTGAGTGTTCTGATTGGATCTTATCGGTGCGCTCTTTGCCATTTCTACTGTTTCCACGGAGACCGTGTATATCTTTTTGCGAAAGGAGGCAATTTCAAAATAATCAAGTATGGTACGAGTACCATATGAACTACCCGCTCGAAACTTCCGCTTTATAAACTCTTCACATGGGCCAATCTACATTATCATCTCAGTTGATAAAGCCAAGTTATCTTACTTACTAACTTCGATTGCTCAAACTGCACTGGGGAATATTGGCCCTTAGTCTTTTTCGTACGGACCTGGCTGCGCTCGGTCCGCACTGCTACGACCTCCTGCCAATATTCCCCATTACGGCCCTCGCACTCAGTTAGTAAGAAGTTATTATTATCTCTTTATTCATTAGCTATTACCTTGTATTTGTCATATGTGGTTGTCAACAAGGCTACCAAAATATTAACCAACATGATGACTGACAAAACCAAGAAAACCAAGTACAGAAAAACAACGATGTCCGAGGTTAAACTAGTGATGGATTCCATCTCCTCGAAATGGGTCATTCCGAATACAGACCAGACTAGCTGCCTTGCAGACTTGAAGAAGCTGAAAGAAACACGCGAGATTGTTTAAGAGTTTTGAAATGATGATTAGTTTTGTTCTTCTTGAATTATGTTGAGATAAGATATAATGATATAAGACAAGAAGAGATGAAACAGGATAAGTGATAATTTAACTATCAGCGTAGTTGACTTACCAATTCAAACTGCCTTCAACGCAGTACCTTTAACAATATTAAAAAAACAATAACAATATTATTATATTAAGATAGAATACATCGTGAGAAGCCCCTTTTAAACTGGATATTACTTTTAAAGAATGGCAGTCTGCGTTGAAACGGCCAATAACATTTCGCAAAATAGTGCTTCACCTTTCAACGGAAGAAAAGACAACTCAATTGACCCGCCCACATCTAACAGCTGGCGAAGTGAAGAAAGGAATTCTATTCGAAGGCATGTGTATTTTCGGAGCCTCAAACAAAAGCTAGATACGGGAAATTCGTTTAGTAAAGCACTGCAGAAATAAAGTATGGAAAATTGGCGGTGCAAATGAAAACAGCAGAGTCTATGTTACTTCTTGTATCATTCGCTACTAGACATAAGTATAGATCAAGCACTTTTGAAGACAGGTAGATAATGATTTAATGGTTTTTCTTTTAGATATTGATTTTGCGTTCAAAAATCCATATGCGTTCGGGTTTTTTAAGGAAACTTTATGTTGTGAAATTTTAAAAAAGTTCCTACAAAGTAATATGAGAAGAAAACAATGGAACTTACTCTACATTATTTGATCCGCTGTTCAAGGGCGTCAGGAAGGATGTCTCAGCTGTGTAACACTTAGTGATGGCCAACGAGAATGCAGCAATGACAAAACAAAACTGGATAAGTATGACCAGTAAGTCAAGACACATGCGAAACAACGCCAGTTGTAATGGACCAATAACTGAACTGAGCTCTAGGATGCTGGAAAATCGTAGAATAAGAAGCATGCCATCGAATCCATAACCGTAATTAGCGAGTTCCAACAAACGATTTTTATAGGGATCACCACCAATAATAACAGTTGCGATTCGAATTGTAATGACGAAGGCATAAACGAGCATTATCAACACATCCAAGTAGTTCCAAATGTCTCTGCCAAAAAAAAAAAAAAAGCAAACAAAAAGAAAAAGTCATTTCATTGAGTCAAATAACGAGAATATTTGCGGGATAGGTGCGCTCGTCTGAAGTTTTAATGAACAATCAATCAATAAACTTCATTTAACCACGGGCACTTCATTTGCTATTCTAAAAAGGATCATACTATAGCTACACAACTATAACTATAACCATGAACGACACTTAGCATTTTGAGAAGCTGCTTTCAGTGAACGCCGCGCCTTGTAAGGAAGGCTATTCCGACATGTGGCAACACTATAACTAAAAAATATTTTTGAAGTTATCTGTGCATAAAAATCGAACATTGAGTTTATTCTCACAGGTCGTACCTTGTATTACGTTCAGAGAATTTCGAAGTTTAATAGTCCGGAGCTAACCTATGTAGCCGTTTGAATATCACGGTGGCCTTTTATATATTCCGCTGGCGGTCAAGATTTTTTTACCCCAAAGTTTCTGACAATTTGCAGCTTTTCTTTTCAAGTTATCCCACAGGTACTAAACTTAATAACTGACTTTCTAGAGCACTTTCGAAATGTTTATATATATATTTTTAACAATTCTGAGTATTCTGTGGCCTAGGAAAAAATTTAAATGAAAAAGACGGTAGCTTTGATTGATAACAATACGTGCCATTTAAGCACCTGCGTGACCCTGACTCACCACCAAATATGAACAAGAAAACTCAGTGTTCTGTGGCTCAGTTGGTAGGACATGTTATCACGAGATCAGAGATGCGAAAGGTCAGTTGCATCAACAAGCAGAACTCACCTTTCCCTTTTTTTTGGCCAACTAACCCGAGCGAAAATTTGTTTGCAATATTCTTCTTTAAGGGACGTTCCTTAGCATATCATAACGAAGAAAAAAAGACAACAACAAAAAAAATAATGACAACAACAGCAGCAAAACCCCGACTGATTCCGATGCGGATCACGAGTTAGCAGCAGGCTACAATTATAACGCGTGCCTAAAGTTTCGTTTACCTTAAATAAACCTTCGATGCTGAACTTCGATACTGTTGGATCTCACTAACAACAAATCCAATAAAGAAGAGTAATATAAAGCTCTCTTCAACGGTTGGAGCGATAGACGAACCAATCATGGATATCCGAAAGAAAAGTCCAATGAAGGTCAGTTGCATAAATTGAGTCTTCATGAAAATGACGTAGGGAGTCTCGAGGTACTTTGCATAAATGCCTATGGAGTAAATAAAAGTAAGGTAGATTAAATATTTCGTAGTCGCAAAATTTGCATAAAATTTCAACTAGTATCAGGCTTTGAACATCTTCTCAGCTCTTTCAAGCACTGAAGGAAACGTGTACAATAAAAAATGGTCTAAAGTCTTTGTACACATACAGAAAAGCATTTTGAATAAACGTTGATTCTACCAGAAGCAAAAACTTGTCATATGCACCACCTCCGTGCAGTATAAAGCTAAGGTTTTCAGCATGGCACTTACTATGACACCATATTTCATACCAAACCTGACGTCGTCAAGCAAATGCATGCACAATCCTAGCCTCGCCACAGTAAATAAATGATTTGAACTCGGGGGTAACATTTTATCCAGTTGTCTAATTTTCCAGCTAAGGATAGTCATATGAAGGACTTCATCGTCAGTGGTAACTAACGTTTCAAAATACCTTGGATATTGGTCAAATTTGTTCCCTGTTGGTTTTTGGATGCAACATATGCATTCAATGGGAGCATAACCGGAGTAAGTATTGCGTCAACTTCATCATGCAATTCTTTTTCTTCAATTCGTTTCACTTGGTCCAATAAATCATAAGCAAAGTCATCCACTCTATCAGCCAACTTTTCAATCGCTTTCGTATTCTCCGTACTTGTTTTAGCGATTTGACAAAGTTTCATATGAACCTGCATGAAGAGAACAAGAATGAACAAATGATAAATTGATGATGAAATCATATTGCGCAAAAAATTCTTTACGACGACTCACTCGAAACTCCACGGGTTTGAGGTGATGGCTAGAGATCAAAATTCCAACTTATATTTTTTTTGGATACCAGGAGTTCAAGAGATTTATTTCTCTTTTCCTTTTCAGATTTATCAGTAAACAATATAAACTAATATATAGTCTGCTAATGCATCCCTTTATCTCAGCTCATCCACAAATAATGCGTTTTGGGGCGCTGTTAGCAGTACATTTGATTCTCATCATCATGTCGAAAAGATGGTGTTGTTTCATTAGATATCCGCTTGTTACTGACAGACCGTTGTGCTTTCTTTCAGGGATTCACGCTTTATCAGAACGACGTCTCATTTGAACATGTTGAATGGTTTATCCAGCCCTACAGGTGTACCAGTGGATCATGATCAATGAAATTAACAATGAACCACAGGAAAACGTGTTTTGTTTTGTTATCGTGTTCTAAGACCGCCGTCTTCTCAAAAACATCAACACCGCGATAGAAATTCACCAACGACGGCGGTCTAGATGGTGGCTCGTAGTTGTTTATTCTCATCACCTCACGAAGCTTAGCAGCCTACCTCCAAAACCTAGTTATGTACAAGTAATAATAACAATACATTCTGGAAAGCCTTCATTAACCAATTATTAACAAATTATTAACCTCAGGACGGTATTGAGCGATGTCTTTTAAAGAAAACTAAACAGTGACAGTGAGAAATTCAACGTGCGCATGTAACTCGCGTATTGTACCTTAAATGCTTTGTCAATAGGATCTTCTTCATCGCAGAGGGCGCTTGCTGTAACTACTTTCTTTATATCTTCCCAATCAAATTTTTCCCCTTCCTTAAGAAAGTCTTTGATAGAATCCATTTTCTGACCTAAAAATAAAGAGCATATTTACAAATCAATTTGAAGATTATCTGTGCTTTGTGTCATTAAAACAAGAATGAAATGGCCAGTTTTGATTTCCAATAGTTCGTTTTTGAAATGCTAGGTGAAAATAATAGACATGACCAGAGATGATTATCTGACAAAATCATATTCAACTAAATGTTGCTTAAACTGGGAAAATTAAAAAATTTTCGATTGAACATGTTACGAACAATTGGTATTGTGGAGTTATTCACGCCCGTGCATACTTCTGTAAATACTAATAAATAAAAAGATTCAGACTGTCATTTTTTTGGTTTGAATTCTCATGCATATTAATTGGTTGAAATGTTTATACATCGACTTACTTGTCATTCTCGTACAGCATGGATTATTTTTCTAGTCAAAGTCAATGGACTTTGCCTAACAACGAAATAGTCATCTTAAACGAAGGATAATGAAATTGGAAAACTCTTTTTGCGTGCTTATTTGACGCTAAGTCTATTTGAATTCATGGCCAATCGAACTCGCAAATAGAGTTCTTGCATTCCACGTTCGACTGAATTCTAAACCACGGCATTTCTGGCTAAAGGCGGGGTTAACTGCACTGGGCTTACTGTTATCTTTCTCACCATGAAATTTAGGTTTTGGTCAAAAAAGTAGTTTTATCTGGATAGAGGTAAAGAAGAAACATAGGATTATGAAGTTGAATGGCGTTGTTACCATTGGGAACTTACTTTCTCTCCTTTCTTTAGGGAAATCCACTTTAAATGAACTTAAGCTCCCTTGGCTTCCTGTGAATGAAAAGGTCACCATTAGCAATCTAATAACTCGCCTGTGATGCATAGAGTCTAAACCTGAAACAGATGTGGATTTGTCTCGATAAGTACACTCTTTTGCGGTGGACATGAATTTTATAGCTACTGGACCCAGTTAATCAAAACAAGTTCTGAGGGGTCCACCTCACAGTGAGGGTGAAAACTTAGGGAAAAATAAATGCAATCAAAACTATCTACATAGCTAGTAAAATAAATAAAAGACGTGCTTCTAACGATCCAGTCCTAAGGCTTAACTCTTCTACAAGGAACGTTGTGTTTTCTACTGATATTGACACGAGGCAAGTTACACCTGAACCTTTGTAGTTCATTCTATTAAATCTAGTTAAGAAAAAAGGACTCAATATCTTCTTTCATAACTTTACCCTTACCGTAAAACGCCTTGGGTGCTAATAGAACTTGTGGAATAGCATCTGTCTTAACTTTTTATTGTATTGAGAATAAAAAGGAAAACAACAACAATTAGTCAGAGCAACGTCATTCGCGGACGCTTAAATCCTACAAATGAAGTTTAAGATAGCTTTTTCTTTTAAGCTAATTACGAAAAAAGTAAACAGTATCTTCTGTAATAACCTTACTTTTACCGTTCAACTCACTGGTTTCTGATGTAGTTGGTAGATTGGCATCATTCTCAACTTTTTAGCGTTTTGGGAATAAGAAAGAAAAAAAATTGTTGAGTTAGTAGGTGTAAAGTGTCGAGAAGTGGGAAGTAAAATTCTTAGGATCTAATACCTCCATGGTTGTCCAACCCTTCTTCCACGTTGTCACCATTAGAAGCAGGAGAGTTCAGTAGATTATAAGTATTTCCCTCACTCATTTCGAGATTAACGCATTCTAAAAAAGAAAAAGAGAAAATTAGCGGAGTCATTGAGTTTGCTGCATAAATTATAAATGGCTAATTAAAGGCTCAGACAAAAAAAATGAAGGAATAGACTTGCACAAATAGAAGTTTAACATATAACATTTTAACCTGCGACTGCCCAGAGTTGTCAAATCAATATAAAGCCATAAAAGTCAGTTCGTAACATGGTCGAAATATCAAGTAACTTTCATTTTCTATAATGCAAGATATCATGAGGGCAGGAGAGAGCCAATTAGTTTCAAACATGTATGGTTGAATCCTATTTGCAATACGCAATAGGTATTCTGAGTTTTCGTTTCCTCTGTCAATTCAGGCGATAGAAATCTAATGCGAAGAAAACAGAGTTTTAGTGCACCCTAAAAGATCATAAATAACAAATGATTAGCTGCTAAAACTTGCCGCATGGAAAAGGCAGAGATTGATTTGGAAGCAGAGCGGGGTGCTGTTTCTGCATTTTGTCTCCTGAAACGAATGTGTTTCGTACGTTCAAATAGAGTGTGGTTTTTATTTCCTTTTGTTACACGGATTTAAATCCAACGTAAGACACAACAGACCGGATTTGACGTCAACACAGGAAGACAAATCGCATACCGTGACAAGGACCGGCTCACAATACAATATTAAGCAACGTAATAACCTTTTAGGAAAGCGGAATGTAGTGAGTTGACGAAACACTTAAGAAAGAGCTCAATAGTATTGCGAGGCGGTCCTTGTAACGGTGAACAATTCGTGTTCCTGTGTTGACGTCAAATCCAGTCTGTTGTGTCTTACGCTGGATTTAAATTCGTGTGACAAGAGAAAAAAAACACTTTTTTCGAACGTTCCAGACACATACGTTTCTGGAGACAAGATACAGAGACAGCTCCTCGCTCTGCTTCCAAATCAAGTCACTGCACTTGTCCAAGCGACATGTTTTAGCAGCCAGTCTTTGGGTATTCAGCTCTTCCTCCCTAAAAAAAAGGGCTTCATTGACTGCTTAAATTTCGCTTTCCTATGGAGTTATAATGTTGCCATTTAATGCAAGACTATAAAAAAATGATAATAGCGAAATATAGCATAACAGGAAGACGTTACCAGCGAAGCAGTAAACCATTTAGTTCGGAAACAAAACTATGCCCAGCGTTCAATTAACCATTAAAATGTTGTGTCTGTATGATAAAGAAACCTTGACTGCGCTCTGTTCTGTTGTAAAGCACGAGGGTAGCGGCTATAAAGAAGTGAAAGGGGAAACACAAAATGTAGTCGAGTGTTTTTCCCTACTTCTTGACTGCTCTGTTCGCTTTCTTTTTCTTTTGTCACACGGATTTAAATCCAACGTAAGACAAAACAGACCGGATTTGGCGTCAACACAGGAACACGAATCGCATACCGTGACAAAGACCGGCTCAGAATACAACATTAAGCAACATAATAACTTCCTAGGAAAACAGAATTTATTGGGTCAACGAAACACTTTTGTTATAGAGAAAGAGCTCAATGGTATTTTGAGCGGTCCTTGTGACGGAAGGAAGACGTTATCAGGGAAGCAGTAAGCCATTAAGTAAGCCATTATGCTCATTGTTCAATTAACCATAAAAATGTTGTGTTTGTATGATAAAGAAACCTTGACTGTGCTCTGTTCTGTTGTAAAGCACTCGGGAAGCAGTTAGAAAGAAGTCAAGAGGGAAACACGAGATGTAGTTGTGTGTTTTTTCCTACTTCATGACTGCTCTGTTCGCTTTCTAAGTGCTTTACAACAGAAAAGATTACAGTCAAGGCCTCTTTATTTGCTTTATTAGAAATAGCCCGTCATTTTCCGCTTGCATTACTTTCTATTTTGAAGACAACGTCTAATTTTGGAGGTGAAAAAAAGTGTCTACAGCTTGTTTTATACTCGCCTAAAACACGCTAAAGTAAGCCAATCAGAATTCTTAGTTAAAATGCTTCAAATAATCTGATTGGTTGAAGAGACCAAAGCTGGAAAAAATTTCAAACTATCAAGTTCACAAACCATCAAACTTCACAATCTGCGATAAAATTGGGTCACAAACTGAACAGTATGGCACGTCGAATTCAACACTTCTGCTGTAACTTTTAGTTTTAATACAGAATTGTGAAGAATTGAAATGTTCAGCGAAACCCAGCCGCACTGTGGCTTATAAAAACGTTCAAGTCTTTTCAATACGACAATAAGAAAACAAATTGCTTAGGGCGCACGTTTTATGCATAAACGAACCACAACCGAATTTACAGGAACATGAAGATTTCTCGAGGCGACAGCGCCGTAAAGCAAGCTCTCAGTTATTCACTCGAAAGGCGCACGATAAAATTTCGGAGACTTCCTTCACTGTGATGACTTGATATCGCCATCACGAGCTAGCCGCGTTGGACTACAGCATGATCGCAGTTGCCCTGACATCATCATGATTGTATAAATTTTAACAGATATGCCAATTTGGTCATATCTTTTATCATTTCTGTTTGGTCCTTTTCTGTTTTCGAGTTGGAAGCTACATATGCTATAGGAGTGTTAGTCCTGTTTCAGTTTTATTTCCGTACGAAAGCCTGTAATCTTACTGAGCGTGGAAGCCGTCAAAACTCAGACAGTACATTTCGTTTATCGTCTCTGCTCTCGTTATAATGACGTAAATTACGGCGCTTGGCATGTTTAAAAACTTTCTTCTGGTTTTTCTGTTGCTATTGGCCGGTCAGTCTTTCAATTAACGGAAAAAGGCTGGACGGAAGTTCGGGAAATGGTTGGACACAGTACAAATTGGCAAATGGCGTGACAGCGCGACTCCGTATTTTGTACTCTGATGGAACATGTTCTTTCAACCAATGACAGCGCGCATTATATCCGAACTTTATCATATATTCGAATAACCGTCAACTGAACAGTCATAGAGCCTAGAAATTGATGGCAGACGTCATAGCTAATCTCCCACTGAAACCCACTCACAAACTTAACATTCGAAGTACATCGAAAAGTCCCATTCGTTTCTTACTTGAAAAGGAGGGTCTGACGTTAAAAGCGTCACTATAAAATGGCCATTCATATTTGAGGATTGGAATTATTTTACGTACTAAAACTTATTTTTTACTCTCTGTTTTCTGTAAAGGTGTTGTTTTTATTGTTGTTGTTGTTGTCGTCGTCTTTTTTTTTAATTAATGAATTTATAATTTATGGATAAATTTTGACAGTACACTTTTCATACGAAAACAAATGTTCGGTGCAGTTTAAACACTCCTCGCACCTGAACTGTGTTTCTTGTGATATTTACCTCACCAACTACCGTGTTTGGGAAATCACAAGGTGGGATGAGGGTAGGGTTCGTTTGTTTGGAGGCCCCGCTAGATTGAAAGAGGGTTAATTTCCGCTTAAATGAAGTTACACACTTCAGCACTGAGGGTTGGGTGATAGTAGAGAAAAGTTTATTAGCGGACGGAGTCTTTAAATTTGTTATGTCAGGTGATGACTGTTGTGTTTCGGCAGCTGTAATCTCGTGAGAGAAAGGGAAATAAACAGTTTACAAAGAAAAGAAAATGGTGATTCACTGTATTTGAGAAGGTAATTCAATAACTTTCCTTGAAGAAAAATTTTATCTGCTTCAAAAATATGGTAACTGGGCTTCCTTCGAAGAAGAGCAAATCCACAGGCCCAGTTTAAAATTAACAGTCACATTTTAGTATCTATTTGATTCATTACAATGGTGATTATCATTTCTCTTTGTTTCACTGAACGTTGTAATCAGGTTCTATTTGATAGGCAGAGACACCATAGTAAAAAGCAATGAGGCAGGCCACAAGAATCACCTGAGGGCTCTGGCATATTATAATTTCAACAGTTAACAAAATCACATTAACAAAATCAATGATGACTGATTTATATTTCCTTTTACGACCACTTCTGGTAACTTTCGTTTAGTCGAACGCTTGGGGAGACACATCACTCAGAATACTTCCTCAACTTAACTTCTACACTGAATCCATTTTTAAGGTTGACAAAGACAACTCTGTTTCCCATGTTTGCTTTAGGTGAAGATAGCGACTCAACCCGAACTATTGGCAAGTAGTCTGCCGGGGATCCATGAGCATATGCTTTTGTGGGTAGGGTCTTTAGTACATCATATCTCAGCGCCACTTGCATTTTGGTGTCTTCGCTCTCCATTTTGTACTCCTCTTTCACCTTTATGTCTTGTATTTTCTCCAAAGGCTTAGACGTAGGAAATGCGAGATCAGGATAGCTGATGCTCAAATAAAGGAACTTCGAATCTTCTTTCGCCATAATGAGGCAATCTTTGCTGACAGCCTTGATTGGACCTTCGGCTGGGAGCTCCATGATGGACCCGAATATTGCATAACCATACTGGGCGTCAATCCAATTCCAGCGTTCAGTGGTCATCTCAAATTTCACCACATGCGCTTTGTTATCCTGTTTCAAAACTGTGTATACTTTTCTTGTGGTACTAGTCGCCTGAGATTTCCAAACATCGCTGGCAGATGTGGGATACGATGGTGTTTTAACGTAAATGGCGTACTCATATTTGTCATCGGATGAACTATGTTCAAACCAGGCGGTGGCATAATAACCACTGGAAGGTTTGTCAGCTGGAGTTTTAGAGCTTTGGTTCTCAACTTTAACCTTGAGACTCGAAGCACTGGAACTTGGAATGTAGTAGCTATTGCCTTTCGTGTCAGTAAGAGTGGTGTACCCCTCTGAACTTAAAGCCGGTGTCTCAGCGGGGAAAGGAGCTGACATACCTTTTGTTACACCATCTACTTCAATAGTGAAGGTCGATGAACCTCTTTGAAGCTTGTCTTGAAAGAGTGTTGTCTGTGCTTCTTTTCCAGGACCATTTTCAATTTTGATGTTGCTGCCTAAGCAGACCAATACGCTTTGGAAAAAGAAAACGGATTTTTTAAAGTAGAGTTTAATATTACGATGACGATCACTTACGTTTAAGAACTGGTAATCT